GCCCCCCCCCCGCCCCCCCCCCCCCCCCCCCCCCCCCCCCCCCCCCCCCCCCCCCCCCCCCCCCCCAGACCTTTCACGAAAATCATTTATATCAATGAAAGGAACAAATGTCTGGGGTCTGTTCTCGTAATGACAGCTCAAGCCAGACAAAGACAGTCTTGTTCGCGAACAGCCACAAAGACTGGACAGCAACACGCACCGAACATATCATGAGAAGCTGAGACTCCGTAGGCGTTGAACATGTACATGAATGTGTTTTAAAATTGTTTTGCCGTCGTACCGGTATCTCATAATCATTCGACTCCCAACAACAGCAATCACTGACTACAATGCCAACCACCATGTCCCTATCAACTAGCTCTATGGCTGCTTGCAAGCCCTCCAAGGTCACCAAGAAAAGCTATCAATCCACACCGGCGCGCCAGACGCGGCGTCGAGCCAAGCTTCCAGGGAGCTCACCCTTGATGACGGGCCTCGATTGGAGAGGCAAAGCGCAAGAGAATTTACCAACAGATGCCCAGCCAGTGGCACATACAGCAGGTCCAAAAGTGGGCGATGAAACGCTCGAACAGAAAAAGCCATCGCATGCGGCAGCTTCAGCTGCTCTGCCCGCCGTCACTGATCAAAAGACTGACCAGATTGTTCAGACTCAAGACTGCATAGCCACGGCGGACGAGGAGACCCGGGCGGGCTGTCCGACAATCACGAAGCCAGCCTCTACAACGATGGACCGCCAGCTTGCGGAACATATCGATAACCACCCTGTGAGACGGGCGCTCAAGAGGAGGGCCAGCGACAAGTGCGACGGCGACTCAGACGGCGACCAGCAAGGACAGGTGGCACAGCCGGCCATCGGAGCTGCAAGTGGCATTCCAGGCCTGGGCCTGCTGCCATCGAACCACGATATAAAAGCTGACGGCGGGCCAGTTGTACATGCGAACAATGCGATGGTCGCAACAGCGACTGCAGATGAGCCCCTACCAGAAAGCGATGACGAGAAGAGCGACACTAACGAGTCCCTCTCATCCCACTCACCCCATTCGTCGACAAGCGGCTCTTCCTGGAATTTATCTGACGGTGGCAACAGCTCAACAAGAGGTCAGCTCTCCTTCCCACACGGTCGACCGGGGCCCAGTGTCCTCAAACGACGACGCTGTGAGGACGAGTGCGAGGCAGAATGCAGCGGACCATCGAAGCGCGTGCGCTGGACCCAGTACAACATATCTGATGATGGCTGGTGCGAACCATACAACGATACGGACCAGGTTATGTTGAGCGACATGGAAGAAGAAACGTTGAGCGAAGAAGAGTCCAGTTATTGTGGCCCGTTCACGCTGGAGCTTGCACTTCCCACCCCGGCGAGTGTAGATGACGATGCTGGCCACGTCATGGAACAGCGTCACTGGCCTGCGTATGGCCCTTGTCTTGACGTCCCGCAAGAAGAGTATGATCCATGCCAAGCGCCAGGCAAAACAGAACCATACGACCCGGAAGGGCACCCCCTTGAAGAAGAATATGACCCGGTAGTGGCGTATCTGGGCATGGATGCCACGCTCAGCGAATGTAGCTCGTTGTTGGAAGACTGTGTTGCCTATGACGAGAAAATCGATCCGGAGGAGCTTGGAAAGAGCCTGGCCTCTGCCATGAATATTGATGAAGCGGCATCTCCCCTTTCCGATGGCGCTGGTTGGACCAAGAATTGGCTGGAAAAGGTGGCGCCGTTCGTGAAGAAATCCAGTAAAGTTGCTGATTCCAGGAATGACGAAGGCCGGCCTTTGGGCGGCTTGGTTCTGCCATCGCAACCTGACGCTTGTTGGGATTGCTGTCGCGAGTCGGACGCCGGAGAGTCAATGGATGAGGGAGAAGATATGCCCGATTGGGAGGAAGAGGAGGAATACGAATATTAGGGCAAAGAGCCTCCCCTCGATAATCTGATTTATTGTCAGTTGGTTTGTGGTCAAAATGCATGCTTCGTAGCTCACCTTTTGTTTGCCTCTAGAATCCCATGCCATCATCGTCGCTAGCTTCATTGTCCATGTCGGCATCACCACGTTGCTCCTCTTCCTCACGGCGCGAGAGCTCGGCACTTGCGCCGATCTTGCGTACGCCCTCAATGACACCGCTGATCAGACCTCGGCTCTCCGCCAGCTCCATGGCGCCCACACCGCGGAGACTCATCACACCATCAATGCCAGCCTCCAGCTGCGCCGGGATGGCTCTCAACTTGGCAGAACGCACTTCTTGTAGGTCGCGAAGCAGGCCTCGCACTTCCGCCGAGGATGTGACGTCGTCCGCTGCGTGCGCGAGGAGCATCTCCGCGAGCTCGAACCAGTGGTATGGAATGGCGCCGGTAGGAGCGTCTGATGTACAGGAGGAGAGGAACGGAGCGGATAGAGGCGTCGTGCCCGGTCGATTAGTTCTTTGTGCGTTGCCTCGCCCGTCCGCGCGTGCAGAGGGAGGCGGTGGTGGTGCCCACCCCTCAGGGTTAATCTTGGTTTCGAAGTGGATGATGTCTTGAAGCGAGTCGGGATGCAGCCATGGCGGCGGGACGATGTTGGCCCTTCGCTGCTTCTTGAGCAAGAGAGCAAGCCACAGAGGCACGTTTTCGCGTCGGGGAGGTCGCAATGTCGGCGTCGTGCCCTTGGGAGCCGTCAGAAGGGCGTCACGATGCTAGCTGGCGACGCGTCGAGACGCGCTGTCACTCACCGAGAGAAGATCGATACTCTCCAGTTTCTGGCGAGGCACAATGGTGATCAGTTCCATTTCGCACAGAAAGGCAATCTCTGAGGGGGCCAGCCCCGGTGGAAGAGGCGATGCCATTGTGTCTATCTTTGCTGTTGTTGTACAGGATTATGTTCTGTCGGTCTAACAAAATGTCTATCATTGCGGAGCTGCCCTGGAGTGCCCCTCGTTCAGCACTTGCCGTGCCCCACCACCACCACCATCGTGCCTGCCTGAGCGACTCCTGACGGCCCCGGCCTCTTCGGACTTTCAATGCCGAAGGCAATCCTTCAGTCCATCAACAATTCTCCGTCCTCCATCCTTTGCAAACCGTGCTTCAATCAAGCTCGCCTGCAAAGTCGACCTTGACCTCGACCTGCAAATCAACACCACATTCTAGCGCTTCAGAAACCACTGCCAGTCTCGCTGCTTGTCACGCTCAGAGCGCGGAAGCTCGCGTATCCGAGCGACGGGCTGTTGGTGAACCGGTCCTGGCTTGGGCCAGTGATTTGCCCTGCGATGAATCGGAGACCGTTCTGCAGCTCGCCGTGTAGCATGGCATCGACATCAGCGTGCGTCAGTGTCTGGCCTTGGGAGTTCCCGCGCAGTTCACCGAGCATCTGACACCCATTGTACATGTGCGCCTGCGCACTCTTGTCATCCCCGTGCATCATCTCAAAAATGATGAAGAAGAAGCAGCAGAGAGTGGCACACTCAAGGTCGCCTCCACTCTTGGCCTCGTTGCGCAGCTGGCTCAGAGCCAGACCGTGGTACCTCAGCGCTCGCCGGTAGCAGGCATTCGCGTGCTCATCGCCCTCGTCCCCCCAGCTGGGCTGTTTTGAGTCTATGAGCGCGTGTATGGCGAGGTTGGAGTACCAGACGGAGGTGCTGCTTCGTAGCAGCTTCGGGACCACAGTCTGCCAGAACCCACTCTCGAAGCTGCCCTCGGAGCTGCTGCAACCGGGGCTCCTTTGTTGGGGCAGACTGTCTCTCGAACTGTCCACGCCAGGGGTCGAATATCCGACGCACACATCCTGGGCCTGGGTGACCAACTTTCTGCTTTCCCCAGCCAGGGGACGGAACCACCGCGGTAATCTGAGCTTCTCGCTCTTATTCTCGGGCGACGCAGTCCGCGGCTTCTTCCGCTTCGGCACGTCGGATGACTTGGTTTGCGCTCGCGTATCTTCGTACCCGTCGCAATGTCCCTGCCACTTGATGCAGCGCTGGCATCCAGGTTTACCCTCGTCGCATTTAACGTGGCGTCTCCTGGCAAAGGTCAGATCGGCCAAGAAGTCAACCTTGTTGCGGTTGGCACTCACTTGCAGGTAACGCAGCCTGTGCGGACCTTGGCCACCATGGCTCTTGTAGCTCTTGGACGATTCGAGAGCGCGAATGTGGAGGTACCACAACGATCAGGCTCCTTTGAGTTGGCCCTAGGCGAGACCCAGTCAGTGCCGATCTCTCTGCGCATAGACGTCCCGGCGACCTACATGCTTCAAAAAGTGTGTGCTACAACCGCTCGTTTGCTCGTGGAGCCGCTTTGTCATGAACGAAACCGTGGGCTTTGTATGTGTTCTGCAACAAATGTGCCCGTGGGTAGCGGAAGCGAACTTGATATCGGTCATGGGCATGTCAAGATCCCTACACGACCTTCAGGGAAATTTATAATGCTATATACAACTCCGTACGAGATGGCATGTTACAGCCGGACAAATTCCTGATGCCTGGAGCAGGGCAATTTAGGTTGCAGATAACGTGGGATGGGCCAATGCGCTCATGCCCGCCCTTTCTGGTACACCATGTACACCGGGTTCTCTCTGCAAAACACCAAGCCAAGCATCGCCATGAGTGCCACATGGATCCTGATTGGCACTGATGGTGCCCCGTACGTACAGCCGATGGACATCGGCCGCGGGGTTCGTCAAGGCCGCCCGGGGACAGTTAGAAACATGATACCCGTCTAGACTCTACGCGATCGACAGGTTTCATCATTCAACCTCATGCTCAGCCCTACCTCGTGCCAGCCTGTCAGCATGGGGGTTTGGAGACTCCACTGGTGCGAGACAGAGGAGACATTGACGGGAAAGGTCTCGATTGGCTGGCCATATTTCATGGAGTCTTTCGGTAAGGCCCTTGTACCGGCGGGCAATCTCACCACATTGGGAAACATCCGCAAGTGCTGTGGTGTTACAAGGACACTATCTGGCAGGGCACGCTGCATGCCAAGGGATGCTCTACGTTCAGCGACGCCCTGGTCGTCATGGCACGCTCGCTGGGCTGGTGGCATAAGATGGATCTAAGGCAACCTGTGGACTTGCGGCTGCTTGAGTAGACTGCTCGAGCAGACAATTAGCTTACGGAGAACGAGACGGTAGTGCTCCGTATGCACTGCGCAGTGCTCACTTCTGCATTTCCTGCCTATGTCCAACGCTCACATCTGCAGGGCTGTCGGTCACGCCGAGTCTCCGCTTCGACTGCTACTTTAAACCCATGGTAGAGAGCAGACGTCCTCACTCTCCAGCTCGGCGTACAGAATGGCGGACGCACCTCTGATAGGCCGATGCCCAACCTCAAGCCTGCAACCTCGTTCCCGCGCTTGTGTGACTGGGTGGACGGCATGCACAATGACTGGCATCCAAGGTGGCTCAGCATAGAGATTGCTGAGCCCCAGCAGCACAAGGTGTGGCGGCATGCTGTCCACAGAATCCATGTAGCCCTGCTCTGGTCCGAAGGAGAGGGATGCTGCTGCCAACGCCGGGATGCCTTCCCGTATGTCTTCCCCACCCGGCCCGCGGTGGAGATCCCACTGTCCGGGGAATCAGTCATAGACTCAATACGTAGTCACTCATCCACAGCCCACGATGAGGGGTTATTTAGGGTTGGCGGACTTTCCATGCGCCTCGTCCCGCCGGCGCGTCCAGAACAACGTACAAACGTGCGTGCGCAGCAACTAACCGTCGGTCTCACGAACCCCGAATCCCTCTCATTCACATCTGCCCGCGCCAAAATGTCCGCCCAGAATCTTATCATCACTGCCCCGACGGATGACGAACGCGTCAAGACCTGGGCCGGGACGCATCAGCTTTGGGGCGCGGCGCTCACCCTCGAGGACTATCTGGAGAGGGAACGTCGCCAGCTCGACATCCCCCTGGCGCGCAATGGTGGCTTGACAAATTGGATTCTCACCGAGGCCGCGTCACCTGCAGGCGGGCCCCGTCCCATCTTGTCGTCGTGCGAGACGCTCAAGAAAAAGGTTCTCGTGAAGGGCAAGGATGGAAAGGTCACCGAGGGGACCGCCCATGGGGTGGCCAGTGTCTTCACGCAGCCCGAGCATCGAGGTAAAGGCTATGCTTCCACTATGATGAGCCAGCTCTCAGAAACTCTGGCCGATAAGGAAAAGGCGAGCGAGGGCTCGGCGATCTGCTCTGTTCTCTGGTCAGACATTGGCAAGAAATTCTATGCCCGGAGTGGATGGCAGCCCTTTGACAGCAATCACGTCGAGTTTCCGGCCCTCCAGACGCCGGCGACCACCCCTGAGAACATCGAGATCCTCGACAGCTTGGAGAGCCTGGCTCCTCTGGTAGAAGCTGACGAGGCCATCCTCCGGGCCCGCTTCGACTCGGCAACACAGGGTTCCAAGATCCAGGTCGCGCTGCTGCCCTTCTTGGATCAGATTCACTGGCATCTTCTCCGCGAACGCTTCGTCTCGCAATCCTTGTTTCCTGAGAGACCTGTCTCGCCCGGTCACGGTGCCATTTTTACTTCCCCTGCGACTGCGAAGAGGGTCTGGTCCCTCTGGACGAGGAGCTACTCTGGCACAGTAGACCAGCCAGAGAAGAATACTCTATACCTTCTACGCTTGGTGGTCGAGGATGGCATCACTGATGCTGAACTGGAGACTGCCCTCCAGGGTATCACGGACATTGCAAGGAGTCTCGCCGGCCAGTGGGCATGTGGCAAGGTCGAGATGTGGAATCCCGACGAGAAGACCAAGGCCGCCGCCCAAGCACTAGGAGGAAAGTACATCAGCCGGGAAGAGGGCAGTCTACCGGCCCTGAACTGGTTTGGAAAGGGGCCTGCCGAAGACCTCGAATGGATTTGGAGCGAAAAGTACGCATGGTGCTGAGGAAGAGGGAATTTTGCGGTATCACACAAACAAAGCTTTGCACTCGCCATAGATTCAAAACGTTAGACACCATTTCTCATTTATCCGCATCGGTCTCGTAAGCATCCGTCAACACCTTGTACTACCTGTAGAGAAGAAAATGGTCATAATGTCCAGCCGGAGCGCCCTGTTGCCAACTTGCCCTCCCCTAGCCGGAAATCAAATGATGATGACAAATGTAAAACGACCACGCCCGCTCCTGTAAATGCCCAATCCTGGTCTGTCTACCTGCATTGCATGTCACAATCCCGCCAAAAAGTCGACAGGATGGTGGGGGGAAATCCGTTGTCTTTAGTAACTGCGTCCGAACATGACCCATTTCTGGGCCTTCTCCTTGCACTCGGGGTTGAGACACTCCGTCTCGCCCGCGACAATGCCCTCTGGCTGGTCAAAGGGAATACACAAGCTCTTCATGCCCATGGCGGGGAGCTTCTGGTTCTCAGGGACGTCCGAAGTATCCTCGGCGCGCGTGGTGAGCTCCTTGATGCGGTCCTCGCACTTCATCCCCAGGCAGAAGGGGATCAAGCAGACGTTGCGGTTGTCCAGAGCGGGGATGACCTTTTCCCACTCGTTGATTTGCAGACGGTGTTCGGTGAACGACTTTTCGGCCTTGGCGTACATGTCGCTTTGGATGGTCTCGAGCAGCTCGGGAACCTTCTCGGCAACGTGGAACAGCGCGATCTTGTCCTTGAAACCTGTGTCGCGGCGGGCATAGCTGATAACCTGCGCCTCGGCGTCCTTGGGGCCGAACTCGATACGAAGGGGAACGCCCTTGAGCTCCCAGTCGTTGAACTTCCAGGCAGGGGTGTAGCCATCACGGAAATCGACCTCGCAGCGGACACCAGCCTTCTTAAGGTTGGCCCGGATGTCCTCAATGTCGGATTCGTGCTTTTTCCTGGCCTCAGGGGTGGTGCTCTTGTTGATGCCGACGGGGACGATGATGGCCTGGATCTTGGCCACGCGGGGAGGCAGAACAAGACCCTTGTCGTCGCCGTGCACCATGACCATGACACCAATGACACGGGTGGATAGACCCCACGAGTTCTGCCACACGTGACGATGGGTGCCCTTGTTATAGGGGTCCTCCACGGTGATGTCAAACATCTTGCTGAAGTTCTGTCCAAGACAGTGAGATGTCGCGCCCTGGATGCCACGACCGTTGGAGGGGATGTAGCCCTCTACGGTGGTGGTGTAGTAGCCACCGGCAAACTTCTCGTTCTCCGTCTTGTGACCGCGCACGACAGGGACAGCCAGCAGCTGTTCGTAGACACCGGCGTATAGCTCGAGAATCTCCAGTACCTCCTTGCCTGCCATCTCCTCAGTCAAATGCGCAGTGTGGCCTTCCTGCCACAGGAACTCGCGCGTGCGCAGGAAAGGGGTGGTTTGTTTGGCCTCCCAGCGCACCACAGAGTTCCACTGGTTCAGTCGGAGGGGCAGATCGCGGTGGCTTCGGATCCATTTCGAGTAGTAAGGGTACATGACGGCTTCGGATGTGGGACGAATAGCGACGGGCACCTCGAGGTCCTTGTCGCCGCTGTAAATGGGTGTTAGCGGGATCAGTCCCAGCAACGAAGAGGAAGCAGGCAAACTTACGCCTTGGTGACCCAGGCCAACTCAGGGGCGAACCCTTCGACGTGATCCTTCTCCTTCTCAAGAGACTTGGAAGACAAGAAGATGGGAAAGCTTGTCTCCTCAACGCCCATCTCCTCAATGTGGCTGGTGAACCACTTGCGAATGGTACCCCAGATGTGCATGGTCAGGGGACGGAGTACAAAGAAACCAGAAATCTCTTGGTAGTACTCGACCATCTCGGCCTTGAGAACAACCTCCTGGTACCATTGCGGGAAGTTGACCGACTTGGACACGGTAATGCCAATAATGTCGTCCTGCTTCTTACCACCAGCACCGCCACCACCACCACCACCGCCGCCGCCCTCCTTCTTGCCTCCCACGACAGCCAAACTGGCTTGCTTCGCGGCTTTGGCAGCCTTCTCAGCAGCTAGCTTGGCTTGCTTCTCGGCCTTCTTGAGCGCGCTCTTGGAAGGCTCCTGCTTCTGGTCCTGGCCGTTGGTCTCCATCTTGACGTGAACGGACGATAGGGATCTCGATGAGGCGCGTGAAGGTACTGCTGGGAAGACCTGGATGTAGAGGTCGAGAAGAAACAATGCTCGGCTTCCGACCGCCTGGATGACAACGGCGACAAGTTTGAGGACGGCGAATGACTTGTCAAGCAGGAAGGGAGAACCAAAGGGAGGAGAAAAGATCGGGAGGGGATCCCGAGAAAAAAGTGACACCGGGTGACTCGAGGTTGGGCACCCAACCAGGCAGGTCCAGGCCGAAGGCTAGTGCTAGAAATGCCACTGAACTGGCAGTCGCGCAGGAGAGATTGCCCCGCAGTCGCTCTTGCCTCCCGACTTTGTTGACGTGTGGTGTGTGCGATGAGGGGCACTCACAAAAATTCGCAAGGGAAGGCTCCGATTGACAGATATGCGCCGTCCAATCGAATGGTCCAGAAGCTTGACCGATACGCCTTTTGCGGCGATCGCGCGCCCGTTATCGGCTGGGCCTTATCTTCAGTTATCAGCCAGGCAACTTAGACCGCCGCCTCATCCCATCATCAACTTCACCCAGGCAAACAGTCATCCGCGTCGAGATTGCGGGTACCGGCGAGGAATGATCGTGCACACATGGGGTCATGCCATTGACTTTGCTTCATGCCCTTTTTAGTTCTTGCACTGTGAATGGACGGACACTAACTCTGATTAAGGTTGGAGGTATCCCAGTACACTGGCAGAAACACAGCTCACCATCAACTACCTGTTGAAGCGGTTCATGAGGCTCAGAAATTGGCAGCAAATACAGTCATGGATGGTTACAGCGTCAAAACGGTTCGTCCCGCCGACTCGGCCACGTTATGGCATTTTCAAATTATGGCGCCTTGTGAAGGAAAAGTCGAATGGTCCATCGACAGCCGCGATGAGTTTCGAGTCAGGTCGGCTGAGTGCCTCCGGCAATTCGACATTGATCGCACAGCAGTGACAGCTTTTGATTGAAGCTGATCAGATTCGCTACTAATCTGTGATGGATTCGATCCAGTGTACTGATACATTTGCACGTGTACGTAGTAGAGAGCAATTTGCACTGAGAGAATTGAACGCACGGTTGAGAACGTCCGGCAGCTCCACGTCGAAACTCAGGGAAGCTCGAGATGTGGGAGATAGCGCCGCTAGTCTCTTTCAGGTATGGCGTCTTGTGGGCTGGATTAATCAGAGACCGTACGCCGACAAAAAATCGAGGGGCACAAACATTGGATCAGTAGGCCGGTGAGAGAGCTCCTTGCCAGCAGCAGCCCACTAAGCTCAGGAAGGAGGTACATACGAAAGGCGCCAGCACGATTGCCCTTCTACCTCGAGCATCTCAAAATCTTTCCTCGTTTCCTCATCGAACGATTGTCTCCAAACCCCATCGCGCTCTGCAACAACGATGGCCTCCATGTTCGAGCAGCCCCGCAACGGCACCCTTTTCTTGGGCGGCCAGAAGATTTCGGGATCCGACATTCGTGACCAGAACGGTACGATACCCCCAAGACTGCGAGCTGAACTCTCAAAGCTGACATTCCGCAGTGCTGGCCACGCAAGCGATCGCAAATGTCGTCAAGAGCTCTTTCGGCCCTAGCGGGCTTGACAAGATGATGGTCGATGATATCGGTGTAAGGATGGACGCTATCCGCCAAATTACCTTCACCTAACAACACTAGGATGTTACCGTGACGAACGACGGCGCGACAATTCTCAGCCTCCTCGATGTCGACGACCCTGCGGGCAAAATCCTGGTCGACCTGGCACAACAGCAAGACAAGGAAGTCGGCGACGGCACCACCTCTGTCGTCCTCATCGCCGCAGAGCTCCTCCGCCGAGGCAACGAGTTGATGAAGAACAGGATACACCCGACCACCATCATCACGGGGTATCGTCTTGCCCTCCGCGAAGCTATCAAGTACTTGAGCGAGAACGTGAGCATCAAGGTCGAGAACCTTGGCCGCGAGTCCCTCATCAACATTGCCAAGACTTCCATGTCGAGCAAAATCATCGGCGCCGACTCCGACTTCTTCGCCGAGATGGTTGTGGATGCCATGCAGGCTGTCAAGTCGACCAACAACCGCAACGAGACCAAGTACCCGGTGAAGGCGGTCAACATCCTCAAGGCCCACGGAAAGGGTGTCCGAGAGTCGATGCTCGTCAAGGGCTACGCTCTGAACTGCACAGTTGCGTCGCAGGCCATGCCTACGCGCATCCAGGATGCCAAGATTGCCATCCTCGACATGAACCTACAGAAGGAGAAGATGAAGCTCGGTGTGCACGTTACCGTGGACGACCCGCAACAGCTGGAGCAGATCCGTGCTCGCGAGTCCGGCATGATGCTGGAGAGGATCGAGTTGATGTTCAAGGCTGGTGCCAACGTTGTCTTGACCACCAAGGGCATTGACGACATGTGCATGAAGATGTTCGTCGAGCGTGGAGCCATGGGTGTCAGGCGATGCAAGAAGGAAGATCTCAGGAGAATCGCCAGGGCGACCGGTGCAACTCTGCTGAGCACATTTTCAGACCTGAACGGCGACGAAAAGTTCGACCCGTCCTACCTGGGTCACGCTGAGGAGGTTGTCCAGGAGCGTATCTCGGATGATGAGTGCATCCTCGTCAAGGGTACCAAGTCTCACTCTTCGGCTTCGATCATTCTGCGTGGACCCAACGACTTCTCGCTCGACGAGATGGAGCGCTCTGTTCACGACTCGCTGTGTGCCGTCAAGCGTACGTTGGAGAGCGGTAGCATTGTGCCCGGTGGAGGTGCTGTTGAGACGGCGCTTCACATTTACCTCGAGGAGTTTGCTGGCACAGTTGGGTCCCGTGAACAACTTGCCATTGGCGAGTTCGCCCAGTCCCTCCTGGTCATTCCCAAGACCCTGGCCGTCAACGCCGCCAAGGACGCCGCTGAGCTCGTGGCTCAGCTGCGCTCGCGGCACGCCCTGAGCCAGCGCATCCAAGAAGGTGACGGGAGCGAGGACGAGAAGACGCTCGCCCGCAAGAAGGGGTACCGCAACTACGGTCTGGACTTGGCAAAGGGCAAGGTGGTGGACGAGCTCAAGCTTGGTGTGCTGGAGCCCAGCATGAGCAAGGTGCGGCAGCTCAAGAGCGCCGTCGAGGCTTGCATCAGCATCATGCGCATTGACACCCTGATCAAGCTGGATCCGGAGCAACCGCAGGATGATGGACACGGCCACTAGAGGCGTAATGTAGAATCACAAGCAGAGAAGAAAAAAGAGATGCCCGGTCACAACGACCAGAGATGAATCACAGACCTCTCCTCGCCGCATTCTTCATGCCCACGTGTTCTTGGTGCTGCCGAGTTGTAACAAAAGGAACTTTCTGGATTTTGTATTGTCTTATACATTGATCCTCCGCCGGCGCGTCTAGAAAGCAAAGAGAGCAGGCCTCCGTAATCCCAGGCTCCCCCCTTCTCTTCTCTCTTCCTCTGCCTCAGCTGCGTCTACCGCCACACAATCTACTCTCTCGATCGGTCCCGCTATCCAATACTCGTACACAACAGGATTATAGTTGTTCTTGTTGTCATTGTCGCTCGCTTAACCGATGACCAGCTTGCCATCCTCGGGGAAGTCGTATGCGGGAACCTCGAGGTTGAGAGGGGCAGGGCCCTTTCTTATCCTGCCGGAGATGTCGTAGTGAGATCCGTGGCAGGGGCAGAACCAGCCGCCGTAGTCGCCGGCCTCGCCAATGGGCACACAACCCAAGTGGGTGCAGACACCTGTGACGAGAAGTTAGCACAATTCCATCAATCGAACCCCCTTGGTCCAAGACCGTGGTTTTTGGAAAAACGCACCCAACATGACGAGCCACTCGGGCTTCTGAACGCGGTCGTCGTCGTTCTGGGGGTCGCGGAGCGACTGGACGTTGACCTTGTTGGCCTCGGCAATCTCGTCCTGGGTACGGTGGCGGATGAACACGGGCTTGCCACGCCACTTGATGATGACCTGCTGCATGTCAGCAAATGTGCTTCCTCACCACATCTGTGCGTGACTCACGTTCTTGCCCTCGGGGATGGTGTTAAGGTCAACCTCGACCTTGGCCATGGCCAGAACATCCGCGGAAGCCGACATGTTCACCAAGAACTCTGTTTCCACTCGTCAGCACACTGTGATTCCATCTCTCCGGCCAATTCTCTTCCTGGATGCATCGCGCCGCAATCGATCGTATATCCAATCCGAACTGGCCTGTTTTCAAGAGGGGGACCACCCACCTTGCACAGTGCTCTTGGCGCCAGCCGCCGTGATGGCGCCCATGCCACCGACCATAAAGTACTGGAACAGCTTGTTCTTGCCGGGGCTGGCCGACGAGACGTACTTTCCAAAGTCGGGGACGTTGTTGGCCTTGCTGGTGCCGGCCTTGAAGGGGCTGCTGTACGAGGTCCATGTCGTCGCGTTGTCGTTGCGGACGGCCGTGGTACTGAGGGCGCGGACGGGGGCGGCAGTCGACGACGACGAGGTGGCGCGGAGGCACGCGCGGGAAGCGTGGGTGAGGGCCGCCATTGTGTGAGCTGGTCGGATGGGTTTGGTGGATTGGGGGGTGGGAGGTTGTGGGCGGCGGGCAATTGGAGGTTGAGGTGTTTGATGATGCTTGCTTTGCCGAAAGTTTTGGGATTTGAACGGGTGTGCCTGAGGCGACAATATCCCGTGCGAGAGCTCAAATTGATCCGTTGTGATTCGCTGCAGCCGTGGAGTGGGTCCCGATCTCTTCCGCCGCCACAATGAACGTACGTCTCGAGTCCTCGACGTCAAGGAAACATAGGACTCACTGCTTAGATCATGTTGATTCGTCGTGTTTATTTGCTCGTGACATCGTCTATATCCTCATGTTTGTACATTTATCTGCCATGATTTATTCATAGTCAGTGAAGCAGCCTCAGCTCTTCCACGTAATTGCGCATCTCCTCCGCGCTTGGCCCTAGCCCTTCGCAAATCACTTCCTGCTGGCTCTCGTTGAGATCGAGAAATCTTTCCAGTACCTCGCCATCAAGGAATCGATATGGCTTCTCGCCCGTCCTATGCTCGCCTCTATACGCGCGCCAATCGTCAAACGTAAGTTCACCGGGGGTGTCCATGTGCTGAACTAGCCTGTCCTGGAAATCCATCAAAAGCTTCTCCGATCCGGGCTGCACTTCACCGAATAGCCACATGGAACCCTCAACCTAGACTTGATTAGTGACCGTGACAATGGCGGAGATACGTATCTGGCTTGACTCACCGACCCGAGGAACGCCTTGGCTTGTACCAGGGTGTTCTCGGTAGGGGCGACTTGAAGGCTCCGTATGCGGTTGATCTGCTCGCCCAGGTTCATCTCGCTGGTGATCTCCAACCTCTTCTGATCTTGCTCTGTAGGGGCTTCAGCATTCCGCCGGAGCACCAAAAGGTTGCCCAAAGCATCCGCCTCGAGCCACCTATCGCCACCCAGTTGACAAACCGCAGTAGTCTGACTTGGCTGGTAGTCCCGGGCGCGCTCAATGAGCTTAGCCTTGGAATCGTTTGTCGGTGACTGGAACTCCACTAGAGTAAGCGACTGCTTCAAGTCGCCAACTCCAATCATGTTTCCTGATATATCGAGGTCAATAGGCATCGAGGATGGCCGATAAGCAGCTAGTTTCTCGAGAGACGCGGTGGCTGAGGTGCGTTCTTCGTAGCTGAAGGCAACCAATGTCTTGCTGAGGCCCGCTATCAAGTATCCGTCGAGCACGCCGAGACAGCGGCAGTTGCCTCTGAGTCTGAGACTGACAAGCTGGTAAGGCTTACGGTCCTCGTCCACGCCAATGACGATGATACGGCCTCGTGTACCGTCGCCCTCAACGTCGTCACTGTCTGTGAGGACCGAGGTGCCAATGATGAACCTCTCAGCGGGGGTGCCGTTGGCGTCTGGTAGCTCAGCACGAATCAAGCATTCTACCATCTCCAATCCATCGTGTGCCATTTGCAGCTCAAAGGGGTCCCCCAGTTTCTTGAAGACAACCTCGTCCACAAGTTGAAAGGAGCTGCTCGCGATTTCTGTGTTGTTCTCGAGCGTCTTCTTGATACAGCCCAACCCAAAGGCCTTTAAGCCTGGTGAATAAGCCAGTCGGCGAACCGTCTGGCTCACGGTGAGGGGCTTCACATGCGTCAATCGCTGCTTGTCGATTCTGCTCAACCGCACGTGACGATCTGTGGACAGTACGATGTGATCGGGGAATGCTGCCGAGTCAAAGGGGGCCACAAAAGTCGCATCATCGGCTGTCGTTGCTGAGTACACAAGACGACCATCAGAGCTGTAGATGAGACTAGGATGATCCGTCGTGGCAAACACGTTGGAGACTCCCGAGTCTTGTGGTAGGATGTGCAGTCTTGCTGCTCTGCTGCCCAATGTTACAGTCTTTCGACCCGACAGCTCCGATCCGTTGGCGCCGACAGCGAAACTGATGATGTTACCGTCCTCGGTAGCGACAAGCAACGTTGGCCCCGAAAGATCAGGCTGGTGCAGTTGGACGAGGGCAACATCTCGTGGCACTGCGGCACTATCGCTGGTCTGCCGTAACGACTCGCCGCGAATGGACTCGAGCGTATCCAGTCTCACTAGAGAAATTGTGCCTGATGTCCACCAACCAACAACACCAATGTCAGTCAGACACGAGCTCGCGTGAAGACACGACATTTGCTCAGGTATACCAACCGAGGCATTCTGTGATGTGTCCTTTTGTTTGGCCGCCAGATTCTTTGTGAGGTCCAGCGATACGAGTACCGTACCCTCGATCGACATGAGTAGCCAGTGGTCGTTGGCCGAAGCTGCCGTGATGGCTTGACCGTTTGGCGTGTCCCACTGTGCAACAGTCATGCCACTCTCTCCATCGGTCAGCCTCGCGAAATTGGGAGTCGCTTGCAAGAAGAGCCCGCTTGGAAGACTCGTCGCCAGAAGCGTCTCGGCATCGAGCGCGAACCCACCAAACTCAAACACCTCCTCAATGCTCTCGCCGTCGTCACTGAAGCGGAACACACGAGTCTCGTTCAGCAGCGACACCAAGACAACAGAGTGTGGGGCCGGGCCATGTAGTCTGAGGGTGTGCAATCCACGCGTGCCTTCGATTTCGTCCAACATGCCCGTATCTGCCAACCCAACACCACTGCGGATACTTCGCAGTGATCCGTCCTTGTATGCGCCGCAGCCGGCAACAACGCGCGCCTGACCTGATGAGAAAGCATTGCCAGCAAGATTGTTGCCTTCCCGATTGCCCATATCCATGATCGCAAAGTCGAGAATCGGCGCGTTGTTGCGAATGGTGTCGATGATCTGGATTCTCTTGAGCGAAAGATCTAGCAGCAGCACCTGGCAGTCGCCATGGCGAGATGCCAGGAACAGTTTGTTGTCGCCCAGGTATACCAGTTGTGATGCCCTGGATGGCTCGGTCTCGCCGTCATCCGAGTAAAGCTGAAGCTTGGTGACAGTCATTCCCTGAACGACCTCGCCGGCCTGCTCAATCATGGTGTCGAGTGTCAAGACATCAAGTCTACCGTAATCATCCGCCAGTATAAATGTCCTATCGTCGTATTGCTCCCAGGCCACGTAAAGCTTGGGCTCCCTCAGTCCCACCGAGATCTTGTTGTAATACGTGCTGTCAAAGTATGTCAGAAGCGTCTCTCCGACTACCAACAGACCACCTAGAAGCGGCTTCGCGTCTGCTTTTTGCCGAGACTGGTATCTTTTCTCATCAGGGATGCGAACTGGGATCAAAGTCCTGGCGTAGTGGTCTTCGATTGTTGCTTGAAACGTTCGATCCTTGGTGGGATCAAACTTGGAAATATTGTTGCCGGCATCGTCCTTGGTCAAGCGATACACCGCGAGCCGTGCCTCTTCTTGGTGAAGCCGACTGTTGTAGAGGAATGCAATCGTGGGGTGTCCGTCCGGGGTGTGCACAAAGATGCTGTCCTTGATCCAGAGTTCAGTCAGACGTACTTGCTCCTGCATGTCCAGCTTGAGCTTTTCGGGGGCGCGAGTCCTCAGCCGAAAGGGATTCAGCACGCCTTCCCAGAGATGCATCACCATGAATCGGCCGGTAGGGTCTACCAGACACTGGTTCTGGCTCAGCGAGTGTCGCATATATGGTTCCGAGTCATCGACGAGTCCGTTCTCCTTGACCGTATCCAGTCTTCTGGTTTGGTGGTTCCAGAGCACCGTGAAGTACTGCTGGCGGTCGGTACCGACGAACAATAGCTCGGGGGCATCTTTGGGCTGTAGTCTCTGTAGCATTACGATTGTGCCATAGATGACTCGCGTGTCGGTACATAGCAGACCATCTTCTGTATATCGCCAAACTTCGATTCGGTTCGCTTTTCTGTTATGGTGTCCCTGTCAGCTACCAAGTCCAAGCCCGGCTGGAGGGGTCTAGCCTTACGCGATGATGAGATCCTCCTCGTCGGGGGATTTCAAGTGCATTCGAAGGGCGTGACGCGGGCTCGTCGCCCTGTGAACAGGCGCGACGTACGCCATGATGGCATGAGGGTGAATTGGTCGTCGCGGGGAGCTTTGAGTGTCCCTGTTTCCAGGAGCTCGAGCTTCGCGGGAGAAGAGCAGTTCGACTGCGTCACGAACACCACAAGCCGGAGTTAACAGCGGCAGGTGCTGAACCCCCACTGATCAATCAGTGACTTATCGATAACAATCAGTGGACCCTGCGCCGGAGGGAATCGTACTACATACCCTAGGTACGGGAGAGAATCCGAACAGCACACAACGCCAACTATCTCACGTCAGTGGACAGCTCGCGCAGAGCTGATCTCGTTATAAAAATATCATTCTGTGTAAACAGTACCGGTCGTCACTGCGCAGCCTTTACAAAAATCCGATCGCGGTCATCACGCACCAAGTGAAAGATGGGATGATTCAAGGCTCCCGTGCAGGCTCACAATATGAAATGGCGATGAGCCCCTTCTGGGTCAAAAAGACCAAACAGGTCTGCAGGTATGCGAATGTAAAAACGCCCGTTGTTTGATGAATCCGCGTTTTGAGTTAGTTTGAGCCTGGCGATCTCTCCGTGTGCATCAATGTCGAGAGGGCATCTTAATCCTGACATATGATCCAACCACTGTAAGTTTGTAAAAAGAGCATAGACTGCGCTAGCAAAGGCCCAAGATGAAGCGATCCATCTTCTCTTGCGTATGACACGAGTGAAGGCTGAAGAATTCGCTGTCTTTGGAGTTCTTTGAGCAATAAGTGCATCTTGGTACAAGTGCAACTTGGTACCTTCTATCTGCTCTTTAAGGCGCACTCTACGATCAGTTACGATCAGTCGTAATTTCTTTATATTGAGTTGTTAGACTTATACGTCGACAGCCCTAGCAACTCAGGCCCTGATCTCCCGCCTCCAAACACGGAATGGCTTTTACCCTCAATCAGGCTGTCATCATCCGACTCCGAGTGGTGATCCACGCGTGGTGACGAATGGCTCTCAGCCACAAGGAAGCCATCCTCACCACGGAGCCATGTGAAGATATTCCTTGTTGCTGTCTCCGATATCTATTCGTCGAAGTCGAGTTCTCTATAATCAACAAAAACTTGGCAAGTGGCGAGATCCAAGATCGTCCTGTGCTTATGACGGAAGTTAGATACAGGGGCGGCTGTTGTACCCCGTTGAACATATTCTCCGCCCTCACATGTCCAGGTAAAGCTACTACGTATGGTACTTTAAGTTAGTTAGGTACCTAGTTGGCGCGGGCTTAGCGGACGTAACGGACATAGCGTTGTGCCAGGAGTTTCGTTTAATGCCTGGCCGACAACGATGGCCGAGTTCAAAACTGTTCATTAGAAGAGATTCCTACTCTTATCAAGACATTGTACGAACCTCGCTTGTGCCTATATCACCACACTAAGGCAGGGGTCTCGGTGAGAAGAACAGACGCCGGCACGATAACACCATCACGACAACGTCAACACCATCACGATAGCGACGGCACCATGGCGTCGTACCTCATCACTGGAGCCAGCCGTGGCCTAGGGTTTGAGATGGTGAAAGCATTGCTGCAGAAGCCCGCCAGCGAGGTTTCCACCGTCTTCGCCGCTATCCGCAGTGTCCCTCCTCCGGCTCTGGAGGAAGTCATTGCTCAGTCACAGGGTCGCGTGGTGGTGGTGAAGCTCGAGGTATCAGACGAGGCCAGCATTGCCGCCGCCGCAAACGACGTCAGAGACAAGCTGGCTGGCCGTGGGCTCGACGTCCTCATCAACAATGCTGCCATTGCGAGCATGACGCCCACCCCTCTGACCGCGGCAACAACCTTGCAGAACGCGTTCAAGGTCAATGTCGATGCTGTCCACCGGATAACCGTGGCATTCCTTCCGTTACTGAGAGAAGGCACCAAGAAAACAGTGCTGAATGTGTAAGTGGTATATCAACAATTGAAGTTGCAAGATGGCTGATGTTCTTCAACAGGAGCTCGATTGTCGGATCAATTACACACACCAAGAGATTCATGATCTCTCCTGACCATGGCTATCGTGTCTCCAAGGCCGCACTCAATTGCCTGACGTCCATCTTCGCCTGCGAATTAGAGGACGAAGGCTTTACCTTTGTCGCTGTCTCTCCCGGTGTACGTGTCCAAGTCAACCTCCATGCTGGAGCATTTCGTCATGTGTACTAACGCGAAATCAGTGGTGTCGAACGGACCAGGGTGGACAATACGCAGACCTCGATGCCCAAACCGGCGGAGTGGCGCTGCTTGAGGTGCTCGACAAGGACAGGTCCGAGCTGAATGGGAAGTTTGTGAATATCAAGGTAGCCGGCTGGGAGAATGCTACTGGACTCCACCAGTATGACGGCGCGGAGATTCCATGGTAGGAGAAGTAATAAATCCTTCTGTACCAACGCCCTTCGTGTGATAGACCCGCGTCTTGGATTGGTCTGAGTCTGGCGAGCTCCCCGTGTGCATCGGTATCAAGAGCTAGAATCCCGATACCGACATTACGCAAGCCAGATCAACCGATCTATCTTATCTTGCGTATGGTACGAGTAAAGGCTGAATATTTTCCTATTACTAGAGGTTTAGGAATAATAAGTATAGCTTGATACCTTCTGTCTGCCCCTTAAGATACTCTCCGCGATCCGTCGTGATTACTTTATCTTCATATTGAGTTATTGGACTTATACCTCGGCAGCCCAGCGCTTCTTAAGGTTCGCTACTTCCAAATCTTAACTCTAGCCAAGTATTATCTACTTACCTTATAAGACTGGAGTCTTCGGCCGCTCGTTTCCCTTGACTCGCTTTCTTCTTGCTTCATTACTACCTGCCTTATACTCATTGCTACAACATCAACAAACACAAATCAATACAATGGCCAACCTGAAGGACCTCCCGGCCCATCCCATTACAACTCACGATCTTCAGGAGTTACACGAAGCGATCGCCACTAGATTTGCCGCGGATACCTGATCAAGCAACTACAAGCCTCTCTCATACATTGCCTCGATGGCTTCGTCGCTGGCCGGAAGGGCGTCGTCCATATCCGAAAGTATGAACTGCGCGTACCCCAAATTTTACAGAGCTAGGTTGCGCCTTTGTATCCGTAGCCGCAGGTCAACGCTACTATGTAATTTAGAAGTTCGAATGTGCGAAGGTACTCATCGGCGACCGCCGACCCCCAGAGTGTGGGGGGTGGGCGGGTGGCTCACGTTAGTGGCGCTAGTCCAGGAACGTCTCCTCCACCCCGACTAACTTTATTCTTCTCCCGGCCTTCTCGATTTTCTTCTTCTTCCTTCCCACTCCACATCATCTTGAACATCGAATCCAATTCAAATCTGGACACAAGCAATCGTCACCCTCTGTGACACCCACATGCCGCATGTCATTCACAATGCAGAGGACACCTGCCTAATCAACCAACCTACCCAACAGGCCCAGGGCGAGGCCCAGCCTCGTCCTGGTGATGCTGTTGCTGCATCTCCCACCACGGCACCTAACGACGATGTTGAGAAGTGCGTAGTTTCTGCCAACAATGCCGATCATGTCGACACTTCCCCCTCTGCTGAGGTTGGAATGGACCACCCTGACGGTGGGTTGAAAGCATGGCTGGTCGTCTTTGGCTCGTTCTGCGCCATGGGCGCCATCTATGGCCTGATCAACACGTCTGCCGTTTTCGAGGCCTACTTTAGGACTCACCAACTCTCCGACTACAATCACTCCGAGATTGGCTGGATCTTCAGTCTCTACTTGTTCCTGGTGTTCTTCGTCGGTGTCCAGGTTGGGCCACTCTTTGACCGCTTCGGACCAAGATGGCTAGTCGCGGCTGGCACCTCTTGCATCACAGCGAGTCTAATGTTGCTCAGCGTCTCTAAAAGTTAGTTGACTGAGCCGTTGTCTTTTTCACAGAGTTAACGTTCATAGCGTACTACCAGATCATGCTTACTTATTCTGTACTTGGCGGCCTGGAAGTATCAGACTCAGACGAGAGTGTTCTGCTTGGCGACTCCGAACCCCCCTCTATCCTGGGTCAGCTGCCGAACATATACGTCAATGTGAGTATGAGTCAATTCTCTGGGCGATTATTCACTGACCGATTCAGGGGCAGAGATCTCAGTCTCAGCGCTGCACGCCACCTCTCACGCCAATGGCTGAGGAGCCCAGCCCTTACGTACCGAGTATGGAAGCGTGCCAGATTGACTTCACCCCTGAACCACAAAGTCCCTGCAGATCATCTGAAGCCCGTTTTAGAGACCGCTTGGAGATTGGACAAATCGATTCTGATATTGCTTCTTCTGCATCTTTGACTGCATCGCCCAGCTTACCTGTCTTTCACCCAGATAGGGGCGTGAACCCTAGGGACCTGATGCTGGACGAGCCAATAGTTGAGAAAGAACTCAACGGTAGTTCTGTTGCGAAAGTGGAAGCATATCCTTCCAAAGACCTACCCGTCTTGGAGTTATGTGAGGAAGACGTCGTCATGGATGATCAGCCAGCCGATGGTTACTTTGACGAGGCTTTCGCAGCAATCCTGGAGGACCGCCACTCTGCGTGTATGAGGACAGTCGAGCAGGAACGCTTCGATCCCGTAGACTCAATCGCGCGGATCAGAGTACCCCCCTTGGAGTTTACGATTCCTCCACCTCTATGGGAGCAGCATACGCAGGGGAGCCGACAGATGTTTGAGTGGGTTCTGAACGACGCTGCCTGGCTACAGTCGGCTCATTTTCGCCCAATGCCCAAGGATTTCGATTCGATGCTTAAATGGGCACCATTCGCGCCGACCGCAGGGCGTGTGTCGACAACTGGAAGTGTTGATATCCCGGAAGATGTCCTTGGTCAACTCCTCGAAACCAAACCGCCTTTGGTTTCCAGCAGAAGTCATGTAAGACAAGGCTGTGCATTACGCGTTGCTCATCTCGGCTCAGAAGACGATATCGAAGCGCCGCCTGAATCAGGCCCTACAAAAAGTGCTGTTGGTGCTCCTCGAGTGTCGCCACACTTTCGCACGCAGCAACGCTCTGATTCCTTGAAACCGGAGGCTACCTCCTCCAAAGGTCTTGATGACCTTGTCAAAGCCGCTGCTTCCAAGCGCAAGGCTTCAGTCCTGGACTGTACGGCCATCGACAACCAGAATCTCCTACCATTTTCTAGTGATAGCAAAGCCACGTCGAGACTTCTCTCGGGCTTCATGGAACTGAGAGGACGGCAGACTTCAAGTCGTGACAGTGAACATGGCCCATCCGTCAGGACTGATCGGAATACACCTCGCGAGGTTGGGTTGCCTGTTCCGGCTGTAAAGTCGAATAACAAAAGCTCAAAAAGTCCGACCCCAGCATTGGCCCCTGAGTTCACGATACCAGCCAAAAAAAGGACGTACATATTCTCCCTCGCCTTACCCAGAGCGGTGCTTCGCCACATTGGACGGGTTTGGCCAAAGGAACACCTGGTTGACCGAGACTACTCGCATCGCAGCACCTTGGCCTGGTCTCCGGGAAGTGCTCGACGAAAAGAGGTAACATTGTCTCCGGCCCACGAGGCAGACATCTCACTCACGCCGACGACGGGCCTTATCGTCACCACTCTGCTCAAAGCGAAGCAACAATCGCTGCCCAACGCCAAAGCCCTCCCTCAGCTGCGGGAGCGAGTGCTCGAAGTCTCACAAAAGTACGAGTCCCTGATTATCTTGGTGTCGGAGGGCAACACAGCTGGCGAATATGCCAATGACCTCCCGTCGTCGGACATGGAAGCATACGCCGAATTTGTGCGGTTCGCCTCTGTGCTGCAGGCCGGGGTCACTGTGCAATTGGTCCCAGGAGCCGAGGGCACCCTGGCCAAGTGGGTGCTCAAGTTCATGTGCGAGCACTCTCCTCGCGACCGCGAGGTTCCCATGTTCATCCAAACACAGGAAACATCGTGGGAGATTTTCTTCCGCCGAGGTGGCATGAACGTGCTGGCAGCTCAGGTCATGGCGGGAGTACTTCATCAGAGGAAGGGCGATCAGGGGCTGGCTGATTTTAAGGACATGTCCGTGGAGCAGCGCATAGCCATGTACGGGTCGTTTTTGGGCGGGCCAAAGCTGTTGGCGAATTTCAGTAACATGCTAGATCAATCGTGGGAGTGATGAACAAGAGCGAGGCACGGGAGATGCGTGTCTCTGTTATCCAATCGCCTCCCGCAGTGTCACACATCTACATCTGTATAAGCAATCTACGCGGTGATGATCTCCCGATCAGCACAGCTCCCACATGGGCCGAGGAAAGTGCTTCATCGACAGGCCGTCCCGCTGCTGGACCTTCTTCAGGCCGACGTAGACGACCTTGCGCGAGGGGTTCGTCAGGACGACGGAACGCGACTCGAGGCCATAGTAGTCCGAGATGGAATGCGTGAGCCAGCGCCTGCAGACGCATGTCAGTCCTCCATCGTATATATGCACACTAGAACGAAGGGGGGAGAAAAACTCACTTGAAGGACGCGCCCTCGCCGTCGCCAAAGTCGTCAAACACCATGCCCTGCTCCACCATCTCCTTCTGCACGTTGCGGTTGGCCATGCGCCACCGGCTGCCGCCATTCTTCTCCTCGGCGCCGCGTCTCCCGACAAAGACAATCTCCTCGTCCTCCGAGTCGGCGTCCTGCTCGCACTCGCCACGCAGATAATCGCGCACGGGCTCCTCCAGACCCCGCACCCACGTTTTGACGACGGGGCTCCTTTTGACCGTCTCCCTCAGGTCCCGCGAGACCTCCCCCTTGCGGGTGCCCGTCGCGCGACCGGCGGAGACCTGCTTGGCCTTGCGCTGCACGAGCCTCTGCATAGCCTCATCGTCCTGTCTCTGGCGCAGGCCCATGTCCCAGAAGTTGGCGAGCGCATACGGCACGTTGCGCGTGGGGTATGTCGGGCGCGGCTCCCAGTCGCTCTCGAGCGGGGGCTGCGCATTCGGCACGCCGACGAGGCGGTCGTTCTCCCAGCGTCGCCTCTGCCGCGATCCCTCGTTGCCCTTGAGCAGAGCTTCACGCCTCTTGAGGGAGTCACGTCGCGAAGGGGGTCGACGGGGCGTGTCGGATTCAGCATGGCCCTCTTGGAACTTGACGGCCTTGTCGGCGGCGGCAGCAGCCCTGGCGTCGAGGGAGATGGAGAGCGGAGTGCCGGTGCCACGAGCCACGGGAGAGACGGATAGAGCTTGCAGAGCCGAGACGGTCCAGGCATCAATGTCAATGCCAGTTGCGGACGTCTGCGTCCTGAGAGGCGTGGTGGCAGTTGCTCGGGGAGCTGCGGTGGCCGAGGACGGAGGGGGAGGGGTCGAGGTTGAGGCGAGCTCAGGTGGTGGCGGCACGGCGTTGTAGAGAGCCATAGTGGCGATGGGTCTCTCGGGGGTCGGTTTTCGAGTACGAGGGAGAAGCAGTCTACTAGATAAGAATAAAGGGAGAGTGCCTATTAAGCTATTAAGGAGACGAAGGCAGAGAAGAGCAATCGATGAGATGGTGGAAGGAGACAGGGATGGACGGACGGGGAGGAGTCAGATAGGGATGGATGATGATGAGCCGTACAAGGTGGCCGAGATAGGGCACGGTGGCCAATCAGGGTGGGAGCGCATAGCAGGTGGTGGGTTCCTGGTTTGGGGTGCATTTGAACCCCTGTCAGTGTCACTGCTGGTTACCCTGTGCCTGATGTCGTGTGACGGGATCATGCACGGAGCTTTCTGACACGGCGGCGGTATGATCATCCAAGGTGATTCATCCCGGAGACATCCGTCACCGGATTATTCAGTAGTCAGAGATGTTTGCAATCACCCGTGCGTGACGGCGGGGGTTTCCACAATCGCCTCGCATGCATGTGGTGAAGTCATTTGATGGCAAGGCAGCACCAACATCACCCCTACGAACGACAATTGTATGAATCACAATGAATGAATCAGGCGTGCTAGTATGGAGAAGCCCCCTCCATTGCATCCGTGCCACAATCAAAGCTATTCCATGCCAATGAGCTGTATGCGCGCACAGATGCTGGCCCCTCCCCCGATGACTCAGAATGAGCCCGGCGGCATTCGCCAGTCCAACCCACCACCAACAGAAGCCCGTGATATGTGCAGAGAAGCGAAATAAATATACAAAGACAGCCAAGCCCGCGTTCGACGCCGTATCATGTGCACTCCTTTTACCCGCTGTAGTCCTGTCGCGGGTGTCCAATGCCCCCTGGTTTGAGCAGCGGTTGCGATTCGCGAAGAATGGCACGCTGTTCGCGCTCGTGTAATTGCTCCAGCTCATCCTCGTTGTCGGCGTAGAGCTCGGGATGGCCGGTAAAAGGCCCAGGCAGGCCACGCTCGAGGCCTTCCGAGTATGTGCGATTGGGTTGCGGTCGGCGGCGTGGGTGGTGTTGCTCGTCAGGTGATCCGGGCACGCTGGGCGCGTTGTCGACCCATGTAATACCGCCTTCGTTCTCGGGAGGAGAACGACGTGTCACCTCGTAGTAGATGCCCATGAAGAGAACGGCACCCTGCATGGCGGCAGTAAACAGGAAGATCATCCACGTACTCCATCCCTCCCAACCCAGCCTGACGTAGAGATTGAACGCAAACAACAGGCCGCCGGGTGTCTGGATACACATCATGGGGATGCTGAGACTGCCTACGTGCTTGAGGCGATATGTTGTATAGATCTGAGGCACGTATTGGACCGACGCAAGGGCTGTGCTCATGATACCGAGAAAGTTGGCCCAAGAATTGAGTTGCTTGGGGCGCGCGAGGAAAAAGTACCCCGTCAAGATGATGACAAAGAGGCCGTGGATGACACAAAGCAGCCCGACGGTGATGGCGGTGCGCCAGCCTGGAGCTTGCCCTCTAAGCTCCTCCTGAGGGACGGCCGCTTCCTTGTAGCGAAAGAAGATGAGGAAGAGCACCAAGCTGTGTAGGTTGCGTAGTTAGCAGCCCGCCCACCAACCAACCAGATCGAGAGTCGGACTTACATGAGACTAAAGCAGACCCATTGCGTGCCAAATTGGGCGACGCCCAAGAGACCGGCCGTACATTGGTAGCCATCGAGCTCCTTACAGCATCCCATGGCCGTGCGGGACTCTTGTGTGCTGAGGATGTTGCCGAAACCGGCGGTTGCCGAAGTCGTCCCCAGCAGCACAAAGTAGGGCGATATCCCTTCAGAAGTACCGCGCGAGATGATGCGATAATGCTGGGGGAGGTAGGAGAAGAGAATACCTATCACCAAGATACTGTGAACATGTTAGTATAGATGGGAGCCAGGTGAGTCACCGTCTGACGAACCTTGACACAAACAGCTGGACGAAGCCAGGGCTCCGGTAGACATCGCACTCATCGCGCGCGGCTCCAAAGAGGTCCATGGCTAATCGGTAAAAGATGCGAAAGTGATGTATAGATGCGTTGATTCAGTACCCAGGCGTAGACAAGATGAGTTGGAATGGTGATGGACAGCTCTTCACTCTACAAACGGGCCGTCAGTGCCTCAGTCGCAGCCGTGTGGGGGATGAGCGGCTGCTCAGAAGAGCATGATAGCGATGGCCCGAGGATGAGAATGCAGCAAGAAGAGTAAGGAACGCAGAAGATGGCGATGGAACAGTCCGCTGGCGCGTCGGTTTGATGATGGTAGACACGACTGGATGCAATGACGTTTCGGGCAGGCTGTTGGCAGCAAAGGAGCGTTGCGGCGCTGGAGGTCAACCGCCGGGTCTATGTGAAGTAGCGCGGTGCTGAGTGCCGATATGTTGATTCGCACGATCGAAGGCCTTGTCGCGATGAGATAAGGTGAGGCCGGGTGAGTCGACTTGGAGGTGAGGCCGGGCGATGGGAGCAGATGCGTGCCTGGCAGCCGGAGGCTGGAGGTCAAATGCCCAAAGAATGCCAAGCCAATAGAGGTCGGCCCAATCCACTTAAGAGCGCGGCAGGCCCGCTGCAGTGCATCTGATGGGACCTGAGAGGTGCTAGGGTCACAGGTCACTGCACACGCTTCCCTGGCGGGTGATGTACCTCGCGCGTCCGATGAAACTAGCAGACACGGGATCAGCACCGGTACCCTGACGTAGGCATCCAGATGACGTCGAGCGTAGCGGGCATGCACTGAGCAGCGGTGGATCTCTAGGCCTCTACAAGCACCTTTTGTGCCTGATCGTACCCGCTACTGACCCTTCAATCCATCAGAATTTAGGGCGTCCCTCCCGCTGAATTTTCCATGCTACAGGCAGTCAATTCCCAGAAGCCCATCCCAGCCGCCAACATTCCCATGGTCCCTGAGCTGCGTCCGAATCTTCCCATATCGCGCCATCCTATGCACAAGTTAGTCCACCCTGGCCAACGTCGTGCCGCTTCTCACTTATTTGGGCGCTCACCTCCTGGTGAACAAGGTTGGGTCAGCCAGCAGCCAAGACAAAGACTAGTGTCTCGGCAGGCCCTCGCCGTGCCAACCAGCCCGTGCCGACACGAGAAGAAACAGCAGCGGGAGCGAGCGAGCACGCACGCACGCACGTTGCCAATTGAGCCGCCAAGACTGCTAGCCTGCAGCCAACGGAGATGAACAAGGAGTCTGCCTTGGCCGATCACATCTCATCCTTATCTCGCGGCACTTAATAGCCCTTGACGGCCTCGAGATTGAAGGATGAGTCCCAGCACGCGCCTTCTGGCGCGGTGCAACCATCCTCACCAGGGCACCTCGTTCTACACCTCCGCGCAGTGGACTGCCGATGGCACCACGGTCCTCACTAGCTCCTCGGACCAAGTGATCAGCGCGTTCGCACTGCCGGACGATCTGTTGTCAGGAGAGCAGACCACGCTTCAGGCGCAGGGACAGGTCACCCTGCCAGAGCCGTCACAGATCATCGCGCCAGCTCCGTACTTCTCCCTCCAGGAGCCTACCACACAGCATTTCCTCGCTGGCTGTCGTGATCACCCACTGCAGCTGTATAATTGCTTCCCCAACGACGAGGCATGTGCCCCTATCCGGGGCTACAAGCTCATCAAGCATGAGACGGAAGCGTACATCACGCCCTCGTCCGTCCTATGGCAGTATCCGGGTACGCACTTTGTCGTAGGCTCTACGAATCGGCTTGACCTGTTCGACATCACGGGCCATTCAAGTGACGGACCCGTGACGACGGTGGCGACGATCCCTTCGAAGCGGCATATCCGCAAAGGCAACGGGATCGGCATGAAGGGTACCGTCTCGGCTCTGAGCTCCTCCGCCGCCGGCGCCGAGGGTGGGATCATCGCCGCCGGCACGAGAACGAGATGGGTAGGCATGTACGATCTCTCGCGGTCCGAAAAGACCGTCGCCAACTGGAGCATCGCGGCGGCCGCCGACGAGGGCGGCGTCCCTGGGCAGGGCATCGTACAGACGATCTGGTCGCATTGCGGACGATACCTCCTGGTCAACGAACGCAATGCCCCCGGGCTGCTGGTGTACGACGTGCGCGTCACCGGACAACTGCTCAGCATTCTCAAAGGTCGACGGGCCAACACCCAGCAGAAGTTAAACGTGGATGTCTTTCCAGGAGGAGAGGACGGCGGATTCGAGGTCTGGGCTGGCGGTGATGACGGGAGGGTTAGTGTCTGGGAGGGCGTCGGGCTTCATGGCGACTTTGATGCCAAGGAGACCTGGGGCTGGAGAGCACATGATGCACCCATGGGTAGTGTCGCCCTTCACTCAAGCGGTTCTGTCGTCGCGACGTGCTCTGGCGGATGGGAGTACGCGACAAAAAACGACGAGGACGCCGGCGACGAGGGCAAGGGGAACATCCTCCAAACAGATGGGAGCACCATTCTGGACGACTCGGCACTGAGATTATGGTCTATTGCGGCCTCACAAGCAGACGAGTCCACCGATTTGGACACCGAGGCGCAAGGGCTGCCAATACACGGCACTACCCACAAGTAGATATTGTAACTAAACAGAGATACCCGACCAACGCAAATAACTACCCTTTTGATCAACTCGTCTCCTTCTGCTTCTGCGTCTCGCTCTTGGGCTCCGGCTCCCCCTTCTTAGGCTCGTTCTTGGACCCGGGCTCATTCTCATAGCCACCGCCTTGCTTCTCGTACTCCTTGGCCAGCTTGCTCGCCTTCCACGCGGACCATTGGCCCTGACCGCCGCCGGACTTGTTGGGCTCTTGCTTGATCTCTATTGCTCCGTTTCAGCGACTTGTTGTTCATGTGTGCACAATTTCTCTAGTCACCTTCCTTGAGCTCCTCCCTGAGCTCCGGATCAGTAGGCTTTCCCTTTGAAGAGGTCATCTTGAAGCTTTTAGTTGATTTGTGGCGTGGGCAGAGGTAATTCTGGAATGTGAACAACTACTTTGATTTTAAATGTACATTGCGATACTCTCAGTCTTACTTGTAGTCACTGACGTTGTAGTGCGAGTGCGGCTGCGACTAACATGTTAGTCTATGACACGCGCACACCAACTCGGCGGCTAGTCTAGTCCGCAAGCAGCATCAAGGGACGATCCAAGCGCACCGACAGCTTGTAAAAGCAACACCAGCATATGATGCAATTAATCGTTCATAGCAATATTCAATCGACGTGCGAAAGTGAGACGCTGCCGTCATCATTGGAGTCATCAATCATTGAAGCCATCATTGAAGCACGGCCCTGCTATCCTGAGCCCTCGTCTGACTCCTTCTAATGCTAAGCTATGGGTATCCATGCTGATGCTATTCTAAAAAACCAAAACATCTCATCAACGCAGGTAGCCGCCCTCCTCTACAGCCAATTCATGTTCTTTGTCTGGACACGGTTCTGCTGCCACAGCGCACCGCCGCCTCCGCCCCTCCGTGGTCCAGGATACGTCCCATAGTCGCCGTCGCCGGACTGATTGTTACTGCTGTCGGCGGCGCCCATGCGATCCGTCATTTCAACGTCTCGGCTATCCATGAACTGCGCCGCCACGGGATGCGGATGATGGTCCGATGACCGGACGATCGTGGGACTCATGCCCATCTCACTAGTCAGGGGCATGCTGTCCTTTTCTTGATATCCAGAGCCCTCGACGGCGCCGCCGCGCGATGAGACGGATGACCAGTATGGCGAGACCGTGTGGCGCGGCTCCTCGTTGGGGTTGGACTCGGATGATACGCCTAGCGATGTGCCGGCGCCGGCGCCATCAGTCGTACGGGGACCGTCCCGCGGTAGCTGGGATTCGTCGACTTCTTGCACAGCAGATAGGGGTTCGAACGGATGGCGTGCGTCGGTCATGGGGCTGCTTTTGTTAGTCTCGCTCGCGGATCCAAGTGCTGTGATGGAGACGCCATACCTGATATACTTGGTGTCGCCTTGCTGACCAGGCCCTTGCCTGGAGTTGCCCTTCCGACGGCGCCACAGATACAGCGCCAACACGGCCACCATGGCAACAAAAGCCACACCGCCTAGGGTGCCTCCGATAATAGCACCAGTATTCGGCCCATTGCCACTGTTTTCGGGAGCGGCAGTGTCGTCGTCGTCAGCCCCGCCGCTCGTCTCAGTCGCGCTTGGTCGCTCTGTTGTCCTCGTTGCAGTCGTCGATTCTTCCTCAGCGGTACTACTTGAGCTGTCGCTCTCTGTGGTATCTGTTGATTGTGTCGCGCTTTTCGTCCTTGTGCCTGTCCCCAGGGTTGTTGGCTCTGATAGCGTGGAAGGTTGTTCCGTCATCTCGACGCTCACAGTTCCCAGCTCGACATCCGTTTTCCCGCTAGCAGTCATCCTCACCGTAGCGGCGCTGCCTCCACAACCGTACTGGAAGAATCCTCCCTCAAAGTCGTTCCTGAAGCAGCCACCATCGCCGCTGCCGCAGGTGAAGACGTATGGGTCAATCGCATTCTGCGGGGGACTGTCGCTGTCAACGCAGGCTGTATACACACCAGTTGTACATGCGACGTCGCCATTTGGGCAGCAGCCTATTGCGTTATGCGCCACGTCGACAGCGCAATGTGATCCCGCCGAGCATGTCGCAGCCAGCTCGGGGTCGCCTCCAATGTACCCGCATATCGTGTTGAGGGCCTGTTGCCGGGGGAACAACGCAGCCGTGGGTATGGGATAGGGGAGAACGTCGAGTGTCTGGTAAGGCAGTACTGTGGTCCGTTGTGGGAGAATGTGCGCAGATGTGGTTGTGAGGAGCGTAATGATGAACGTCGTTGGCTCATGTATTCGATACGGTGATGATCGCCGGCGGGTCATGATGGTTGTTGTCTTAGACTTTCAGACACGCGCCACGACGACGCTGGCCTTGGTGTTGTCACGACTCAAAATCCGGAGAGCGAGAGAGGTCGTCACCGGGAAGTCTGAGTCTGGCGACGAGATGACGAAGGAGAGCGAGTGCAAACAGATTTGGAACTCGGACTGAGAAAAGAGAAGGCTCAGCTTCCAGGGCAACGGGGGGAGCACAGCGTTGGCAGCTGGCAGGGGTCCACCAGACAACAAGCGGACGGGGGGCGTTCTTCCAGCGACAGAAATCCGATTTTTGTTACGACGTTGTTAGCAGCCAATAACGAGAACAGTCAATGCGAGTGTCAAGTCGCACAGAGATGATCAAGGCGAGATGCCTCACTCATTTATTATTAGTACGACTTGAGCATGGTGCAGCGACCCCCAAATTCGAGACTGGATACATAAGGCTGACGCAGTTCGCACTGTAAGCGACGCATTGAGAGTGGTGCATTGTACTGTGCGTATATGAGCCGGCACTGTCCACAATTGTACGCCAAGACATGCTGCATCGTGGCGGTGCGGCCCAAATATAGATTCAACCCAAGACCATCTCTGCACCACGCGCATTCGATTCCATGTCACATCACACCAACCTCTTTATCTGAATTGGTATGCTCCAGTGTACGGATAGGTAGTGCGACGTAATACTGTATCTTCCAGATCCAGTCTGGTGTGGTGGCCTGCGAGCAACAGAGCAGAAAATGAACCTATGTTCTCTCGCGACGCGCAGGACGCGATGCACCGACGATGATACGTCGTCGCGGGACAATTGTCACCAGGGTAAGGTACGTAGTACTCATTGCATGAGGAATGATTCAATTCTTGGGTCAGTTTTACTCAATTCTGTCCAGATTTGCGGCAACCTCGAGAGTGCGTCACGTGCCGTTGATGCCGTCACCTTGGATTGCTCTTTCCCCAGAGAACAAAATCACGATACCCGGAGCTGAACCTCCTCAATAGTGGGTCTTGGAGTTAACCACGCGGCCAGGAACGTTGACGATTTGCGTTCTCTCATAAATCTCAGCACCACGAAATAAAATAAGAGTTTTCTCTCGCAGAAAGCATTTCACGTATTTAAATCCCCAATTCCATGGAATCAAGTCCAGTATACGACGGGCTCATTGCAGTACGTAGTCAGAAAGAGCACTTGCATCCCTGCAGCTAAGACATCCAACAGTTTTCCAACTGCCGACAACTCCACGTCCTTCACACCAACTCCGCTGGCCTGAGATGCCACCTCTACGAGCACCTGCAGGTGCAAAATCGTCGGCAGACGACTGGGATATTGAGCTTCCCGACATCAAAGAACTTGATTCCTTTCGCACTGTGGTGAGAAAGCTCTCAAAGTATGTATACATCCCCATGAATATCTCGAGTTTGGGCTGACACGCATCAGATACTTTGAGGAAGTCATTGAGCTGCCCAGCACATTTGAGCAATTGCGGACAACATCATCCGGCAACTGTTTGCGCGTCTTGGTCGACCATCTGGCCAAGAACTGCGAGAATCAAGCCATCGTCAACGCCCTCCTGGCCTTGAAATGGCATTACGCTGTCGATGATGAAAACGAGCAGGGGCTTGGTCCGACACGGTCGAGCGCCTGCGAGATTGTTGCATGGAGGTTCCTGACACGCTTCCCGGAGCGTGTGGCCTTGGACTATTGCCTGTATGAGATCCCCGAGGCCCAGCTCCCGAGCCAGATGGGCCCGCTGGCGGCCCAGACGTCGCAGGACCCTGAGGACAACGCTGAGCTAGCACCTTTGCTATCGCGCTTCTCGGCAAGGACCGATCGAAGCAATTCAATATCTGCGCCGACAGGAAGCAAAACCAAGCGAAGCGAACTGCTCTTCTCGCTGTCGAGGCTGACAGAAGGGAGCCATGACTCTGCTTCAGCGGGCCCAGACGACGAGGATCCGAGCGCTGCCTTTGAAGGACTGAACGCGCTTGAGATTGCTGCCGTGGCGGATGCTAAGCGCTTCCTGAGCCAGCATGTGGTACAGAAGATTTTGACTGGCATATGGAACGGGCAGATCGTATACTGGGATGCCTTGTCACTCCACGCGAGGAAGCAGCCTCGCTTCTATCACCCCGACAGAGCTGACCCTTACTCGCGGCTGAGGGTGCCCAAGTACATGAAGTGCTGGGAAGTTGTCTTCTTTGGCATCTTCCTCTGTCTTTTCTACGCTGTGCTTATTGTTCCGCCGAAAGATCGGCTTACGGGGGTCGAATTTGCCTTGTGGTTCTGGTTCGCTGCGTTCCTCTTTGACGAGCTGAGTGAATGGGGCGATGCGGGAAGCGTTATATACACGGCCGACATCTGGAATTTTTTTGACATGATTGTGATTCTGATTGGAATTGTCTTTATCATCCTTCGTAAGTCACCTATGCGAGACTCGCCATTACCAGCTGACAGTTATCAAAGGGATCATTGGACTCATCCAGAACAATCATGAGCTCAGTGGCTGGGCCTTTGACATACTCGCACTAGAGGCCCTGTTTCTCATCCCGCGCATCTGCTCCATCCTGAGCTTGAGTCCTTATTGGGGAACGCTGATTCCATGCTTGAAGGAGATGGGCAAGGACTTTTGCAAGTTCATGGTACTACTGGCCATCTTCTTCCTGGGCTTCTTGACCACCTTCTCCCTCCTGGGTCGCGGCAATTTCAGACTCGGGAGCATGTCGATTATTCTCACCCGAATCTTCTTCGGATCCAGCTACGTTGGTTTCGATATCATGGACCAAATTGATCCCATTTTTGGACCACCGTTGATGATCATCCTCGTCATCTTCTCCAACATCCTCTTGCTCAGCTCCCTGACTGGTATTCTCTCCAACAGCTTCTCCCGCGTCATCAACCACGCTCGAGAGGAATATCTCTACGTCTACGCGGTGTACGTGCTGGAGGCATCGACGAGCAACCGACTCATCCACTTCTATCCGCCCTTTAACTTTATCGCCTGGATCATGTTCGGCCCGTTGTCTCTCGCGTTCCCAAATTCCCCCGCTATACTCAAGGCGCGCATTGCGGCATTGAAGATTTCTCATCTGCCCATCATTGCCGTCATCAAGGCGTACGAGTGCCTCCAACACCGAGAGTCCCAGGTTTTCTTGGCTGGCTTCGAAAGTCCCGCGGAGCAGCCGCGCGAATCGCACCGCAGACCAACGATGCCCCAGATTCGACCCTCGTCAGCCTACAACCGGCCCACCATGCCCCTCCTGAGCGCCAGCGCGTTCGGCAAGATGGGCAAGCAAAAGTCGGAGGACGTCGACGAAGATGTCAACGCGGACACGTCCTTGGCGGCGCAGATTGCCGAGCTGAACAGCAAAATCGACAATATCACGACAGCCCTCTTGGCCATGCAGCAGAATCAGTCGATACGCACCGAGGCAGCGGCTGCCGAGGGCGGAACGACTGAATCGTAACTTGAAGACCAGCCACATCTACAACGACTTGAATCGATATCTATTTCCAATGCTACTACTGCATCTAGTCCTTCTTTGTGACGTTTGTCTCCTGGACCCATGGCTTCCAGACCTCCTCGACGCCCTCCTCGAATCGGAAACCATCCCAGTCAAAGTTCATCATGCCCCAGGTATCGTTGACATTCTGCCCGCCCGAGCGCACCCTGTACGAACCGGCCACCGCCCACATGGCCCAGCTGACGTCGTTCTCGGTGGTGAACTCGCGTAGGCAGTCAATGTAGCTGTTGTTCAGCAGCGTCTCGTCCTGCGCGGTGCCAAACTCGGTCATCGCCACGGGCGTGAGGCGCGACGGCTCCCGGCACGGGCCGAGGTAGTGGTTCTCGAGCAGGTCGCAGTCCTTGGGCCTGTCCATGCCCAGCGCGTTGAAGCCCGCGCGGTACAGCTGCGCCTTGATAATGTCGCACGTGCCGACGTCAAGGTCCTCGGTCATGGTGTACAGGTGCAGCTCGTAGAATACCTTGTCACCCCATGCGTGTTCGTCCAGGTTGAAGATGACTGGGTCGCGCCGAGGGGAGTCCTGTACGGACACGCACATGTAGCAGGGCGACGTGAGGAGGTTGGTGCCGCTGGTGAGAGCGGACAGATCCTCGTCAAACTGCAGGCCGGACCAGGAGATGAGCAGGTCCGGGTTGGCCTTGTGGATTGCGTCGGAGCCGAGGGTCATGTTGCCGACGAGGGTCATCCAGTTGTAGCCGAACTTGGGGTAGTCGTCGACCCACGGCTGGCGCAGCTCGTTGACGAGCGACATGGAGACGACGTTGGGGAAGTCCTTGGCCCAGTCGGCGACGTAGGACAGCGCACGCGTCCAGTTCTTGACGTTGAAGTCCTCGTCGCCGAACCAGGCACTGCCGTCGTCGTGGCCACAGCACCAGCCGGCCTTGGCGATGTGCATATCTGGGTGGACAAACATGCCCCTCTTGGCCGCCATGTCGACAATGTCGCCCCAGATCTGGAAGCGTCCCGTGGTGCGATTCCACGAGGGGTTGTGCTTGACAATTTCGGACGTGACGCGGGTTCCGTTGTAGTAGCCCATAGCCTTGATCATGGCCGCTTCGAGGGGGACATCGTCCTGGTCAGATTCGTACACCTCGTCAACCATGGTGGCCGAGTAGCCCATGCGGAGGAAGTTCATCCCCATCGAGCTGAGATCGTCCAAGATGTCCCCCGCCGGACGTTTCTCGAGTCCTTCGGGCACCATGGTTTCACCTAAGACGTTTAGTCAGCGAAGAGACAAGGCAGCAGACGGGCCCAGGTTAACATACCGGACAGGGGCCAGTTGATGCCCGCCCATTTGATCTTGTCACCCCGAGAGTTGACGATATGGCGACCCTCGGTGTGGGCAGGCCCATAGGGCCATTGTTCCTCACGCAGAGCGTACGAGTGCAGGTCCGTGTCATACGACCGTCCTTCAAGCGCAGCGCCGGCGGTGCTACCCGCGAGGACGGTGGCAGCAGCCAGAAAACCAGTCACAAGCCCGAGCATGATTGAATTGAGAGTGTGAGGGATTTCTAGACCTCAATGCTCTCCAGCGCTTTGCCTAGAGGGCGACGCAACGCCGGCTACTTATACTCTTCCTCCCGAAGAGCAGGACCCCACACACAATGTTCCCAACTTCCCCGGCCTCCGGACAACGAAGCTGCGGGGAGGGAAACATGGCGGGAAATTGCGAGAGTTCTCCAACAAGTTCCCACGTCGTTCGACGTCACTGGCTCGGTAGTAGCGAGAGCAATGTGCCGAGCGTGGTGATCATCCCCCGAGTCAGTCCCCGCGAACTTGACCAGGGGGGAGACCGTGGGGACGAGTCCACGCGCGCCAATGGCTGGAAACGCCTGCACGCGCACATGGACCGATCTCCTCAAGAGGAAGTTGACAACTACGTACAGCCGCCCCCTTAGTGGCGTGCGTAACCTTTAAGCTCATAATGATGGTTTTATGAAGGGACTGGAGCTAGTATTGGGCCGCCAAGGCCAAGGCGTCCACTTTGTCGGCAGTAGGAGCTCGCTGCTCGCCCCGATTGGAACGCAAATGCCGGGGCATTTCCCCATGGGGATGGTGATGTTTGTCTGCCGCTCACGTTGCGTCGAATGATGCTTCGTATCCAAGCGACACTGGTGTCAAACCCTCGGCTCCCGTTGGACCGAAGCTCATCAAGTGCTTCGCGCTGGCGGGTCCAGAGGACTATATAAGATGGGTCGATGGTCGATATCAAGGAAATTGTTGGCACCGGGACAAGAGCCTGTTCAGCAGCCATCATGAGAACCTCTCCCATCACGCCAGCCGCCACTCTGCTCGGCCTCCTGGGCCTGGCGGTAGGCGCTCCTACGTCGAGCATTGCGTCGTCCCTCAAGGCAATCAACATCCACAAGGCGGACGACATTCGAGGCAGTGTCACTCTGCCCTCGAGCGTCGATGGACATGACATTGAGTGGTCTTCATCGGACGCGGACATCATCTCACACTCGGGCGTTGTTAAGCGTCCATCATCCCAGGCCCAGGTCAACCTGACGGCGTCTGTCACCTCGAATGGCGAGACCATAAAGCACACCATCACCACCACGGTACAACCGGCAGTGCAGCTGGACCCCTTCGAGGGCTATGCCTTCGCCTACTTTGTCGGCAACACGCTCGCAGGCGAGAACATTTTCTTCGCCGCCAGTAACGGCAACGACGCTTTGTCGTGGGCCGAGCTCAACAACGGCCAACCAGTGCTCACCTCATCCAAGGGCACAGGCGGTCTCCGCGATCCGTTCATCATCAGGTCCCCTGAAGGTGACACATTCTACCTCATTGCCACAGACCTTTCCATCGGAAGTGGCACCTCGTGGGGTGATGCCGTCAGGAAAGGCAGCCTCTATCTCGAGGTGTGGGAGTCCAACGACCTCATCAACTGGTCGGAGCAGCGCCATGTCAAGGTGGCCCCCGACAACGCAGGCAACACCTGGGCGCCTGAAGCGTACTTTGACGACAGCATCGGCGAGTATATTGTCTTCTGGGCCTCGTCGCTCTACGACAACGAGAACGACCCCGACCATACCGGCACCAGCTACCATCGCATGCTGTACGCCACCACCCGCGACTTCATCACCTTTGGCGAGCCGGTCATCTGGCAGGACAATGGCATGTCCAGGATCGACTCGACCGTCCTCAAAGCTTCTGACACGTACTACCGCTTCACCAAGGATGAGGGCGCGAGCGGCACCGGATGCTCTGATATCATCCAGGAAAGCTCAACCAACCTGCGTGGCACACTCGACTCCTGGACCGTCATTGCCACCTGCATCGGTCGTGACGCTGGCACCCAGGCTGTGGAGGGACCGACTGCCTTCAATTCGAACCCCGGTGATGTGCACGGTGACAAGTACTATCTCTTTGTAGACGAATATGTCAACCGTGGGTACATCCCCCTGGAGACCGCCGACATTGCCAACCCCGACTGGCAGGTCTCTGCCGACTACAGCCTGCCACCAAGTCCTCGTCACGGCACCGTGCTGCCAGTCACGGCCGCTGAGCTTGAGGCCCTCCACTCGGGCGCTCAACAGCCAGCGAAGCGCTCCCCTCTCGCGACAGCCAAGCGACAGAGCGAGGACCTCGCTCTGCTCCCTGGCTACTACGCAGACCCCAACATTGCCACCTTCCCCAATGACTGCAACTACTACATCTACGCCACGACAGACGGCACGCCTGGCTGGGGCGGCTTCGAGTTCTACGTCTGGAAGTCCACCGACCTCGTCGACTGGGTCCGCTCCGATCAGCCCTTCCTCACCCTCGGCGGCGAGAACGGCAACGTCCCCTGGGCCACCGGCAACGCGTGGGCGCCGACCATTGCGGAGAAGGACGGCAAGTTCTACTTCTACTTCAGCGGCAACAATCCCGAGTACAACGCCAAGACCATGGGCGTGGCCGTCGGTGACTCGCCCGAGGGTCCCTTTGTTGCGCAGCCCGAGCCCATTGTCACCGGCACCGAGGCGGTCGCGACGAGTGGCGGCTCCATCGACCCCTGCGTCTTCCGGGATCCCGTCTCCGGCACGTACTACCTCTACTGGGGCAACGGGACGCCCGTGTACGCGCAGCTCAACGACGACATGGTCAGCGTCGACTGGTCGACCGCCGCCGAGCAGCAGGGTCTGACGGACTACCGCGAGGGCAGCTTTGTCAACTACCGCGACGGTTTGTACCACATGACCTACTCGATTGACGACACGCGCTCCGAGAACTACCGCGTCGGGTATGCCACAGCCCCTAGCCCTGATGGTCCCTGGACGTACCACGGCGTCCTCCTCGAGAAGGATGTTGAGAAGGGCATCCTGGGTACCGGACACGACTCTGTCCTCAACGTCCCCGGGACTGACGACTGGTACATTGTGTACCACCGCTTCAAGATCCCCGACGGCAACGGCACGAACAGGGAGGTCACCATTGACAGGTTGAACATTGATGAGGAGACGGGGCTGTTTGAGAAGGTCGTCCCGACGATTGGCGGCGTGGATGCGGAAACCATCCCTGGGTGTGACGGGAAATGCAAGCGGAGCCTGGTGAAGGAGTGGATGGCGTAGATAGAGCCTCGTTCATGTTGAAATGATATTGTATTCGTGCGACGTCTCGCTGTGCAGTCACCTAGTCCCACGCCATATGCGTGTCCCTCTGGTTTGCATGATAAGACACCAAATGAACCAAACGCCCTTTTGAAGAGTCCCTCCACACCAGTTCTACTAATATGCGTGTAACTACCCAGCGAGCTGCCCGTGCTGCAAGCCAGCTCACTTGCATACGCAACAACCAACGCCCATTCGCCGAGCTGCCATGTAGATGCAGCCCTGCCGGTCGCATTCACGACCACATATGCACACCATCTTCGAGGCCTCTGGCCGTTTGGCCAGCCCGCATGAGAGTCAGATGACGGGGTCGCCGCCTTGCCTTGTCTGCCTTGTCGAGGGTTTGTACTACCTCGATGCCTCAAGGGGGGAGGGAGGGAGCAGGCTCGCCCATAAGTCTCGGGGGTGGTCTCCTTCAGCCCTGTCAGCGGCTGCTCATACACACTGTCTCACTTTTTCCCATTCTTTCTTCATCGTCGCAAGTGGGAGATTCGAAACAAAATGGCCGTGGTTCCCGCTCCTGTCGTCTTGCGAATCCGCGGTACGTCGGATGGCCTGACAGATCGCGACGCCGCCGCGATTGCTGGCTCTGTCGTCGGCAGTATCATTGCCATCCTCCTCATGATATTCTGCTGCATCAAGTGGACGCGCTACCAGAGCGAGATACGCAGGGTCAATCGAAGACGGCACCGCTCCTCGTCCGCATTCACCTCTTCTTCTTCTTCTTCGTCGTCGTCAACGTCCAGTGAGGACCGCGAACGGCCCATCCGCGGCGTGCCTGTGCGACCGCCACCGCGGGCTGCAAGACCTCCGCCCGTGCGTGTGAGCCAGAGTGTCAGGGAGAGCGTGAGGGTTTCGGAGAGGATACCGGGGGGACCGCGGTACCCGACGTACAAGGCGATTCCGATTCCGAATCCGAGAAACAATCCAAAGGTGAAGCATAAGGCTTGAGAGGGGATGCGGAGAGCTGGACTTTTTGTTATGTGGAACGAATAATGATTACGATATATACGGGGCAATTGGAGGGATATGTCCGTTGTTGTATACGAAGGCTTGGGAGCATTGAAGTGGTCGCAACACTTCGGGATATTAGTGCTATACGAAAGGACGATCAGCGGAAGGTCCTTGAGATGTTTTGGAAAGATCAAGCAGTCTAATGATGGAAACACAAGGGGCTCAGGTTGATTTACATATGGAGGTCTCACAAGGACTGTATCTCACAGTCGTGTCGAATGTACATCCTATTCGCATTCGCTTATTCTACAACCGCCGAAGCAACGCCTCTATGCTACAACCGCTCACATACCTAACGCTCAACCCGCTTTTCATAACCATCGTCATCATCATTCCTTCATCATTTATACAGTGTTCTTCTTGTCGCCGGCGCACGAGTGGTGCTTCTCGACGCCCGAAGCCACGCGCCTCCACTTGGTGAGATCGCGGGCAACACCACGCTTGCTCGAGGGGTTGACCGACGACATGGCGCGAGGGGGCACCTCGGAAAGATCGTTGGCGAGCGCGGCGAGGGCACGACCAGCCGCCTTTGCGTTGACCGTGAGCGCCTCGTAGTTGACATTGTCGAGGTCGTCGCAGGCGAGATGGTAGCAGACATCCTGGGGCGCTCCGGCGCCCGTGAAGATGCCAGAGGAGGGGATGCCAGCCTCGAGGAACGCAACGTAGTCGGAGGAGCTACCGAAAGCACTGTACTCGATCAGTCACACGTTACAACGATGCGCTTTCGCTCGACTCACGCATATTCGGCAGGGAAGCCCTTCTCGGTCAGGTAGTCGACAATGTACTTGCCGCCCGTCTTGTCGGCGTCGTCGTCGGCATAGACGTGGTAGAAAGGCTCAGGGGAGCCGATCATGTCGTAGTTCCAGTAGAAGCGCACCTTGTCCTTCTCCTCCTCGGAGAGGCTCTGAACGTAGTAGGTGGAACCGACCAGACCGCTCTCCTCCGCACCCCACCAGGCGAAGCGGATCTTGTTCTTGAAGCCCTTGTACTTCTTAACTGAGCCGACGAGCTCGAGCAGAGCCGCGGAACCAGAGCCGTCGTCGTTGACACCAGGGCCCTCCTGGACGGAGTCGAGATGGGCACCGAGCATGACGACATTGTCGGCATCGCCCTCCTTGGTCTCTGAGATGATGTTCCAGGTCTCACGGTCCTCGGCAGTGGCATCGACGAGAAGATGGACCTCAATGGTCTCGCCAGCGTCGACTGCCTCCTTCCAGGCTGTACCCTGCTCAAGGGTGATGACAGCGACGGGGGAGATCTGGCCATAGTTCTCCGCCCCAAGGGTGGCGGCGGTGATGGAATTGCCAGGCACGTTGTGGATGAGGAGGGCGCCAATGGCGCCATTGTCCTTGGCCAGCCTCAGCTTGTCCGAGATGGCGCAAGTGCCACGCTTGATGAGTGCGATCTTGCCCTCAACATCGATCCCCTCCCATTGGTCAGCGAAACAGCCGGAGCCACGCTCATCGTCAATGGGCAAGGCGACGAGGTCGCCCGTGACACCACCCTCTGGGGTGGGGTTGTTGTATTGCAGGGTGAGGATGTTCTCGAGGTCACCGTCAGGGCCAGTCACGGCGATTTCATACGTCGTGGCGAACAGGTGGGTGAAGGGCTGGACAAAGGTATCGAGGTGCTTGCCAAAGCGTGTCTGGACGCGCTCGAGGATGAAGTCGAGCGAGGCATTGTAGCCGGGCAAGCCAAAGGCACGGTTCCCGCCATTGTCGCGGGCGATCTTGTTGAAGTTCCAGAGGACATTCTGAAGCCTGGGTCTTGTCAGCGCGCGTCTCAAAGACTCCAATGGCAGGTATCTGACTTGTCTGTGTGAATGTCGTTCTCAATGGCATCGGGGGTGAGCTTGCTGCTGGTGGCAGCAGCACCGGAAGCCGCGAGGCCGGCCGCGAGCAGGCTGGTAGTCTTCATCGTGGGAAAGTGATGGCGATACCGAAGCTCAATAAAGATGTCGGTGAGAGATTCGAGAAGTTGGAGATCAGCGCGAAGGGACAGGAGCCCTTAAATAGAGTGACTGGCAGCAGGTGCGAAGCGCCAGGACGAGCCTCGAGCACCTGTTGGCCTCGCCCGCGCAATTGGTGCCTCGCCTTGCCATGGCGACGCCTGCTACCAAAGATCCCTGTGAGGGTCTTTGTCAACAGGTGGAGAGGCGAAAGATCCCCCATACAAGTCGTCGGCTGTGGTCCAAAGAGGCAGGTCGCAGCATTGGGTGCTCGGCGGGGTGCGTTGGTTGGCGCCGCATGTCGTGTGAGTGATCGCGCCAGGAACAAGCATAATTGTATGGTTGTATTCGGAAATTAGCGTAGAAGAGTGCTTTGAGTGTGGAGACAACGTTTCCGCGCCTTGGAAGATTCGCCAGCTTGTTGAACAAATAGCTGGCCAATCTCTGAGGCCCTGCCCTGCCGTGCCCTTGGTGAAGTCAAGATATTCCAGCAACCGCCCGCGATAAGCATCCCTGCTCTGCAGCCTCTACTACGATGGTGGTCTTTAATCAACCACTCACGATAAGGGTGCACCATCGACTCACTTAACCCGGCCACTGCCGGCCACTACGGTGAGGGGAGAGTGTGGCGCTCCAAGTCGCTTGATCTCCTGCCTCGATGGGAAAGGACAATGTCGTGAGATGGTCCCTTTGTTCTGCGCCCTTGGCGGCTCTGCGATCTGCGGCATGCGGAGAAACCGACAAGAAACATTCTGCTGCCATGGCAAAACAAGAAAAGACGAAAGGGTCAATGGGAGTGTTCAAGGATCCTTTCACCCATCAGCCTAGACTCAGTCGAGATCATTCTTCACTCCCTGTGGCCGCTTTGAATGCATGCTGTCCCAAGGAGGAACGCACCCTGACTACTGTGGGCGAGCGCCCAATTGAAGCGTCTGCCAGGCAATGTGCAATGGTGCAATGAGGCGCGGATCTCGCGTCAGCGATACAAGTGCTCCAGAACATGAAGATTGAACATTGATTTTACGGAGTAATAGCAGGGTGGACAAAAGCATGACTGGATTATTATCTCCTTGATGAGTAATACGCTGTCACTGGCAGATGCCATTCGGGGGTTGCCGATCCCCTAGAACAAAGAATTAGTGCGCTTCGAAGCGGCTAAGCGCGGGGCGAAAAAATGAATTTCCTAGCAAACACATGATCCCCTCGCAGTGAATGCATGGCGACATTGAACCTACTCTTACTTCTCTCCCTACGGTGACCGTGCTATGAGGCTTTGTCTCTGCTGCTAAACCCCCTTCTTCTACGCATTTCTTCGACCGCTCATCCATCCCGTCAACATCAACAAAACCACCATGTCCGTCGCCCACACCCCCCGCAATGCGCCCACTGTCGCATCGGCCACCGACCTCATTGGCAACACCCCCCTCGTCCGCCTCAACAGAATTCCCCAGGCCCTCGGGATCGAGTGCGATGTCTACGTCAAGGCCGAGTTCTTCAACGCCGGCGGCAGCGTCAAGGACCGCATCGCCCTCCGCATGGTCGAGGAGGCAGAGAAGAGCGGCCGCATCAAGCCCGGCGACACCCTGATCGAGCCCACCAGCGGCAACACCGGCATTGGCCTCGCCCTCGTCGGTGCCATCAAGGGCTACAAGACCATCATCACCCTGCCCGAGAAGATGTCGGCGGAAAAGGTCTCGGTCCTGCGTGCACTGGGCGCCACCATCATCCGCACCCCCACCCAGGCCGCGTGGGACAGCCCCGAGTCGCACATTGGCGTCGCCCGCCGCCTGGAAAAGGAGATGCCCAACGCTCATATCCTCGACCAGTACAGCAACCCCAACAACCCCCTCGCCCACGAGTACGGCACGGCCGAGGAGATCTGGGAGCAGACGGGCGGCAAGCTGAACGCTGTCGTCGCTGGCGCTGGTACGGGCGGCACAATCACGGGTCTGGCACGCGGTATCCGAAAGCACAGCAAGGATGTCAAGATCATTGCCGCTGATCCCCAGGGCAGCATTCTCGCCGTCCCCGAGGCGCTCAACGAGGAGCACATGAACGCTCAGTACAAGGTCGAGGGCATCGGCTACGACTTCATCCCCGACGTGCTTGACCGCGAGACTGTGGACAAGTGGTACAAGACCGACGACCAAGAGTCCTTCTTCCTGGCCCGTCGCTTGATCTCCGAGGAGGGGCTGCTGGTCGGAGGCAGCTCTGGGTCGGCCATGGCCGCCATGGTGCTGGCCGTGAGGGAGTATGGCTTCAAAAAGGGCGACGTTGTCGTCGTCGTCCTGCCCGACAGCATCAGGAGCTACCTCAGCAAGTTTGCCGACGACGACTGGCTGGCCGCCAACAAGCTCCTGCCCACCAACGGCGTCGAGGTCACAAAGTCGGCTGACAAGAAGGAGACTGACCCCTACGCGGGCGCCACCATTGCCTCGCTGCGCTTGAAGCCGGTGACGTCCATCTCTGCGGCGGCTTCCTGCTCCGAGGCCATCGAAACCATGCGCGACAAGGGCTTTGACCAGCTCCCCGTTCTGTCCTCCACCACGCCCTCCAAGCTCGTCGGCCTCGTCACCCTCGGCAACTTGCTCAGCTACATCTCTCGCGGTCGCGCCACGGGAGAAAGTCAGGTCAAGGACGTCATGTTTGACTTTGCCCACCTCGACGAGATCATTACGGATCCTCGCCAGAACGCCGCCCTGGGCAAGAAGGACAAGAAGCGCAAGTTTGTCCAAATCACGCGTGAGACGTCTCTCACCGAGCTGAGCAAGTTCTTTGAGTGGAACAGCGCGGCTGTCGTCACAGAGACCAGCGAGGACGCGACGCTCTCCAAGCCCATTGCGATTGTGACAAAGGTCGATCTTCTGACCTGGATGGTGAACAAGAAGCTTTAATCAAAGGAAAAGGGATATTTGTCATGAATCATCTGGACGGGATCATGTACGGCGTTTTTGGGAAAATCAGCATCAACAACAGCGATACGAGAGTCGGGACATAGAAAAAGAACGGCCTGCGAGACTCAACGTCTCCCCCATTGAATAATTTAAAATTCACGCATTTGCTATCTTCTGCGCAATCCACCACCACCACTTGTCCGCCCCAGTGCCCTCCTCGCCAGTGATGCTCCCGGGGAGGACATCCACGTCAATGTCAAACTCCTGCATCTGCTTGAACGAGAACTTTTCAGAGCCATACTCGCCCAGCCAGGCGTCCTGGTCCTCCGAGCCCACATCGTCCATGCCGACGCCCGAGTCGAGCAGTCCCTTGCTGCGCGTGGCCCGGATCCTCGTGAGCTCCACTTCCAGGTTCGTCCGGACCATGGTAGCCGGCAGCGCCGTGAATAGATCCATCTTGTTCGCCGCAATCATGACCGGCACAACGCTCTTCTTCGTCTTGCTCTTGTCCGCGGCCCTCTTCTGCAGAAGCAGGAGGACGTCGTAGAGGTACGACGCCGTGGTCGACAGGACATCCTGCTCGCTCAGGGCCGCCGCGTCCACCACAAAGACAATGGCCTTGAGCGTCTCGGCGCGCTCGAGCTTGCCAAACGCCAAGTTGCGCAGCTTCCCATGCCCCGGTGTGTCGACGAGGATGAACTTGGTGTGCGTCCCACTGGTGTCGTCGTGGTTCCGGAAACTCTGCTTCGAGTCCGCGTCCGTGGAGGCATTGAGCTCGACGCTCGTCGTCGACTGCGACGTGTGCGTCTCCGCGGGCGTCCCGCGCTCAAAGAGGGTCAGGAGCGATGTCTTTCCTGAGGCCAGGGGCCCGAGGAGGAGGACGGTCGGCGGCGTGATGTAGGTCGAGGACGAGGCGAGGGCGATGTGGAGGAGCAGGGGCGCGCCGATGATGATGAGGATGCCCAGGGCGAGGATGGGCAGGGACGGCGTGAGGAGCGCTTCCAAGATGTCGGCGAAAGCCATCGTTGCGCGTCGTCGTGCGGGTTGATCGCGCTGAAGCTGTTTTGGACTGGAGGGGGATGTCTCGAGGACAGGTTGGAGGCGAAATTATGGCGGGACAGAGTGAGGGTCTGGTTGAGTGGCACCGCTCGGGGTCTGGGCTACCCTGTGGCTGTATGGGTCCAAGTGACTGAAGGTCGGCATGCCACACATTCAGGAGATTTAACGTATTCCACGGTGCAATGATGATTCCCTTCTTCTAATTTTCTTCTCGCCATGTGTTTCAAGTATAGTTCTCCAGAGTCCAACATGACATTTCTGCAACATTGGTGCCACCCTCGACAATGCAGTCACCGGTTAAAGATGCCGGATGGAATTGTAGACGCTAGGAATCACTTTCTGTGGCCGAACAGAAACACAAGCTAGCCACTGCACCGCAAGTCTTGCTAGTCAATATCATAGTCGCATTACTTTTCGTCTTGCCGCGTATGTTTCCAAACATAAAGCCTTTAGGCAGTGGCAGGCATAGTTAAAGCCAAAACTTACGAAGCCATTGATGTGCCAATTCCCGGCACCCCGGCGGAAGAGCCCGAGCTAAGCCACTTTGGGACAAATGGCAGGGGACTCGCCTTGCGCTCTGGGCTTAGGAAGGAGCGACTCCACGACAGGCCGCGTCGTCATTCTCAATTTCCTACCAGCTTTGACCTCGAGACGAAATTTCGACTCCTGTCGGATCATCATTCTCTCCTCTGCATGCGCATAGCGTCTGGCTGACATTTATCATACCGGCGCTTGCACCAACCTTCGCTTGCACATATTATGATGCTCGTATTGCATTGTACATTCCTTGTATATCAATAATCTGCTGCTGGACCGACCTACTGCTGCCCCAAGCCGCTGTACGAACCGCGTGCGAACCTGTTCCGCCAAAGCGACATTGATGGTCCCCTCTCCTACCCAAGCCAGCTCTCAAGCTGCGCCGCGCCAGCCGTCGTCCAAAGCCTCCGTCGCGGCGCCTCAGCTCAATAGTGACATGGAAATGGGCACCATGGCTTCCGACCAGCTCGCCGCCCGGGAGGATGGGCAGGACGACATTATGCAGATCGCGCGCCTTGGGGATATCCAAGGCATGGAGAGATTGTTCGAGACCGCCGGCTACGACGCCACATATACAGACGAGGAAGGCATCACGCCGTTACACGTAGGACCGCTGTCGCGTAAGCTCGACTTGTGGAAGCTGACCAAATCTGATAGTGGGCTGCTATCAACAACCAGTATGCCATGTGCAAATTCCTCATCGAACACGGGGCCGAGATCAACCGAAAGGGCGGCGAGTCTGTTGCGACGCCTCTGCAATGGGCCGCGCAGCGCTGCCATTACTACACCGTCAACCTCCTGCTACAACACGGCGCCGACCCCCTGATCACCGACGCCCAGGGCTACAACACACTACACATCTCGACCTTTAATGGCAATGTTCTCCTGATAGTGCTGCTCCTCCACCAGGGCATCCCCGTCGATGTGCTCGACAGCTTTGGCCACACCGCGCTCATGTGGGCGGCATACAAGGGGTTCCCCCAGTGCGTCGACGTCTTCCTGCGCTGGGGTGCCGACGTCCACGGCACCGATGAACAGGGCTTCACTCCTCTGCACTGGGCCTTGGTTAAGGGCAATCCAATGTGTGTGATGAAGCTGATTGAGTACGGCGCAGACCGGTTTGCCAAGACCGAGACGGGCAAAACGCCAGAAATGACCGCCACGGAGTTGGGCACTGACCAGGCGTGGCACTCTGCGCTCAGGGAGTGTGGTTACGACGAAGATGGCCAGCCTGTGATGCCGCCATGGCCGGGCGCGACCTACTTCTTGCAGGACAAGAGGAATTTCGTGCTGAGGTTTACCTTTCTCATGCCCTTCCTGCTCGTATGGGCGATGATCATGGTCCTCTCGCATTCCCCGGTGTTCTTGGGAATACCGCTGGCCATTTTTGTCGGGTTCAGCATACAATATCTGGCGCAGCAAGTACTGCAGTATGCGCCGTCGACTATGAGAGCGTTCCACAAGACTGTACGTGCTGTGCTCCCTCGTACATACCTATGCTGACCCCCGCAGCCTTGGCTCACCGGTATCTTCGCGGGATCCCTGTTCCTCGTAGGCATCAACTGGCTTTTTGTCGTCCTGCCTGCGACGACTACGGGTGCCGACACCGCTGGCGGTACGCACTATATCCTCAACATCATATTCGCCACCTTCCTAGGCCTCACGACCTACTTCTACGTGGCCTCGATGCGGTTTGAGCCTGGCTTCGTGCCCAAGTTGAACGGTATCGCGGAGCAGAAGGCGGTGATTGATGATTTGCTCAAGTCGTGGAAGTATGATGAATTCAATTTTTGCGTGCAATGCATGATAAGGACGCCATTGCGAAGCAAGCACTGCAAGGCCTGCCAGCGCTGTGTCGCCAAGCACGACCAGTATGTCCACTGCACAAGCGCCGAGAATGACCTGTTTGCTAACGACGACCAGCCACTGCCCCTGGGTCTACAACTGCGTGGGAGTCAACAACCACCGCCACTTCTTCGTCTACCTCGTTTGCCTGACGATTGGCATAATGTCCTACGATTGGCTCTTGTATTATTGTGGGTAGCACAACAGATACTGAGAGAGCCTGGCTGACATGAACAGACTTTACCACAATCTCCACCACTGCCTCGGACAGCTGCAACATGCTCAGCGACAACCTTTGCAAGATTGTCAACGCCGACGCATACAGCATAATCCTCTCCATCTGGGCCACACTGCAACTCACCTGGGTCACCATGCTGCTTTTCACACAGTCCTTCCAGGTCGCTCGGGCCATGACCACCTACGAAAACATGTACGGCGTGCACGACAGTGTGGGCGGTCTGGCATTCACGTCCACCGGCCACCCGCTGGATCCCAACCATCCGTCTGTCTCCGCGCCCGGCGGCGCTGGCGTCGGAGGCCACAACCACAAGACGAAGGGTGGCAAAATCAAGCAATGGGGCCGTCTCCTTGGTATCGATCCCTTCCTTGAGACCATCGCCGGACGCGGTGCCGTCGGCGGCGGCAAGAGGAAGCAGAAGAAGAACCCCTACAGCCGAGGCCTCATTGCCAATTGTAAGGACTTTTGGTGCGACCCTGCGCCTGTCTTTGGACGCCGAGAGAATGGCGTGGCGGCGTTGGGTGGGGAGCGCGTCGACTACACCATGATGTATGAGAGTCCGACTATGATGAACCTGGGACGACGAGGCAGGGAAGGCTATGAAGCTGTTGGTTCCGAAGAGGTGTAGTGGCGAGGACAAGAGCACCTGCATACTTGACGGCTTTTCGGCGGGGACAATAAGCGCTGGTTGATTGCATTGATTGGAGAGAGAGAAACGAATAACGACGAGACGGCAATTGGCCTATATTTATATTAATATCATTACCATGTCCGCATGGCACCATTACCACTACTTGGACGGTATCTTTATCCTCGCAAAGATGCCTTACAGACATCCGCCTGGCGCTCAATTCATGACGAAATACAGCGGCAGGAACACCAGCGACCCGACAACACAGAGGAGCGCACTGAAGACCTGCCAGAGCCACCACAGCGCCGGCCCGAAGCCAGGCATCAGAAAGTTGATAAAGTCGTTGACCTGGTACAGATCCTCCTGGCTGGCAATGTAGTACTTGCCCTTGTCGTGGTCGATGGCCGCCGCGTGGGCGTTGCTGGGCGGCGGCGGCTGCTGGCGCTGCGTCAGGCGCAGCACGCTGACGAGCCGGACGGGCGCCTTGTAGAACGGGACGAACCAGAGGGCGAATGTCTGGTTGATTGTGACGTAGAGGAGGCCGGTTTTCTGGTCAAACACTGCGTACTTGTCAATTGACGGGGGGGGGTGGGCACAGTCGGGATGGGCGTACTTTACCTGCTGAGTCGATGTTGATGCTGATACTGGGACTGAGGGTCCTGTACCACCGATAGATACCCAGGATGAGCCATCGCGAGTCTACCCAGTGCAGGAGAGGGATTGTGCCCTTGCGGAGGGAGGGGACGCGGCAGAATGGATGCGTGAAGCTGGCGTCGGATGTGAAGTATGTTTGGAGAGTATGGGACTGGACCTCTGGGGAGCCTGTTGTGAGGTTGGTGATGACCTCTGGTATTTCGCGGACTGAGTTCGTGTTAGTGATGGGGAATTGTGAGGGCGGGCGCGACAGCGCACCTGGGTGCTCCATTGTGAGTCAATTGGGCAATTTCAAGTGATCTGTCACTTGCGTCGATGGTTCTCTTCGAGTAGTTGTAGTGAGTGGTGATCAGCGAGGAAAGTCGTATGAATGATCTTGGAGGAGGGTGGTGGGCGTTGACATGTGATAGACAGCGCAATGACGTGCCTCCGCGACAATTTCTTTCCCAACTTGCAATTGTCGATTGTCAATAGCTCGGGACTAGACTAGGACATGCGTACCTACATGGAGAATGTGAGAGGAGCTTTGGTCGTAGAATCCCACCCAATGCTTTTAGCATGTGAAATCTCGCAAGCTTGACGTCACGATCAACTCCACCCAACGTTCCGAGCTATCCAGATAAGTAAACAAAAATCAACGATATTTCTCTGGCGCGCTTTTCGTGTCTCGCCAGTTCAATCCTTTTATCCGGCTCACAGATATTAGTCTGAGAAAATGGCGTCCAAATCGGAGTTCCAGAATCCCATCCTGCATCCTCTGGTGTTCATCTATCAGGTATTGCAGTACCTCATCGCGAAAGCGCTCTCGCCCAACCCGCCCAAGTCGGACAACGAGCTGGACAGGCCCAAGATCGCCATCATTGGCGCTGGTATCACAGGCGTCACGTCCGCGGCGCATTGTGTCGGCCATGGATTCGATGTTGTCATTTTCGAACGGGGTACCGAGGACAGCGTCGGTGGCATCTGGACAGTACGTTCCCGCTCCTCACAATGTCCCACACGTCCATGCTAATTTGGATTTAGAAAGTGAACGACACGTCCGGGCTGCAGATCCACAGTGTCATGTATCGCTTCCACCCTTCCGTTCAGTGGCAGGGTGGATATCCCGACAAGTCCCAGATTCTGAAGGCGGTCCGCGATCTTTGGAGGCGCTACGGTCTCCAGGATAAGACCAGGTTCAACTTCAAGGTGGAAAAGACATACCAAGACGAAAAAGGCCGGTGGATCATCAACAATCCTTCCAACGGTCGCTTCGACGGCCTCATTGCGGCCGTAGGGACATGTGGTGCCCCCAAGAGGCCGAGCATGCAGGGCATGGAGAAGTTCAAGGGCAAGATTGTCCATTCGTCGGAGCTCGATGGGTGAGTCGAGCAGAAATTCGTTTCCCATACATGTCAATGCTGACCCGCGTAGAATCCAGGCAAAGGGAAAGAAAATGGCCATTATTGGCGGTGGCGCCTCCGCCGTTGAGGCCCTCGAGTTCGCTGCCGCCAAAGGCACGGCCAAGACGTCCATCCTCTCCCGATCCGACAAATGGATCATCCCGCGCAACATTTTCGTCGACACTCTTCTGTCCCTCAACATATTCGGCCAGGAAACCATCTTGTCATTCGTCCCCGAGTTTCTCCTGCGCAAGCTCTTCTACCGCGACCTCGAGTTCCTCGCGCCCAGTGACAAGGGCTTGTTCATGGACACGCCCATGGTGAACTCGGACGTGATGGAGAAGCTGCGTCAGGGGCAAGCCGAATGGATACGAGGCGACATTGTCCAATTTGAGGCGAATGGCGTCACGGTCAACCGTCGGGCCAAGGGGGTACCCAAAGGTGGACCGGGCCACGAGACCTTGGTGGAAGCGGACATTGTCGTGCTGGCCACGGGCTTCAGCCGGCCCTCGCTCTCGTTTCTGCCCGACGACGTCTTTGAGGAGCCGTACGATCCCCCAAACTGGTACCTGCAGACCTTCCCGCCCCAGCACCCGTCTGTCAGTGCCATCAACTGCACGTACGTCGCAGCGATCGGCTCGGTGGGCAACTGGCACATTGGCATCTACACGCGCATCCTACTCATGTTCCTCGTCGATCCTCTCACGCGGCCGAGGGGCTTCTGGATGCGCCGCTGGATCGACATGACCAAGGTGCTCAAAATGTCCAGTCCGACGGGGGCGTTTGACTTTTTTACATACCTCGAGCTCGTGTGGTGGTTTGTGTTCTGCGTGGCGTTCAACCCGTTCCGGTGGAAGTGGGCGTTATTTGTGTTCTTTGGCGTCGGCATGCATTTACCGGCAAAGATTGTCGAGGCCGAGAAGTGGCTTCTCAATGGAAGGGGTCACGATGTGCGTGATAAGGGGGTGAGCCTGTAGGGGCGGGGCTTACCCTGTAACACGAGTCGCGAAGCCGTGGGAAAGAAAGACAGAAGCGTGAGGACAAAATACAGACGATTGGGAAAGGCAAGTTTTGTGTCGCTGAGCATCCAGAATGATACTCATATCCTGTAACCGCTTGAGACTTCAAGCTGATCAACTTGGGGTCAAGGATCTGTCAGACGTGTGTCCGTACAACCAACAAGATCAACAAATATCCAGCCAACACAACGGCTTCTGGCACGCTAAGGTAAACCGAGGCAGGATACAGCTCTCACCATTATTAATGACAGTTTTGTTCAAGCTCGAGTCCAACTCCCGCCCTCATTGCCGAAAGACGTGGGGTATTAAATCCCCGCAAGCCCATGTCTGGTCCGTCCCTGACTGGGGGCGGCTGGCGACACCCGGATAATTACATGTAGTCTAGTGATCAAGACAGTACTGTGGGCGTGCTCACTGCGTACTGGGATCTTATCCGCTCCCCTGCCTGCTTCGCTCACCTGTGTCTTTTCACCGACATCAATTCAACAGGCCGACTCTTTGGTGTTCAATTGAAGACAACTTCAGAGGCTGCCGTTGCCAATTCATCCCCATTCGCGAGCAAGCACGTGGGAGCGAGACAAGCATGTCAGAGACGGCGCCGGCTTCAAAGCTGGCATATGCTGGGTCGTGGACTTACGCTAGCTTCGCACCAGCCAGCGTCTTCGACTGGCTCTTTAGCAGCCCCTTTGCGACAGAGAGCAGCTTCACTCCAGCGCAGAACCGCATAGCCAACGTTGAGGACGAGCGTCCCGTCTTCATCGACGAAGCAACTGGTGAGCTTGCCCCCTCCCAATTGGCAATTCTCTCTCTCTGACATTGAAAACGACCGGACCCTCACGCGGAGACAACTACGACGTGATGCTCTGCGCCTCGCAGCTGGCCTGCAGAGCCTCCATCAACTCGATGCAGACAATGTCCACGCCCTGCCTCCAACACCAAGATGCGCTGCTCCCCAAGTCGCGCCCATTGTCCTGGTGCAGTTGCCCAACTGCTTGCCCTTTGCCACCACTGTCTTGGGCGTGCTCGCCGCAGGCCTCACCACCACGCTGGTCTCCCCATCGCTGACGGACAAGGAGCTGGCATGGGTCCTGCAAAGCTCTCGACCACGCATCATTATCACCGCTACAGGCTGCTTGCAGGCCATGCAGAGTGCACTTGATCAGCAGAACGACCAGGCTTTCGCCCGCAGTGTGCCTGTGTACCCCGTCAATGTGGGCCAGGACCCTTATCCCGCGCTGCCAACGCAACCCTCCTCGCAGGACTGGACGAGGCTACTGGCGAAGACCCCGACGGGCATCAAGCAGCCGCGTCAGTTCGACCCGGCCGCACGGGCTGCCATCATTCTCTGGTCGTCTGGCACGTCCGGCCGCTCCAAAGGCGTCATGCTGTCGCACCACGCACTCAACTTCTCCGTCGCGTCCATCTGGCACGACGCCGACTTTTACCGGGCACAGCATGAGCGATGGCTCGGCTTCGTCCCCTTCTTCCACGTCTATGGCCTGCTGAATCTGTTCTTGGTCGCCATCCCCACCGGTTCGACCGTGTACACCATGGCTTCCTTCAACCCAGACCAGATGCTCGCCGCTATCCCCAAGCGCCAAATCACCTATCTGCACATGGCACCCCCGATCGCCGTGTTCCTCGCAAAGTCGCCCATGGTCGAGCCGTACGCAAAGCGCGATGCGCAGGGCAGGAACAAATTCTCGAGTCTCGTGGCCGGCGTGACGGGCGGCGCCCCGCTGGGTCACGATGTCGTTGCCCAAGTCCACTCGCGCCTCGGTTTCCGCATCCGCCTGGGCTACGGGCTGACGGAAGCCGGCGGCGTGACCGTGCAGCCTGGTCTTGCGCATGTAGACAAGGGCGACGACACGGGCCGACCGCACTGGGGCGTGGAGCTGAAGATTGCTCGCCCCGAGGAGAGCGAGCAGGTCATGCCGATGGATGAGCCGGGCGAGATCTTGATCAGGTCCCCGGGATTGATGATCGGGTATCTACCCCTGAACGCGTTCACGGGAGGCGAAGACAAGCCTGACACGTCCGCGACGACAGCGGCGATTACGCATGACGGGTGGTTCCGCACGGGCGATATTGGCGCTCTGGATGCCACTGGCACGCTAAGGATCAGTGACAGGATCAAAGAGCTCATCAAAGTGCGAGCGTTCCAGGTCCCACCCGCTGAGCTTGAGGCGATCCTCTGCAGCAGCGACGAGGTGGCTGATGCGGGCGTGGTCGCGACCTACGATGCTAGTGAAGCGACAGAGTGGCCCCGTGCCTTTGTCGTCGCAGCTAATCAAGGCATTGTCAGTGAAGATGGCTTGACAGCTCTCGCGCATCGTCTGCGGTTGCTCGTGGAGCGGCAGACGTCCAAGTACAAGTGGCTCAGGGGTGGGATCGTGTTTGTCGACAAGATACCGAAATCCCCCAGTGGCAAGATCCTGAGGCGTGTGATGAAGGACGGCGGGATCAAGGGGGTGGAAGTATCGCTCTATGAGAAGAAGACACACCGGTCAAAACTATAAGATTTAGGTACGTGACTTAGACAAATGTAGAGCCAGGCCAGCACTCGAGCCCTGTACAAGTATCAATCATCGATTCCGCGTACTGCTGCTGTAGACCAAACAAAAACGAACAAGCCGCCCAAACAGTTCTGTGTGTGCCTCTCACCCGTCATGATGTGGTTGGTTCCGTTGCCTCTCTAGAAAGAACAAGAACAAGCTAAAAATGCCAAAAAGCCGCCCACCCAAGATACAATAATTGTCAAAGAGCCGCCCTCCCCTTACCAGAAAATCTGTCAAAACGTGCCGCCCATGGTACAGTAGACTGAAAGAAAAGGAAAATCCCACATCCATAAAAGGTCGTCTGCTGTGTACGTCTCGCTTAGACCCTGTCCGAGGACGAAGAGTGCATGTCGTTTGTGGACTTGACCGAGATCTCCGTCTCGCAGAAGATGTCGTTGCCCTCCACCACAGTCGTCCTGCCATTGTGCTTGCCCTCGCGGAGGATCGTCTCGTCACTCGCATTGTCGGGGTTGAAGGCGCTGGCGTAGATGCGTGTCTCGGGGCCCGGGCCGCGCGAGTTCATCTTGCCGGAGAGGTCCTCGTTCTTGGGGTGGTCGCTGAGCTGGTAGCTGCGCTCGGGGTAGGAGCCGTCGCGGGTCGTGTAGCCGTGGACGACCTTGTTCCAGAGGGGCCGGATGACGGGGATGGAGGCGCACAGGGCCGAGACGAAGTTCTCTGTGCCCGAGTAGATGAGCATGTCGACGGTGTCATCTGCGGAATGTTAGCGAGGCTGAACGTGGGAGGGTGTTTCGGACAGACGTACAGATATATTCATCGAACGACTTTAAGCTCGTAAGAGCAGTCGTGCGCAAGATACCGCAGATACCGGCACTGTCGAGGTCAGCTTCGGTTCATGTTCCCTGAGGCCAAGCAGAGAGACGTACAAGACCCCCAAGCTCAGGCCGATGATGGTGATGATCTTGTCCTTCATCTTCATGTTGAGCTCCCAAACAATGAAGCAGGGGATGATGGCGAGAGCAAAATCGATGCACACGGCATAAGCTAGCATTCAATGGTCAGCGTGGTCCTAGGAAAGGGTCATGGTCTAGGCTAGCTTACCAGACGTGGTCAACCCGATCTTGGCAAAGTCCAGCCAGCAATTGCCCTTGACTTCAAAGTTCCAGACAGCCTGGATAGGCAGACACTGGATGAAGACGGCAATGGTGCAAAAGACGGCCAGGATGGAATTCGTGCCTATGCAGGCCCAGATGAAGGTCTTGTGCCAGCGGCGGTTGACGACGCGCAGCAGGAGGAAGGCGACCGCCGCCCTGCTGATGGCAATGTTGAAGATGCAGACGCCTTGCCCGATAATCTCGAACATGTGCGCCTGCGCATAGTCGGCAGGGTCAATGTCAGCGCGCTTCTGGCCAATGCCATACGCAGTGCCGGCACTGATACACGCCGAGTATGCTGCGAGCAACAGCTGCCCAAGTCAGTATCTACATGTACTATGACCTGCCAAAGACGGAGGCTGGTTGCTGGCTTCACTTACGAGTGTCAAGACAAGAAAGAAGTCGTCCCATCCCGCGCTGTGCAGAATGAAGAGTCGAGTGTAGCACCGCGCAAAGACAAACATGGCCGCCACAACAGTCTCCGTCCAGAGAACCGCATTCAACGTCGGCCCACGGCCACCATACGAGTCAGGTTGCGGCGTCATTGCTGCTGGTCGAGGTATGGCAAACAAAGAAGGAACGTATAATGGATGAGGCACGGGCCAGTAGTTGCAGGAAGGCTATAGTCCTCGCAAAAAAGACAGACAGACAGGACTCGACGCCCTTCAAATAGACTCAAATGTCAGCCCGTGACAAAGGCCAGAATGATAACAGCAAACGTCAAGTTCGCCTCCAAACGCCAACAAGAGGTGGAAAAGAAAGGATAGAAAGATTTTATCAGATATAACAAAGGGAGTGTCACTCGGGTGCCATTGGACTCTGTCAATGGCTTGCCGAATGTAGCACAAGAAGCGAGCGAGCTGCACAGCGGCTACAACGCAAAAAAAAGGGGGGCCGAGCGAGATGAATGGAGACGGCTGAGATGACAACGGGACGCCGCTGGACGGATAGATCCATTCGGCATGGAGATCACCAGAAAGTGGAGAGAGACACATGAAGAAAGAGTGTAAGAGACTGGATCCTCTGACGCCTGACGTGTAGTACAGATCTGCGCAGAGACCAAGGCAGAGGGGCGCCTCTTTGGCTTGGGCTAGATTACGATGATCTTTTTCGTGGAGCAGCATATGTAGGCAGACTGGGAAAAGCAAGGGAGCTAACACCTATCCGCCTGCGACGGGTCAAACATCAGGGTCAAAGTCAGGGGTATCCTTCCCGCAAGCCCAAGCCGCAACCTATCGCGTCGAAACATCAAGCTCCCCGGATAGTGTGGGGATCGGTAACGGGAGCGAAAGGATAGTCTTACGTCCGGCCTGCGGATCCCTTGCCATCGTATATGTGTGATGTGCAACGCGGCAAGGACCAGTCCTCAATCGATCGACGAGTGAACGTCCCACGTCCATGCACATGTCTGGCCCGAGAGGTGTCACTGTGACGGCGGCACCTACACTGTGTCTGTACAGAGGAAACGTGACAGGAGTCATCTGTGTCTCGTACTGTGCCTGGCCGTCGTGGGGGTGAGTCGAACCACGTTGAGATGGGCAGCTGCTGCTGCGGCTCGACTCGCGTCGACATTGATGTGCTTGTGCTGTGTGAGATTCCAGCGCAGGATCTGGCCACGGACGTACGGGCGGGACAGGGACCGTCCGCTGCTTTCCGCTGCTTTCAGGCTGGGCATCTGCATCTCCGAGCCGAGTATGCACATGTACGTATGTAATGGACATGTCTGCACGCGACTGGGTCTCAGCTGTGTCTGCATCCGGGATCTATCAGATATCGATTTTGTGTTATTGTCAGCTCAGCCGCCGTAACTCAATAAAGTCTCATCTGTATGTATACTGCTGGCTCAACCGGTGGCGGTGATTTGTGATGGTCAACACTTGCGACAGAGCATAACATGTCGACTTTGTCGTAATTATATGCGCGTAGCCGTTGATGAAGTTGGAAGATGCGTGGCACCCGTTCAATGAGTAAATGAACTCGACCGATTCAAACGAAGCACAACATTACTTACCATCAGTCAAATGCCCCTCTAGACTCTCCTGATCTCTTCTCTCGAGAGCAACAAATGCTTTTGGCCGTGTCGGCCGCACGCACGTAATGGTCGGCCCATCATTCTATCATATATCAGGTGTCGACAACCGCAAGAGAGTCCACTCACCGACTGGCGGGCCAGTGGATACGCCGCTTTCGAAACGCCCGTTGCTTTTTCCAGTCGATGACTGCAGATATTGCCCAGTCATGCCTCCCTATTCTTGCGCGTGCGCACGAGTCGTCAGGCATATGACCAAGAGACTGCGCGCATCGCCAGTCGACCAGCACTGCAGTCTGCGGGGCGGCCTGCCAGGGACCTGTTAACAAGAAACGAAGCTCGGTGATGAGATGCCTGTCCTGGTTGATCCTCACACCCGTCAAGGGCCGAGGCGTCGACAGGCCCCCCCCGAGCGGGGGGGGGGGAACCAGGGGCAAGTCGGCACGGATATGCAGAAGACGCATCCCGGTGTTGTGGACTGAAATAAATCCAACAATATGCGCCGCTGTATGGCTCAATCTGTCAATATTAGCCTGCGAGACAGCCGTCTTCTGTCAACGCATTCCGTGCATTGGCGTTGAAAGCGGCGTTGGTGTCAGGCTGCAGGCAGGGGTTAATTATCCCATCACCCGCAGCCAAGCATTGCCTGGACACAGGCGGATGGATGGGCAGTGAATGTGATATTGATTGCTGAATTTTTGATGATTCTATTCACGGCAAGGACGCAAGGTGACTGGAGGTGACTCGTTATCTTCGTTGATCTATTGGGGGCCAGACATTGCCAGTGTCAGGATTTGAAATTGGCGGCAAACAGTGACTGCGTTCATCACCGTGATGATACGATTTTCCATCACGTCCCTTTCAAACGTCCAAAGATGAAAGGGATCTTCAGTCCTCTGCTAAATTGATTCATGCCTCCATCAGCGTAGATGTATATGCTCAGCGTGCACGTACCAGGTTCCACAATCGGCAGCAAGCCATCAACATGAACGACAGGCCTAGGGTCCAGCTCGACACCAGGGTTCTTCTTTGTGGTGTGGCTGCCCAGCTTGTGTGAAGCGGTAGCGCGTTGATTCACCCATCCCAAATCGTCAACAGCTGCCTTTGTGATTAGGCCCGCGTACTCTGGTGGTGACGGTCGACGTGCCACACACGCAGGCCGCGGCCCTTTATTACATATGGCTTGCACAAGCAACTCTCCCCTGCTATTAGACAGAAACCGTGGAGCGCAGCCATGTCCGTCCCGTGCGAGGATTGCATGCGGGAGAGGACTGGAGGCGGTCCACTCGGGTGATGGGAACAGGCTCCATGTCATTGGCATGCGGCGTCCGTTCGTCTCGACATCCTCCATCACCACGCAGCAAAGAAGTGAAGTCACAATCGACAGGGGATGGACCGTATGCATGTTGACTCCTGAGAGCAGATTTGCTGGTTCCACAACGGTGCTGGTACAGCTGGCTGTGGTGTCACGATTGGGCGCGTGGCTGTTGGTGAGCGACGACTGCCTCTCCCACAATGTGACAGACCTGTCGCGTATATGGAGACTTTGCTTTTGATTCTCTCAAAGAAGCTCAGGCAGAGCGGCAGTCCATCTTGGCTTCCCGTTTCTCATTCTCCTCTCGCCGTTTGTTGCTCCCCTCCTTCTCCTCCTCCTCTTTTTTTGAGTACCACTTTGCGAGTCAAGAGTCCAGTTCCCATTCCGCTGGAGCACCTACATGAAACAAGCCACGATGATTGCCTCGGACAGCCTCGCCCTCAAGGCCCTTGCCGTGGGCCTCGTTGCCGTCGTGCTGCGTTTCGTCATCGCCTACGTGACCTCGCCTCTCAAGGCCTTTCCCGGTCCACTCGTGGCCCGGTTCACAGACCTATGGCGGTTCTGGGACTACATGGCCTGTACACACACCAACAACCACCGCCAGCTGCACGAGAAGTACGGCCCTGCCGTGCGCATCGGGCCCAATCTGGTCACCTTGAACGATCCAGAGCTGATCAGGGAAGTGTACTCGACCCGCGGAGACTTCCACAAGGTAGGCCGCCTGCCTCCTCCCCCTCACCCACCATGAGAACAGTACCGAGGGGTGTCTGACACGTGCGGATAGAGTAACTTTTATGAAGTCGCCGACGCCAGCTCGCAAGGCCAGCGTCTCGAGAACGTCTTCAGCACACGCAGCAATGTCTTCCATGCGCGCTACCTCAAGCCCTATCAGAAGTTCTTCTCCATGTCCACCATTCTCGGCAAGGAGCACCTCGCAGATAACATGGCCAGGGTGTTTTGCGAGCAGCTCGAGACCCGCTTCGTCGATGGTGACAACGGGAACAAGACTTGCGACCTGGCCGACTGGATCGAGTACGCGGCCTGGGACTTGGACTGGGAGATGACTTTTAGCCAAGACATGGGGTTTCTCAAGTCTGGCACCGACGTTGACGGCATGATCCACACGGGCGAGATGGTCATGAGATACCTCGGCTGCGTGAGTTCAGACTCCTTTCCTTTTTTTCCCTCCGTCCATTCTTTCTCCGGGATCACTCGTGCGAGGGGCTAACAATATGACAGGTTGGCCAGATCCCCTGGCTCGACAGGCTGCTCGGCAAGAATCCCTACTGCCCCATCAAGTTCGCCACATTTGAAGGCTGCGCTTTCTACTGCTTCCAGCGCGTGATGGAGCGCATCCAGAGCGGCAAGACGGGCCAGGGTGATTTCCTCGACAACTTCCTTGAGGCCAAGGAGACACACCCGGACATTGTCAGCGACAATGAGGTCGTCAGCTACCTGATGATGAACGTCCTCGCGGGCGCCGACACCACGGCCATTGAGATCAAGTCCATCACCTGGCACCTCCTGTCCAACCCTGAGGCGCACAAGAAACTCGTCTCGGAGCTCAGCAGCGTCGCGCTAAGCTTTCCGCCCAAGTACGAGGAGACCAAGGACCTCCCCTACCTCAACGCCGTCATCAAGGAGGCGATGCGGCTGCATCCGGTCATCAGTGGCGTTCTGGAGCGTATCGTCCCCTCGAGCGGTCTGACCCTGCCAGACGGCCGCGTCATCCCGGCTGGCACCAAGGTCGGCATGAACCCTTGGGTTGTGCACCGCAGCGAGCAGACGTTTGGCCCTGAGCCCGACACCTTCCGTCCCGAGCGCTGGATGAAGGGGCCCGACGAGCCCCAGGAGAAATTCGACATGCGTTTGAAGAAGATGAAGGACGCTGATTTGTCGTTTGGCTCTGGAAACCGGATCTGCGTAGGCAGAAACATGGCCATGGTCGAGATGCACAAGGTCATCTCCACGCTCTTCAGCCGATACGATGTGAGTGATTCCTCCTTGTTCGGAGTTTCCAGCAGGTTGTTGACATTTCCCAGATCAAGCTTGCCGATCCTGCCAAGAAGTGGTCCGTTCGGTACTGGTGGTTCACCTTTGTGGATGATATTGACGTTAAAATCTCGAGGCGCGCGGGTGTGCCATCTCTTGCTTAGATGCTGAGGATGGGAGGTAATAACATGCAGACCGTCTAATGACGTTTCGATATCGTTGCATTTGCTGTGTCATGTATGCCCAGAGCCGGACGAGTTGCTTGGCTGGACAGGAGCAATGTCGTAGAGATTGTGGCCACAGATAGTATCTCCGCCTACAGTGAAGTTTGTTTGATTATGCTAAACTAAAGTCCAATGCAAGGCTATCCTACAAAACAAAAAAGCCCATGGCCGTGGCCTTGCCATCATCTAACGCTGCTCAACGTCCTGCTGCGTGGCCGTCTTGCGATATATACGGCGCCATAAGAATGAAGGTAGCCACGGTTTCAACTAGAGAAGCCGGCTACTGACTCGTCGCGGTCGACCACTGCGACGAAGTCCCGTAGTATCCTCCTCAGCCTCGGGCGACTCCTCTACTGCCTGTCTGGCCTTCTGCCCGCGCGCTGTGCTCGGCGCTCTGGCCCTGCTGGTTGGAACCTTTGTGACGGTTTTCGTCACCGTCTTCTTCGACTTCACAGTCTCCTCTCGCTTGGCTCGTCGGCCACGCTTTGGCTGCTCGGCTTCTTCTTCCTCTTCGCTCTGCTCTTCCTCGGACTCCCAGAGTGGCTTCCGTCCTCGAATCTTGCGTTCATCGTTCGTATGCAAAAATCGATGGATCGTGCGGTGGTCCAGCACGCGCTCCTCCTTGTCGTTGGGTCCAGCCTTGTCCGTCTTGGGCCAAATGTAACCGTAGATCTTGGAGTGGCGCTCGCATCGCGGGCAGGAGAAGCGGGTGAAGTATGCGTTCTGTTGCACAAAGTATGTTGGGCAGTTCGAGCATTGAATCCAGGCCATCTCGGGCTCGGAGAGCAGCAGCGGCGTAAGGACATAATCGCCTGGGGTTCGCTGCCTTGCGGGTGGTGTCGTCTGCTTGATGAAGACTCGCTTTTCGTACTTCTTTCGTACCTTCTGCACTTTATCTTCCTGGACAATAGTTTCTTCTTCCACGTGTTCTATACTGATAGCAAGCGTTGGCTCTTCTTCTGGTGTAGGCGTATTCAGGATCGACTCAATAGCCATTGGCTTCTGCTTGGGGGTGAAGAACCGTGGTTCCGGGCTATCCTGATTTGGCGTTGTGACGTCGGTCTCGACTGCTTCTCCGGTGGTACTGGCGGAGGCGCACCTCGATGGAGACGAACTGCTCCTAGACAACGCGCGCTCGTTTGCAGGGGATGCTTCCGGAGCGTGTCTCATCTTTTTGGCCGGCGTAACCGGCGGAGTGGCCAGTGCGTCGCTTGTTCTTTTTCGCCCATGAGGGGTCGCTTCGGGCACAGGCGATTCAGCGTTTGACGAATCTCGGAAGCTGAGTCGGGACTTTCTCTTTGTTTTCAGGATTCTGGGTCTTGCGGCCGGGGTGACGCTTGAGTTGCGCGAAGATCCCCCCATGCTGTCTCCCCTTCGCCTCAACCGAAGAGAGTAGGTGTCAGGTTTATCTTCGACAGTGTCCTGGACCTCTGTCGTTTCGGCCTGGCCGTCCTCGGGCTCCCAACCATTCCTTCTGTGGTCCTCGCACGTTTGGCACAAGCACTCGCAATTGCCCTCGCCAAAGTAATTCTCGCCGTATGTCACGGTAATCTCATCTCCTGCTTCAATGTTCTTGGTTGCAATGATTTCAATGCCGGCGTGACCCGTAGTCACAAGCTTGGCGTTTGCGTCGCAATCGTGGTTCGCGAATCTGGCGGGTCCCATGAAGAGATTGGTCGTCTTGTTCCGGGAGCTCACCACGATACTAAAGTCCTTCTTGCGCGTCATCATGTCCTTTTCCTCCTCTGGGGTGATGGTGACCTGTATGCCGGAAAGGTACTTGACGGGCTCGTTGCGCCGGATGAATCGTCGTGCTGTGACCGCAGCTTCATGGGAAACAATCGTGTAACGGTTTGTCGTGTTGACCTCGAAAGGGCAATCTGGAAGATATATCTGGGCATAGCGCCGCAGATGTTTCCGGAAGTCGTCCTTCTCCTTCTCCGTCTTCAGGGCGCTGACGAATCTGCAAATGCCACCAGTTCCGAGTAACCGCTGCTCGGCCTGCTCGATATCCTTGTTGAGCACCAACTCCTCCTGGATAATCTTGGCGATGTCTTCTTCACGAATTCCACGAGAGGGATGGTACGTCGACCGGTTCTTCGGTATCGACGTCCAGTAGTATACCTACCGAGATTAGGGTGTGTCCTTTGACCTGCGTAGCTAGCCCACGTACATGATCTACAAGGGCATCCGTGAGCATGTCATCGTATGCGGCCAATTGAGCAAGAGTCAGGCGCTTCTTGGCCGGCGGCTGCGATTCCTTCTTGGGCCGAGGCATGGCCTCTACGACTGTGCGCTGCTGGTGGTGCTCCGGGGCGCAATCAAAACGGCAGTGGAGGTTCCAATGAAGCAACAGGTGTCAAGAGCTCTGATTTCGAAGAGCTTAACCAGTCAATGAGACAAGTTGGAACCTGTCTTTCTCAGACGCAGCGGGAGGCGAGAAGGTGTGAGGATCTAAGCCGCTGTTGCCGAGTGTCGCTGTTGGTTTGCGCTCAAGACCTTGGCTAGATGCGCTTGATGTGGTGGGGAGAGGAGCCGTAGTTTCGCTGTGCAGGGCAATGTGTTCGAGGTGAGCAAGTGAGCAATTAGGTAGGTTGGAGTATGAGTAACAGATAATCAATGACAAAGGAGAAGATCAGAGCCCAAGCCAAGCGACATGTTGGCCATGAGGAAAGTTGAGGTGAGGGTGAGCCTGGGCCGCTCATCCTCATTCCAATCCTGAACGTCCAGCCACCTGGGAAGGTACGAGTCGTTCTGGCGGCTGGCCAGGCGACCGGCGGGGCCATCATTTGATCTCACAGGGGATTGGACCCGCAGTGAAAGACTGACCAATCATCGCCTGTCGCTTCAGTTTCCCGAGATCCAGGCACGTGACGTGAGTCGCCAAAAAGTTCAACGCCCAAGGCATTGGGTTTCGTGATAGAGCTGATCGCGTCGTGCTAGAGGAGTCCTGCGCAGCGGTCACAATGATTCAACTAAAGGTACTTCTACATCGAGAATCGCTTCTGCGGCTCATACTGATTCCTCCCAGTCAATATTGAATTGCATCGACAACTCGGGCGCCGCCCTCGTCGAGTGCGCCCTCGTCATAGGCCAGAAGCGAGCCGCACGAGTCGGTACGAATCATCAGCAACCGAAGCCAGCAACGCAATACTAATCTCTCCAGGTGACCGAATCGTCGTCGTCGTCAAGGAGCATCGATCCGCCGGAGCCTCAGGCATGACGGGCATGTCTTCCGCCAACAAAGTCCGCCGTGGTGACATCCGTCACGCCGTCGTCGTCCGCACAAAGTACCCCATGCAGCGCCGCGATGGCTCGCAGGTCAAGTTCGACGACAATGCTTGTGTGCTTCTGAACAAGGCAGGCGACCCAGTCGGCTCGCGCATCAACGGTGTTGTCGGGTCTGAGTTGAAGAGGAAGAAGTGGAGCAAGATTCTGTCCATGGCGCCCATGAACGTCTAAGGGATTGCGAATAGGAGGGCGTGGTCGCCCAAGGTGGTGTATAAGAAGAGGGCTACTGTACGAGAGAATACTGTACATCTACGCGAAGCCTGGGGCATTATCACGGCGTTCTTGTACAAATACCATGAATACTACGAAATATATGGCCGCTTGGCCGCAAATGATATGTTCACGTTTGGGAATAAAATGCCAGCTTGAGTTTGGTATGTATTTGCATTATCAATTTTATCCCACACCCCAACGCCTGGTCAGCTGTGACCGCTGCGTCTGGGACCATCAAATGCAGTTTATCTCAGAAAATGTCGCTCAAACGCCAGAAGCTTCATGGCTTCGTGTTCTAACCCAAAATTGCTGTAGCGAAGTGTGAGAAGTCCAATCTCGTCTCAGGCTACTGGAAAATGTTGCCGCAATTGCAGCACACGTAGAACAATTTCTGGCCACGTTAGTCGGATGGGAGGTCCGCGGGGAGCCGTGGTGCTCACCATGCCTGTGTCGGCGCTTCGCTGCTGTGACTGGAAGAAGACGGACTCTTCGCCGCCGCATTTTGCGCAAGCCTTGTTTGAACGAGGAAGCTGTTCGCGATGAAGAAAGACATGGTCAGCCAGCAGTTCTTAAACAGGTGGAAGTGTGTCTTGTCTCATGCAAAGGGAAACGCATCCACGTCCAAATCCAAACTGCGGCCAATGTGGGTATCCAAGTGAAATAGTACAGAGGTCAATCCAGAAGCGGTATCTCAGCAGTCGTTCACCAGTTAAGAACCATGGCCCCGTCGTTCGAGACATCGCTGCCGTCTGTGCATATCGAGTGGTCGTCCGAGTCGCTCATAATCGCGCTGTGCTGCTCATACAATGGCTCTTCGTCGTATTCATCAAACGGGTCTTCCTCGTCGAAGCCAATGCCCACGGCTATCATCAGCTCGTGGAGCGATTTACAGTGCTGAACGCGGTCGCGCTGAGTATGTTCGGTGTCGGTTGGGGTCCTCTTGTCGCTTGGCTCATTGTCGCGATACACCTTTGCAAGAATCGCGGTCGTGTCCACAGACTGCCCGCATGCTCCACACTGGACTACCTGACCGCATCCCAGACAAACAAGGGGAGATGAGCAACAGGAATCACTAACCGTAGGATCAGAGGCAACATCGTGGGTCACGCCAGCCGTCTCACCAGCTGACTGGTTGAGAACGTTGCGGAAGACACAGGTGGTCTGCGCATCCTCGGTGTAGAAGCATGTCCGGCATGTAAACTGCAGCTTGTGCGAGTCTTCGTCCTCTTTGGGATACAGCATGTTGGAGCATTCGGAGCAGAAGCGAAAAGTGACCTGCTGGTTCTTTTCGGCACCGTCGTGCGACATTGTGGATTGGGGAGTAGCCATCACGTCAATGTCGGGGGAGGGTAGTCGGTAAGGGTCGAGGATTTGTGTCGGAGAAAGGGTTCGTTTTGAGAAGGGCACAGTCGATGTAATCTGCGCGAGGCGGTGCAAGTGTTGTCCAGAGCGCGTTGCCGTCCTTCAAGTCGAGTCTGAGCTTGGGTGTTGTGTAGTTGATGGAGTTTAGTCGATGCGTTAAACGCGAGCAATAATTAATATCAAGGCGAAGTCACACAGGCGGCGATCAGGCTGCAAGTTTTTGGTGGGGCTGATTTCTAGACTCCAGTCGGCTGCGGCGCGGATGCGACAACTGGAATTGCGCTGCTGACATTCTGTTAGCGAAAGGCTGAGTCACATGGTTAGTAGCGTGAACTTTACGCACTGCTTACTCACTACCATAGCAAGGTAAAAGTAAGTACCTTTAGATGTCTTCTTCTTGCATGTGACACCAAATCCGGCTTATCAAAATACACTACAGTACGGGTACATAGGTGAGTGAAGTTTATAATACCAGCTGTAAAATATCCCGGTAGCTCGCGAGCTGTGGTAAAAGGCAGCAACACCTCTAGACAAGTTCATAGCCAGTCCCATGAACAGTCAAGCGTCTCCCCGCTTCCACCGGTATATTAAGTCACGAACCAGAAAGGGATTATTGCATGCAGTTCGAGCATTCACTGCATTGGCCAAAGTTTATGTTCACACGCACGTAGTCCCAGACAGCTGCAGGGTAGGTATAAGTCACTAGCAGCCGACGACGTGAGCCCCTACCTCGATATATTATATCCCCTGAATGGAGCGTGACCTAAAGGCATTTCCAGCCTGAGAAATCGTTTTACTGCTCCACAATCCAACGGCTGCTCCAAGCCTCCAATTCGTGCCTCGTGACTGAACCTGCGTAGGGGCTGCATGCGCACTTGCGCAGGTGGGCAAATCCCCTGGCTCAGACGCCAACTCCCCGCATTTTGAACCACCCACTTCCCCGTTGCTGCGCCGTTGCTGGGGGTGGTCCATCTGACTTTGGACGGGGTGATTTTCACTCAGCTCTGCCGGCCATCCCTCCAACGTCATCATCCGGCGCATATATGATCAGCGTAGAGAACCACATTCCCCGAGATCCTACACCCGATTCCCGCGACCTTTAAACAAACTTCTCCCACAAACACTAGAATCATTCTAGAACACCGCCCATCATGGTCCGTCCCGTCCCCTTGTCCCCCCCCTCGTAGCGGGCCAAACAAACTGCTGACACGCGATACACAGACTGACGCCGGCCTGCCCGCAAACTGGGAGGTCCGCCACTCCAACTCCAAGAACCTCCCCTACTACTTCAACTCGGCCGAGAAGGTCTCGCGATGGGAGCCCCCGGCCGGCACCGACACCGAGAAGCTCAAGCACTACATGGCCACCCACCACAGCGCAGCCACCCGTGCCGGCGGCGCCGCGCCTGGGGCGCCCGAGGGCAAGATCCGTGCCGCCCACCTGCTCGTCAAGCACAAGGATTCGAGGCGGCCGAGCAGCTGGCGCGAAGCGGAAATCACGCGCACAAAGGAGGAGGCGATGGAGATCATCCAGGCGCACGAGGACAAGATCAAGAAATGGGACGTGCCGCTAGGCACCCTCGCCGTTACCGAGTCGGATTGCTCGTCGGCGCGCAAAGGCGGCGACCTGGGCTACTTTGGCAAGGGCGAGATGCAGATGGAGTTTGAGGAGGCAGCGTTCGCCCTCAAGCCCGGTGAGATGAGCTCGGTTGTCGAGACGGCCAGTGGACTGCACTTGATTGAAAGGTTTGTCGTCATATCATGTTGTTCTGTGAGCTATGCTGACTGTGAACAGGCTAGAGTAGCATCGCGACTCTAGGTCCACGTGAATGCTCACTGACGTATTAGTAACTACACAAATTAATGTAGGCTGATTATGTTGGGACATGTGTGTGTGTCAAAAGTTGATCTACAGTGGCAAGTCTATCTGCGCCCAAACTCCGTTTCTAGCGCTCCAAGGCCGCCACGAGTAGACCTCCGAACTCCCAAAGCGCCGGATGTAAAGAAGAAGCGAACATTTTTATTCTGACTTAGATACCGGACCGACTAAGAACCACCCCTTTGAATGGTTCAACAGTTGTGAACACGACGGTCATCACGCCAAAGACCGTCATGGACAACGCAGCATATGGTGCGGCGTGGCTTCTGGTTCCATACAGGTAGGCAACGCCCATGGCGGCACCATTGATCCCGATTGCAATGCCAGTGGCAATAGTGAGCGGATCGTCCGGCTCATTGAGACCTCTATCATCCTCTTTTTCCGCGCTGTCTGTCCGGACGCCCATTCTATCCAAGACGAAAGGGTAAACCAGTTGTCCAAGAATGCCATTTGACACGACCACCGCGGCGTTGACCGCCAGGTTCCCCCCTACCGTCTCGATAGCAGGCTTCGCCAGAGCTAGCGTCACACTCCGAGCCGCGAAAGACAGAGAGTCGGGGCCATCCAAGCCGATGAGGTGAGCAGACCCCACGCTAAGAAAGACATTAGCAGCAGCGATGCCTATGGAGACGGTAACTGTGAAAACGCCGGCAACACTCCACAGCTGCTTGCGGCATTCGAATAGTTTGAAGCCCCAGACGACAATACCGACTTCAAGAAACGCAAGGGCGGCATCGCCCGCCCCGAAATATGCCCCTTTATTGGAGGCGATGGGCTCCTGGAGAACAGAGGCGGTCCACACCGCGTAGAGAGAGTTGCCACGCGAGAAGAGCTTCTGGACCTGGGACAGGTCATACAATGGGCTGGCCACGGCTCGCAAGTGGATATAGCCCGTCAAGAGGAGTGTCGTGAGGAGAACGGGGTTCAGTGTGGTGGCAATGGTGTTCTTGAGACGGGGCCGCTTGGCGCATGCAGAGGATGTCTTGAAGAGCCTCTGCATCCTGACAGTCGTGATCCAGGAGAACCACACGGCACAACCGTCGAGAACCCGCACTTCACCTCTGGCGGCGGCGACTGGCACGCCAATGGCCAACAGGAAAGACATGGCAAGCAGGCTGGGATACTGTTCGAAAATCTTGTGCACCGTTGTTCGGCGTTCCCTGCGTGATGAAGGGGCCTTGCTCGTTGTGGCAGTCGACTCGCTCAGAGGTGCAGCCAAGTCCAAGACGGAAGTGGCTGGGGTATTCTCGTTGCGGAAAGGGCTGGGTGTCCCGGAGCTGGGATTATGCAGCTCATTCGATGTCGAGCCATCACCAACGAAGCTCAAGTTGATGACTGGCGGCGGAGCCATCAGGGGTCGCTCGCTAGCAGGAGTCTGGCTGCGTGCCTCCCACTTGTCGTGCAGTATAGCGTAGCCGTGGAGGGCCAAGAAGCCAATGGCAAAGGTGACTGTCCACGACACCACATTGGTGACGAGGAAGTTGGCAATGATATAGCCTATCTGTGTTGCATCGAGCATCTCGCTTTGATCCAGCATGACCAGAGGAATTGGAAATCCGACAGCCATGTGTGTGTTGATAAAATTGATCTTTTGCTTCAGCGATGCATTGTAGAAGGATTCGACGCGCTTGTTGAAGAGATGGAAGCCAGTTGTCAAGAAGAAGACGGCGAGCATGCCGATGATGGAAGCAAAGAAAGGGATGGACACCAGCCGGAGACCGAGGCTAATGGCCCAGATGAGCAGCTCAGACGCAAGGAAGAGACCGACGATCCAGAGAAGGTTGCATATCCCCCGGACTGCTCTATTGCAGCGATCAACGCAGAGCTTTCTGTAGTCCTTCATGTTAAGCAGCAATGAATGTGATGGGCTCGAATTGGTGCAAAAGAGTGAATTGTTCGGCGAAGGTAGTCCACAGATTGGTGAAGTAGACTGGCAATATGTTGAGCTGGACGCCAAAAGACGATGGCCGCACTTCTACTGAGCAGTCTAAAGACGCCCAGCTTCCACAAGAGTTTTCTTGTGCTGATGTTGTCGATCCAGTGTACCTTGAGGTGAGCCTCAGGTCAGTGGCAAGCCAATGTTGCCGCGAGATCAGACCAGATGATAGCGTATTTCTTCCAACCTTCGTGTTTATGTAGCAACTCGCAACAGAATCAGATTATCTCCAGATGGGAGTTTTCCAGGAGATTCAGAATTCAGCCGCTAAAAGGGGGCCTCTGAAGCTGTCTGTGAGACCTTGTTCAGGGCAAATCACCTATGCATCATGACCGCTATGCGACGCAAGGCTGTTCGAGGGCAGTACGACACTGTACAGCTGCTGTAAATGGAGAGTTTCGTCGAACAGGTGATTCACTCCGGCGGAGTTGGCAGTCAATTCGGATGTGATCATGGTAGACAACAGCGACGAACAAGCATCTGGCGGGGTGAGACGAGGACCTACTCTAAGTGTTCCGGCGAGAACGTCGAATGTTTGACAGAGACACAGGACATCAGTACTGTAGCTGGATATCAGACAGCAGGGCAAGTGTATGTATCCGAACATGGGGGATCTTTGGATGATGTGTACGCTGTAGTCGTCCGGCGCCTCACCCAAGCCGAAGCTAGACGCGGCACAATTGCATCGAAGAACATAGCTGTTCGATACATGTGTTTTTGTTTCCACGGACAAGTCACTATGATTGGTACATTGGCCAGCAAGTCCGCGGATCTTGCTTTTGGCGCTCAAGCAAACTGCATCGAGCATGTCGTTTGCGCACATGCTACGAGGGCAGTTGACGTGTGCTGTGGAGCAGCGCACTCGGAACTTGCCTGCATCCGACAGATAGTATGCGTTTGTTCCTGGTGCGAAATCGTCAGAGGGTCTTCGAGCTGCTTATAGTACGTGTGATGCGGCGAGCACTGCTTTTTCTGCGCTACAATATGCAGCCCAACGTCGCCAGCCGGTACCAAGAGCAAACAAGGTTCAGGGGCGAGCCGTCGGGACTGGAGTCACTGGACTCAGGCCCGACGTGGTTGCTCGCCAGGTCACGTGACATGAACAGAGACCACGACTCTGGCTTGTGAACATGGGCAAATGCCAAACAGCCAGCTTTTCGTTGATCCATAATTACACAACAGATGATATTCATCTTACGGCCGGGTTTTCAAGGTATTGTGTGTATACTTATTACTGACGGTACGACGAGAGGGAGGGCGGAGACTCAACAGATGCCCGGGTGTGTCCTCGGGCAGCCAGGCTGCCAGTGGCCCAGTGCGCATTGGCCCCTTCTGGCTACCGCCTATCGATAGCTCAGATCCAGCCTCATGTCTCTTCCCACTGAGCCATTGCTTCAACCTAATTAGATGTTTCTGCATCCGCCTGCACATGCCAATCCCAGTTCAAAACCGGATTTGGCACTATCGCAAGTTGGATACCCCCCGAGCCATCCGTGAGGTCGCCCGGAAGAGATCCGCGTACTGAAAACTACGTTACTTGCTGATCTGATCTCGCACCGACGCGACTCGTGTACCCCTGAGCCACCAAAAGTCAACAACCACAGGCCAATAGGCTGACAGCCGGCGGCACACGTTTTGACGGCATACCACGTAACCTGCGCCATCTGCCACCATCTCTACACTCTGTTGTCCTCGGCGACGGCTGTGCGAGGCGACAGAATTACTTCTAGAAACTGTGCAACGTCAGCTACCCCCACGCTTCGTCACTAGCTGTCGTCATGGTCGCTGCAAAGGGTGAAAGCGCCCAGGCTCTCGTGAGCCGCGCCGTCAAGTCGCATAATATCACGGTATCTGACAAGGAGATTCGGTGTCTGCTGTCAGACCCCGAGCATGGCCATGCTTTCGCCGACTGGGCGCTGGCCCATCTGGGACCGTCCAACTTGCTCACTGCGAATGAGCTAGAGCTGTGGGTTGAATCGCGACACTGGCTGACCGACAGACTGCTGATCACAACGACAGGTATCATGCGCTGGACCAAAGCGGTGATGTTGACAGTCTGTGCGCGATACATGACCTGGCTGAAGTGCGGGCTATCACCGATGATGATCTCGAGAGGGCCATTGTGGAACTAAAAAGCTCGACTGAGGCTATCGTTCAGCAGACAGAGACTATGAAGCAGCAAAAAGAAGCGATGGCTCGTCTCATGCAGAGGACGGCGGAAAGTGAGACACGTCGGCGCGATTTTGAGTTCTCGAGACAAAGACGTATAGAAGCAGAGCGCAAGCATATCGCAGCAGAGGTGAGTCTCTGAATACAACCTGGTACCTCAGCTGACCGTTCTACAGGTTGAAGATCTATCCCAGAGCCTTGGATATCGGATCTCCGACCTGGAACAACAAGGCGACGATTCCGGAAAGACCATTAGCCAGATTCTCAAGGACTTGCTAGCCTCGGATGACAAACTACTGAGAAGCTTGCAAAAACTTGGCCGGGAGCTCAAGCAGCAAGATCCCGAAGAGGATCATAAAACTGATGAGCTGCGCGACATTTGCATGCGGTACGTCATGGTGCCGCAAATATCAAGCTTAAAGGCTCACAGATCCGCAGATATATCAAGAATACCGTCGAAACGTTGCGAACAAGGCTGGACAGGATATACCTTGACAAATTGAACGAGCGTGACCATGCAGGGCAATCAAACGTCGTTTCCAGCACAGAGGTGGAAGCCCTGCGCGAGGAGGTCGAATCACTGTACTCTGAGATCCTGCCCGTGGCGCAGATGTCTGTGGAGCAGCAGCATCTAGAACCTACTTTGCAGCTCATGTCCTCGCGAGGAGGTCAATCGTTGGGCCGATCGGCCTCAGCTGTGTCGTACGTGAACGACTGCCTTGATTACCTCTTGGGGCGCACAGACCTACTCTGTGACCGACTTGAAGAACTCGGTTCCCATAAAGCTGCCACGGCGTCACTGCTTGCGACGGCAAAGGAAGAGTTATCGACGTCGACGGAGCCACCTCGTCGGATGACGCCGGAACAGCCCGCCGCGTCACCTGTTCGACCTAGGGCATATACCACCAAGGGAGGCGGGCGGAGACGGTCTTCTGGCGTATTTGAGGAACCGCCGATTGACACGCTGCTTCAGACACTGGCGCTATACATTGACGATGACACAAGTCACCAGGAACAAATCCAGTCACTCTCAAAGGCTTTGGCCGATCGCTCGGCAAAAGCAAGCGATGTCGCGCACAGTACCCACGAGACCTTTGAGGCAACGGCCACAAAGTATCTGGATGACCTTCAGCGTGCTGTTCAGATCGTTGAGGACGGCGTGTTTGCTGAGACGTCATTTGGCAACGTCAAGCTGATGGATCCCGAAGTGGAAGAGTCCATCGCCTTCTTGTCAAGCGAGACACAACAGATCAAATCAAGGCTTGACCAGTGCAACACAAAGAAAGGAGACGGGAAAAGCGAGAAAAAGGAAGACATGGTGCGACGATGGGGTTAATGAGCCCAGGGGCTTGCTTGTCCTTGTTAGCAGACCGAGAACTGCGCTTCGCGGCAGCAGTCACTGTCTAGAGAACGACAATGGCGCGTGACTGAAGAGCGGCCGACAGAAGCATAAGAGTCCCATTTCTCTTCTTACAACATTCTCTCTTCATTCCTTTCCTCTCATTCCTCCCGCAATACAATCCTACAGACTGAGCCTGCACAGAACTAGCTCCAGCTACAATCGCCAACCACCAAGATGGGCCTCCAAGGAGTCAAGCAGTGCGAGAAGAGGCGACATGGCCGAGACTGGCTGCCGTCCCTGGCCCGGAACATGACCAGTCTGAGCCGTTCTGTGCCATCCTGCGACCCCATTGCGATACTACGACAGCCCGAGACTCTGCTCGTCAACTGGATTGGCCGCATGATCTCGTCCCTTCATCCGCGAACATGGTTGCGCATACTACGACGCCACATACCCAAGTGGTTTGTCGCCTCATGGAACTGGTGTGTTCAACGCGCTGGGTCGCTCTTTAAAGGCAAATCTCAGCTGCAACAACCTTTCGGGTCGCATCCCCGTTTTAACGTTTTACAAGTTCAAGGCCCTACCCGTCCGACCGCCACATCCCACCGCGATGAGGTTCAAATCCGCCGTTCAAAACGCCCAGTACAGCCTCGCTCGCCCCGTCAGGGCACCCCAAACCACGGAGATGGGCCTCTCTCGCCCCGGCAACACCTCGCTCGCCAGATAGAAGCCTCGCTGCACCGATGGGAGCACACGTACAAATTGGGAGCCTATGGCGCGTACAGGTGGAAGGAGCTCTTGATCAGAGCAGCGCCTGACATTGAGCAAGTCCGCAGAGAGGATGCGCTGAAAGCTAGGAGGGCCAGAACCTTTCAGAATATCTCTTACGAGCAGGCAAGGAGCCCTGTTTACGTGGTGGAGCAGCCAAACCGCGCTTTACACACTCCTGGGACGGCCACTCGAGCTGCGGGTCCAAACCACTATATGAGCCCGGCAACTCAGATTGTTTCTCCCAGCGATGTGTCATATGAAAAACGACCTTCGTATGTCGGCTCCTTGCACAATAAACGGCCACGCCCCCCGCCTGTGCCAGCACCGCTATCGCTACCGCAAGACATTTCCTTCGAGCAAGTGGAGCAGGAAGTCACAGCATGGGAGCGACTTGACAACGAAGCTCGTCGCGCTCACGCTCTGAACATTGAAAACATTGCGCAGATTTCTATTACCGACTCCAATACCGCCTCGCAGCAAAGCACTCCCACCGTGGTATGCTGTGGACAACAGGGCATGCACCGTTGTTGTCATAAGCATCTCCGTACAGGGTCGTATGAAGGGGTGTGCGATCTTTGTCGCAATTATCTGAAGTTGTTCTCGTGTTGTTGTCTGGACTGTCCCAAGGTCCTCTGCTTTGAGTGCCGTGCCCAGGTGCGGCTTGTCAAGGGGGGTATATTTACTGTTCCGAGGGTTGGGCATGGCATGTAAGGGGCGGTCTGGAGTATGTTACTGAGGAAAATGATGGAGATTGTGCTCAGGCTCGCGAGTGGTAGTCCTTTATTTCATGGTGTTCCGTACTTGGTGCCATATAGTTGACTAAAGCGTTCGTTACATCGTTTTGTGCCTGTTTTGTCTTGGCGGAGTCCGACCCCAACTGAGATCTCACCTCTCATCTTCAGTGCGGAATCTTGACTCAGCTTCGTGACGGTCGCATCTCGTCATCACATTCTTCCACACATCCCTCTTCGCACAGCGTTCGCCATGTCTGGCGCTCGTCGCGTCGTCCAATTCAACCCCTCAGCCGAATCATGGACTGCGCCCGCCTCACCCAACACAGACGCTGTCCTCAACTTCCACCAGTCACTCCCCAACTACCAGCCAACCAAACTTGTCTCACTGGGTGAAGTCGCAAAAGAGTTGGGAGTCAAGTCTGTCTTTGTCAAGGATGAGACTGAGCGTCTTGGCCTCCCGTCGTTCAAGATTCTCGGCGCGTCATGGGGGACATTCTGCGCTCTCCTCAGGGCGCTTCATCTATCAGAGGCCGCCACGTTTGAGCAGGTCAAAAAGGCGCTGGAAGGGACGAAATTCAAATTATACGCCGCGACAGATGGGAACCACGGTCGCGCTGTTGCGCGGATGGGATCTCTCCTGGCTATCCCAGCAGAGATTCATGTACCTCGTCAAATGTCGTTGCAGACAATAGAACTCATCGAAAGCGAGGGTGCACATGTCATTTCAACGTCTGGAAGCTATGAGGATGCGATAGCTGCTGCGAACGCAGGAGCCAATGCCGACGAGCGCGGCATCCTTGTGCAGGATACTGCGTTTGAGGGCTACGAGGAGATCCCCGGTGTAGGTGTCCCATACTCCCAATCCAGACTCACTCTGACCGTGTGCTGCAGTGGATAGTTGAAGGCTACGGAACCATGCTCCGCGAGATTGACGAGCAGCTCGGCAACAAGAACGTCGATCTGGTCGTCTGCCCCGTCGGCGTAGGCTCGTTAGCACTGTCAGTCCTGACACACTTCAAGAGAGAAGGCCGTCAAACCGCCATGGTCACAGTGGAACCTGACACGGCGGCATGTCTCTGGACATCTGTGCACAAGGGCGAGTGGACTGCCATCGAGACGACGCCCACTATCATGGCTGGTCTCGACTGTGGGCAGGTTTCGACCACCGCCTGGCCTTTTCTGAGGGATGGTGTAGATGCATGCCTGACCGTGTCCGACTACGAGGCGCACATGGCGCTAGGGGACTTGAAGGCTGCGGGCGTCCATGCTGGGCCCTGTGGTAGCTCTCCGCTTGCTGCTCTGCGACGTTTGCGTGGGGAAGATGGAGCAGACCTTGGATTGACTGGGGAGTCCACGGTCGTTCTCATATGCACTGAAGGGACCAGAGATTACATGATTCCAACCGAAGACGGTGCACTTTGCAATGTAAGTTATAATTAACACAAGCGGCCTCGATGAGAGGTAAACGTCTATCCCCCACAGTCCGACCCCATTCAAGACCGTACATCTTGCATCCAACCATTGAAATCTATAGCCGTCACCACGAGCCTTGCTTTAACGATGAACACTTCCTGCCCTCTGTCTGGGGACACCATGCTGAGTTTCGCTCCTCCGTCGCTCCAGTCCCCAATCCTCCACGCGAGAATGCTCTGGGAGGGCAGGCTTCCCACCCAAGCTCGCGAGGACGACATCGTTCGTGACGGTAAAGTCATCCAGGACCTGGAGCTCCTTCAGGGTGAACCATCGGGGGACGAGGATGATGCGTGCGGGTATCATCAGAATGATGAGCACCGGGAACCCAATTGCAGCAATCGTCTGTGAGATGGCCACGCAGGCGAATACACCGCCTAGTTGGAGAGCGATCCATAGGAGGATCTTGCGACGTCGGATGTGGAACATGGGATCGTCTCTCTGGATGAAGCGGCGCTCGCGCTGCAAGAATACAAACTTTTGTAAGATGCCGTTTGATTCAATGGATCCCCACTGCACCATGGTCAATTTGTCTGGCATTCAGAAGGAGGGGAGAGGGGGAACGTACGCCTACGACAAAGAACACACCAGCGAAGAGGGCGGCTGGCATGGTATGCAGGACGGTCAACAGAGGTCCGGTCATGGTGCCAATGAGGCCCAGACCCATGACAAAGTGTGAAATGCGCTGCTCGACCACGGCCGTAGCCTTCACAATTGGTTCTCGTATCTCCGTGTCCTCGCCCTCGGAGGTGGGTATGATCTTGAGCTCCGTCTCGTAGATGGTCAACGAATCGGTGTGGACAGGTGCCTGTGCCATCAGCATACATCCATTTGCCCTTCACTTCCGGACTTACTTGTGGAACTAATCCATTCGGCAGAGGCAGTCCGAGGATGCCCGAGACAAAAGTCGTGCAGCCGAGGAGAAAGAAATCCCAGTGGAAACCTCCTGGCTTCTTGAGGGGAAACTGGCGGGCTTGTGCAGTAATACTGCTGACATTCTAGCAGGCTTTTGTGAGTCGAACAAGTCCGACAAGTATTGGAAAGGGGATGGTCTTACGTGGTCGTAGTAGAAGAGGAGCATGATGAGAAGCCCGAAAGGCATGGCGACGAACACCCACTTCACCTCAAGGTTCCAAAAGTCAATGAGCCAGGACCGCGGTTGCGTTGGCTCGAAAGCGTCCGTGACGGGGAGCCGCATAATGTGCGTTTTATCGATATTCCCGGGAATGTGGGAGAATCCAACCCAGAAGATGGTGCCAAACTGGAAGACTGTGAGCGCATTTCATGGTAAGGGTACCTCGTAGAGACTCACCACGTATGCATAATCAGCCAGTATGCCGCGCAGGCCAGCCAGCCACACGGTGCTGGACCCCAGCTTCTCGAGGGAGTAGACGGTAGCAAAGTAGAGAATGGCAATCATGGTTGCTAGGAATCCTTCTGCTCGCCCTTCCTGCGTAAACTCATTCACGAGCTCCTCGACACCCTTGACTGGGGAGGAAAATAACGTCAATGGACTGCGTAGGTGGCATTCGTTTCGGCTGGGTACATACTGATATAGATGATACCGACGTACATGCCGAAAGATTCGCTCGAAAAGTCGGTCACGTAGCGCATGTAGTCGCAGGCATTGCAGACAGCCACGAGCCAGTGGAAGATGGCGGCCCAGATGCCCACCCAGGCCATGAACTGGGGGTAGATGCTGACGTCGTAGATCTTGATAATGTCGTAGATTGTGTAGTTGAACAGGGAGATGAGGCCAGTCACGCCGACAATGGTCAGGGGCTGGGCGGCGAGTATGCTGAAGACCATGGCAGCGAGTGCCGACGCGAAGAGAGCTTCGTTGATGCCGAAGAACTCGCCCGTCCGGCGATACATGTCGAGTGTGTAGGCGAGGGCTGGAAGGATGCTGTTTGTTCGTCAGATATCCGGTGTGGACCGCAGAGTGAATGAACAACATTCTGTCTGCCAATGGAGAGCAATTGGGTCAAAGGCCGGACTTACTTGACAAAGTACATTCGAATAATGCTGGCAATGGTGCGGTAGGTGAAGGCGTCCTTGATGTCAGACCAGTAGTAGGGGAGCCGGCGCCTCACGTCGTGGTACATGCCTCGCCCAGGCCGTAAGAGGCGCCAGCGTCGCCAACCGTCCGCACCCTCGTAGGTGTAGGACATGTTGGACTTGCTGGGCTTCATGCGGGCACCGTTGGCTCCCATGATGCCGGAGACTAGACTGGACTGACGTAGGTGATGTGTTTGTCCAAGCTTGGTGCTCCAGGAAGGAGACTCGGGAGACTGACAATTTGAAAAGAAGGTTAATGAGACTAGCAAGAAGCTGGACACGGGAGAGGCAGGACTTTATTTATATCTCCATCGCCAAGGAACCTTTAACGAATATTTATGCTCGGCACTTATCTCACATGGTCCCATCAAGACTATTTAACATGATTCAATGGCCCACACCATCCCCGGCCAAGACATCGGGGCTACCCGGGAGTGGGCGGGCCACCGCGCTCTTGCGTCATGGACTCCAGTCAGTCTTACGTATCCGTAGGTGGATGCAAAATTCTGCCCGAGCAGAATTTCTCCCCCTACCGCGTGTAAGTCGCCCACGAGGTCGTGATTGCGTGCACATTCTATCTTTGTCCATCAATTGGATAGAAGGTGACTATCAGATATGAGGCAGACATCCCCCAGCCCGAGCGCTGTCTTCAACGACACACTCCTCGACGATCTTGTCGCAGCGCTGAGTGGCAATGCCCAAGTCTGGTCATCCATGAACAGACCGCATCTGCTCATCACAGCATCCATACAAGAAGCAGATGGTGGTGACGGCACCTCAATACACATAAGCGGAGGCGACCCGAAACATGGCCCAAGCACAATCTTAAAAGTACCTGACGTTGCACCACAAAGTCGGCTCATGCCACGCTCATAGCTGACCACATACAGCGCGCAATAGACATACAATCGATATTACAACCCGGGCTGCCCCTTACCTCCGAGTCACCGGTGTCACCTACAGATAGCCAAGACGGAGATGAGAGCTTCATTCAGTATCAAGGCCCCCAGAAACGGATCCGTGCCCAAAGCCCAACCGACACAGATGTCCACGATCCAGACCGAGCGAACAAGGCACGACGTGTCGAGTCTACGCATCCTCGCAAGTCAAAAGGCTCACTCCGACCCAGGACTGCGATCCCCTCAGCAGATTCAGCCAGCCATGACAGCCAACGGCAAATGGCCATTACCAAGAACGCATTCCCGCGCCGTGCCAAACCAACCACGGACCTGGCTCCCTCACCCGCCTCGTCTTCCCTCGCCAAGTTCGTCCAAAGCGTTTGGGAGCAGATCCACGGCGGTATATCACTGGAGCCTGCCATATTTGCCGCGCAGGCCGCGGACAGGCCAGGTGAGACTACTGCAGGCGCGATGAGCCTGGCAGCGCCCCTCCACCTGTCGACTACCTCTTCTAGCCTCGTCAGTCCTGGGAGCCAGACGGACGTGACCCCAGAATCCTTCACGCTGGGCAACGCTTTCTGCCGCCAGGTTCTGCAGACGAGCCGCGCGTGCAGATCTGTCGAGGTCATTGTGCAAGCGCGCTGGGTCGAGCTCTTTGACGCCTACGTCGCGCATCTCACCAGGACAGAGGGTCTATCCGCCCTCCGAGGCCGCATGGCCGCCATGGGGGAGGCGTGTCGGGATTTCGGCTGGAACGAGAAGGAGATGCGCAACAAGATGGCCGTCTGGCGGGGCTACAAGGAGATCAAGGATGCTGGTGGCTGGGTGCCCCTGGTCTTCGCGGGGATGGGCCTGTATCGCATGTGCAAGTACCGCGTGGGCTTGGAGCCCGGGCCTCTGTCGTCGCTCAAGGCCATGCGCTCGCGGCTCGAGATCGCGGCGGACACGATCCGTCCCGAGTGGCGCAAGCTGCTCGTTGCTGTCGGCGAGCCGACGCAGCTGCACTATCGAGGGCATCCGCACGACTGGGTGGCCCAGGCGGATGGCGACGAGCCGCTGCCCCTGTCGCATACGTATCGACACCAAGAGGTGCCGTTTACATTTCGGCATGTGGATGAGTGTCTGGTGGACGAGGAGCACTGGCCGGACGAAGACCCTCGACGGGTGCCGATGACGACCATGGTCACCAATGCGAGTGCTGCGCATATTTGCGACACCTGTGGCCAGCCGCAGTCCGACGAGATCAAGGACAATCAATGTCGCTGTTTCCCAAGTCTGTTTGGTGGCCAGAGACAGAAACCACCGGTGCAGATTTTCAGGACCAAGAACGGGCGCAACAACGGTGTGCAAGCCCTTCTGCCATTCTCACGGGGCAGTGGCATCGGCGAGTTCGTCGGTCTGTTGACGAGCGGCATCCAGGGCGTCGATGTGATGAACAGCGCCGTGGGCGCGCGCAAGTACCAGATCTGGCAGGGCAGAGAGAGCAACTTTACGCGGTTCGTCAACCACAGCTGCAACCCCAACGCCCTCTTCCACAAGTTCACCTGGCTGGGCATGGAGAGGATCCTGCTGGTCAGCAAGGGGATCGAGGCTGGTGCCGAGATCACCGTGGACTACTCGGACAGTTACTGGGAGGGACTCGACAAGGTGTGCCTGTGCGGCGAGGCGTGCTGTCGCTATCAAGGGAGGAGTGCAGCATGATGGGCGTCTCTCACTGATGAGCACGTGCGTCTACTAATGAGGATCTGACAACATCGCGGCCAGTGGCAAGGGAGCTCTCAAGCCTCAAACACAGCACTTGTTCAATGTTTAGAAGCTCCTTTTTGAGGTTTCCTAATAAGGTGTCCACAGCAACTTCAAAGATATTAGCGACATCAATGAAATTCGCTCAATTAGGCAAAAGAAGCTTCAGGTGGTGATCAGTACGTTGTTCCTAGCAGCGTTATTCTTCAGCTGCTTCAATAGTGTGGGGAAGTCATCCGCGCCCTACGAGGTCACGATAAGAAGCGACTCCGCGCATGTCGTAGCACCAACCCCCAATCATACTGTCCTCCTCTACAGAGCCACATCATTCAAAGCGGGATCTCAAAAAAACTGTCCTGAAATCCTACTGTCTCCTTCCATCGGCTCAATTCCTTGCCCATCGCTGCTCTCACCATGGTTCGCATCAGTCCCTTCAAGGTGGAGGAGTGGATGGATCGTCTCGAGACAACGCCAGGCGTCCTCAACATCGCCGAAACATGCTGCGAATCGGTCTCCGTTGAGGATCTGTATAAACTCGCGGACGGAGACTCACGTCCCCCGCCCCTGGACCTCACCTCCCGAAAGCTCACATACGGTCACATAGAGGGCTCACCCGACACGAGGCAGAAGATTGCCGATCTGTACAAGGACGGCAGCTCCCCAGATCTAAAGTTGGACGACGTTCTCGTGACGCAAGGTGCCATTGGCGCCAATTTTCTGACGCTGTATGCCCTCATCGGCGCCGGGGACCATGTCATCTGCGTCCATCCTACCTACGAGCAGCTTTACGAGGTGCCCAGAAGTATCGGCGCCGATGTCACGCTCTGGCGTTTGGAAGAGAAGGACTCATATATCCCGAATCCCACGCACCTAGAGTCTTTGGTACGGGATAACTCAAAGGTGCGTTGTTTGTCGCCTCGGGTTTGCCGCTCGCTGCGATTCCTGACTGCGTGACAGATGATCATCATCAACAACCCCAACAACCCCTTTGGGACGACGATTCCAAAGAGTGTACTCACCCAAATCATAGATTTCGCCAGACCACGCGGTCTAATCGTGATGGCTGACGAGGTCTATCGCCCCCTCTTCCATAGCCTGCCCGAGCACGAGCCAAGCCCCCCTTCTATTCTTTCTCTAGGCTACGACAAGACCATCTCCACATCCTCCATGTCCAAGGCGTGGTCCCTGGCCGGTATCCGATTTGGTTGGATCGCCACACGGGACGAGGAGATCATGACAGCCATCAAGAGCGCTAGGAATTACACCACGATATCCGTCTCTCAGTTGGACGACCAGATCGCCGGGCTCGCTCTGTCTGCGGCCGTGCGGCCGAATCTTCTCAGACGGAACATCAAGCTAGCGCAGAACAACATCGCACTGCTCGAGGCGTTTGTTCACAAGTACAGTGAGGTATGCTCCTGGACTAAACCAACAGCCGGCACCACGGCTATGATCCGCTTTGAGAGGAGGGGTCAGTCGGTGAAGGATGATGAATTCTGCCTCGAGGTGTTGGAGAAGACGCGCGTGTTGGTCATGCCGGGATCAACGTGTTTCGGGGATGGGGAGTACTTTGAGGGATACATGCGGTTCGGATACGTGTCTAGCACCAATGTGCTCAAAGACGCACTGGGCGCACTCGGTCATTACCTAGAGAATGGGTTCGCTCATGGCGGCTGATTCGGCAGTCTTGAACCCATGCGTCACGAGGCCCATTCACAAATGAAGCACCGATATGTGGTAGGAAAGTTGCAGACAAATGTGACTGGAATTAGAATAACAGCTAGTAGATAGAGCCGTTCCTACAGTCAAGTCCTACTATCCACAAGAGGAAGCAGTAAGCTTCAACCCAAACAAACAATCTCTGGTATCTTCAAAGAAGCATGAATCCAAAACAGGGCAACTGCCTCGTCACACCTTTAGACCTTGCGCTCGACGGGGGCGTCGCCAACGCGCTGCACCTCGGCATCCTCGTGGTGGATGGTCTTCTCGACCTTGGCGGTGACCTGGTCGGCGACATCCTTGCTCTCGAAGATGAAGGCCAACTCCTCGAGGGAGAGACCGGACGTCTCGGGGAACATAAAGTAGACGAACACGACTTCGAAAGCCAGCCAGCAGCAGTACGAGATGAGGTAGCGCCACGACACGGCGTTGAGACCGATGGGGTTGACAAAGGTGGTGAAGAACCCGGCGAAGCGGCCAAAGACCTGGCTATAAATGTTTTAGAGCATTGTTCGGTGACGTGGTCCAAAGGAGCTTACAAGAAGGAGATACCGCGGGAACGGAGAGCATAGGGCCAGAGCTCAACCATGTAGGTGTAGGTCAAAGCGTTGAAACCTGGCGAGTGTTAGCGAGGCATGTATATATCAGCGGTGCGCATGGACGAACCGATGTTGTAGCAAGGCGCGTAGAGGAAGATGAAGATGAGCGTAGCCCATCCGGCAGCCGAGTTCTTTCCGCCATTCTCTTGAGCAGTAACGGCACGCTCCATGGAGATCGTCCAGGCAATGTAGACGCAGAGGAGACTGCGGTGGTGTTAATTGTGACTGGATCATTGCACCTCGGGCACTGGACACTTACGCGCAGACGCAAGTCATGTACATGACACGACGACGGAAGGTTCGAACCAACATGGCAACCGTGAAGGCCATGACAAGCGACCAGCAGGCACTGACGAGGTTGATGGTTTGCTTGGTTTGGGAGTTGGTGTAGCCGATCATAGTGAGCAGGTCACCTGTGTTTTCGTTAGAAGACGATCTATCACGGCGCAAGGCGCGCAAGGCCACTGCTTACCGAGGTAGTAGCTGATGAGAGTGTTGCCAGACCACTGGGTGAAGAGACCAAGCATGGCAGTAATAAGGGCGCGGCGGCGCATACCAGCACTGCGCAGGAGATCGAACCAGGTCTCCTTGGAGGCCTCGTACTCGATCTTGATGGTTTCGGTGATTTGGGTCATCTCAGCCTTGACGAATTCCGAGTTGACATTGCCCTCAGCGTGATACTTGACCAAAATGGCGTTGGCCTCCTCGATACGGTCCTTGCTGACCAGCCAGCGAGGCGACTCGGGCAGGAACAGGCACAGGGAGACCTGGAGCAGCGAGGGGAGGATTTGGAGGTAGGATGGAACTCGCCATCCCGCGTTGCCCGCGATGCGGTTTGTGCCGTAGCAAATGCCGGCGGCCATGATTTGACCGACAAAGTAGCTGACGTTGAAGAGCGAAGTGAGGATGGGACGCTCCTTGGGGTAGGCCAGCTCTCCGATGAGGGCGGAGCCAGCGACAATGCAGACTGGGATACCGAAACCAAGCATGATACGGGCGACAATGTACATGCCGACTGGCGAGATTGTCAGCTCTGGGAATTTTGGGAATCAAACGATCCATGTCAGCTTACCGTGCTGGGAGGCACCCTGGATGATAGCACCGGCAATCATGATGCAGGAACCAATGAAGATGGACCAACGACGACCGAACTTGTTGTTGCACCAAGGGACAAGAGGAAGACTGATGAGGGCGCCGAGCGAGTACGAGGCGCTGATGAAGCCTTTCCAATGACCGACAGGATCGTCAAAGTAGTCTTTCCACGACTCAACAATCTGCAGGGCGTTGATGAGCTGCGAGTCGAAACCCGAGGTCAGCTCGACACCCATACAGGTGGGGAAGAGCATGAAGTAGAGCCATCGCAGGTTGGGCTTGGAGTACCATGGCACCTTGTCCTCGTTGACGATCGTTTCGATGATGGGGTCGACGGCGACCTGGGCGGACTTTGTGGTGAACTTGGACATGGCGGGCGGTTGTGGTAGAGCGTGAAGCGCTCACACGGATTCACCAGGAACGAGGTTTGCCAGGAGAGGAGGTGAGACAAAGGGGCTTGGTCGAGCACAACGAAGGAAGCAGAAGCTGCCGTGGACGGGGACCTGCTTAATATAACTGCGTGTTTCCTCCACGGCGCGATGAGAGCCCCTTCAGGCCATGGCCCATGGGTCTTTGGCAGGGGAGTATCCGCGTGCATCCAGAGGGAGGGCCCTTGTGGCCCGCGAACCGAGAAAACATTCAGACCGCAACGTCGAGGAGGCTGAAACTCCGTGATTGGCCGGCTGAATTCATGAGGCTTTTCAAACTAGGATAATAGCCTGTTGTGGGGATGAATGTGGTGTGGGACAGTGGGAGAGAGAGTCTGGGGCGGCCCCTTGGAGGTTGGAGGTGAGGGAGGGGGCGGCGGACAGTTGGGTCGGGGTTTGCGGGGGGGTTGCGACTTGGCATTGATCGAGGTACAGACTATTCGTATGTGCGCACTGTCCGTACAGCAGCCCGCAAGCAGGCAATGAACACTCGGCAGCACAAGAGTGATGAAGATCAGGCCCTCGTCGGTATGTGACTCCCTGGTGGTGCCTCTGAGGTCGACCGCTCTCGAGAACTGGTATCTTGCTGAGCCTCTGAGGTGCGTGATTGTCCATGGGCCGAGCCTTGGCAAAAAACAAGCTTGAATGGGGTACAGTCGGCATTGGGGTGAAGGCGGGTCACCTGCGGCGGAGGTGCCGCCGCTGCTTCGATCAGCTCAGGCCTCGGAGCCTTGGCTGGCGACTCAGTGATGACTTTTTCGTGGATACGTAGGGGGCTTTACGATCGATAGCGCAAGCCAACGGCGACAATCTCGCCTAAGCACGTAAGGGGAGAGCGGTTGGTGAACTTGGTGCCCATCACGCCAAGCGAATGGGTCCATCGAATAGACCTCGGTTTAGGGGGCGACAAAATGCGATTTGAGTTGCATGCCCGCGACGGCACTCGATGGACGCGGACCATGGAGAGTGACAAGGCACGTCAAAAAGAAGCATCAATATGGCAGATCAAGCTTCTGCCTGAGGTGTGATGGAGCAGCAACAGCCGGCTGGGAATTGGCTGTCTGGGGAAGGAGCGCCCCCGCTTATCTTGCATCCTGTGGCCTGTAAGCGGAGCGGCGGACGGCCTACCGTCTTGGCGACACGATCCGCATCACGTGGTGGACCAAGCACGTGCCTACCCTGAACCGTCATCTTGCCTTTGTGACAACTGCAACACTACCATTGATATTGTACAAGTTGTGTTACTTCAAATATAGATGAAGTGCCTCGGAAGCAGTATTAGAATCTTCCGGTATAATGTGTACATAAATTCCTCTCAGGGCTATTCGCTTCCTCGCACAACCAGCAGTCCCCCTCCATCTGACACCTCATCTCGAGGCGGCTGACCCGCCGTGCTGACCCCTACGCGGGAAGAGAGTGCTGACTGTTGATTGCTGACCGACACGGTGCTGGTACACCCTGTTCGTACAGGCTTGGGAATATTTAATACGGTGTTGGACACCAAACGGCACGGCATGCAGCTCCCCAGGTCAAGTATGCCAAGAAAATAAACGGCCGAATGTCGTTCGTTCCCCAACGAATGGAGGGCATCGTCGTATTAGTCTGGCCATTGGGAAGACAGTACGTACACATAGTCCGCGACACACCGTCCTGTCTATGGCCGTGGTCAAAATGGGCAATGTTCCTGGGCCCGCCAAGTGCACTCTCTTCATGAAAGTGATGGATGAATGTGTCAATTGTTCAGCCAAGCTCGAACCAGCGCGCCCACCACGTCTTGGGAGTTTCTGGGCTGATGCCTTCCCACAGCCAGGTTGGAATTAAACTTCTGGGGTCCAGTCAAGTTCCAGTGAGGTAGGTCGCCATGGTGTTAGTGATGAACGCTTGGTTGCCTCTTTGGGCCCGTAGGCTCCCCGGCTTGATATTAACCTCCCCCTTTCTGGGGCGTTCGCGTGGAAGCCTCCGGAGCTGCTCTAGTGCTTATTCCAAAACAGAAGAGTCTGCTTGGTCGGCTAGGCTGGTCTTGTGAAACTGCGTTTGGTCACCTGCAGGCTGCAGCCCACAAGCGACATTACACCCGCGCGTATCAGTGGGGGAAATGCCACATTAGCACACGCTGCCTCCAAGCGCGCTATGCCTCCGCGTTGGGGTCGGGGGATGGAAATGGGATGCATCGTATTGGCTGAAGGTAAGCAAGAGAAATCAGCATGGTGTGTGCATTGTCCCTCAAGACTCTTAACGTTACTTTCTACGTATCCCCCACAAGAACGAGACTCGACAAGAAATCTATCGCCAGATATCTACAAATGCAGCCCCCTCTACATGACAAGCTTGGAACCGTGGTATTTGACATCACGTCCGTACGAGCTAATGTCAGCATCCGCAGTCCTCTCAGGAAAGCCCTTGAACGACTTGGCATATGTAGCGATCGAGTGCGCAATCAACTGTCACCGTCAGCAACCGTTCATCGACAAAATTCGTACACGCGAGAAGCAAAAAACGTACCTTGGTATTGACCTCCCACGCGTCGAGGGCCAAGTTGCTCAGATCATCGCCAATCTGGTGATAGTTGGGATCGTACCAGTCGCCAGCCTTGCCACCAAACATGGCCTCTTCGTCCTTCGTCTTGATGCCCTCGGCACCGGTCGCGATACCGCCGCCCGGGATCCCGTTGCGGATGAACCCATCATAGTCGCTGCGGCCGTCAAAGGGGATGAACGTGTAGTTCAGGCCCTGGTCCTCGTACCAGTCAACGTACAGCTCCTTCAACTCGGCTGAACCGGTGGGGTTCTCCTCGTTGGTGGCATTGTAGATCTGGTAGGCGTAGTTGGGGCTGGCCATCATGTCGTAGTCCATGAACAGGCGGATGCGCTGATTCTCCTCTTCGGAAAGCTGGGACACATAGTAATCAGAGCCGAGCAGACCTTCCTCCTCGGCCGCCCACCAGGCGAGGCGCACGCAGTTGTTGACGCGGAAGCGAGAGAGCTGCACGGCGACCTCGAGGAGAGACAAGCTGCCAGTGCCATCGTCATTGATGCCAGGCCCCTCGGCGACGCTGTCACTGTGCCCACCGGCCATCACGCAGTTCTCCGCATCGCCACCCAAGGTTTGCGCGATGATGCTGGTAGTGACAATCGTGCGGACCTCGGCATCAATGTAGGCAATGGCGTCGAGCTTCTCACCCTTCCTGATCTTCTCAACGTACTTGGAGCCCTCCGTGCCGCCGATGCCAAAGGTAGCCACATGGTCAGGCGACGGTGTGCCGAGGGTACCCTGCACCGTCTCGGGATCGGTGTTGTAGACAATGGCCGCGAGAGCACCAGCCTTGCCAGCGTTCTCGGATTTGGTGCCAAAGGGGCACGTGCCGCGCTTGATGAGCACAATGTTACCAGATGCTTGCTCTGGGATATCAGAAGGCTCGCATCCCTCATTCTCCGCGAGGATCACCTGTCCGTGAACTGGCTCGTTGTTCCGGGTAGGAGGCGTCAAGCCCATTGGGGCAGCAGAAGAGGGAACCTCGGCACCCACCACAAGGCGAGACTCAAAGACGTTGCCAGTCACGGCGGGGAAGCTCTGGGACGAAACATTGTAGTATGATCCCAATTGAGCCAGAGTCGACTGGATGTAAGTCAGAGTAGCTTCATGTCCTGCCGTCTGTCAGTCTCACGCCAATACACTCCCCGCAGCGAATCATACGAACCCTTGCTGCCAATGACACGAGTAGGGTGGTTGTACTCATCCTCGCTCTTCTTGGCCAAGTCGTAAAGGACCTTGGCGCGAGCCTCAAGAGAGGAAGAGGCGATCCTGTCCTGAAGGGTCTCACTGTCAATCAAAGGGAGCTCATCGCCATCGTCTTTGGGGACAGCAGGGGTCTCGGTCCAGGGCGTGTTGATTGGGATCTGGAGCGGGATCTGCAAGGCAGATGCAGCACCAGTGAACGCAAGAGCAGCCACAACAGACAGACGCGCCATGATGCCTTGGACAGAGTAGCGAGGTTTGGAATCAAGTCACTGATAACGAGGCTGGGAGTCATGAGACGCGATGTTGACCGACGTTGGTAGTCGGCGCTAATGCAAGTGGGCCGTTGCTAGGTGATTCACGGCTGAGTCATCCACCGAGCATGACACGAAGACCGCGGACTATTGACGATAGGACCATACGGATAGGATATGAATACCAGGTAGTAATTATATAATGCATGCCATGTATACAGAGGCCCGGATATAGGTTTTCCCATCGTAACACTTCAACAAACTCCATAATGCAAGTACGACGCCCCAAGGTTTATAGTAAAGAGCACACTCAACGTCTGTCTAACTCTGACCTTCATTCGACCACCAGATTCTTCATGCGCCCCGTAGTAGGAATGGGCTTATCCATGCGGCAGGCCCAGAGCAGATAGTCCTCCAAAGGAAGGAAAACAAGCAGGAAGCGGTTGAAGACGTAGGCAATCATGACAGTGAAAACCGCGGCCAAAGCATCAATAAAGTAATGGTTGGCGGTGCCCACAATGGTAAGCAGGATCCAGCAAGGGTACCAGAGGCCAAAGGCGAACATGAGGCCACGCACCAGCGGGCTGCGCCTCTTGAGCAGGAGATCTTCGTCATCCTCCTCCTCTGCCTCCGCGTCCGGGTCGCTGCTGCGGAAAACGTAGTTGAAAGCCTTGTTGATCAAGCCGGTCAAAACACCGCTGTCGGCAATAAACACACAGCCGATGCAGAAGGCGTAGCCAAAGTGCATGCTGGGAAACGCAGCGAGCTTGTTGACAAATTTGCCGCTCATCCACACGGATTCGGCCGACTCGAGGTTGACAGTGTCCACAAAGCCATACTTCTCATCTAACAGCCGAGGAGGGCAGGTGGGAATGAGGATGAAGGAGACAAAGGCGAGCATGTTGGTGAGAGTGAGCGTGCGGCGGACGGTGCAGAAGCGGCGATGGGTAGGCGCAGTGGCGTAGTAGTATGAGATGAAGCCGACGGTGCCAGGGATGTGGATGAGCGCATATCCTCGGTTGAGGATCGTCAGGAACCACACACGGTAGTCGCCAGCCTCGGACCCGTGCAGGAACCAGCGCTGGATGCGCCATTCGAGCCAGCGCTTGGGGCCCTCCTGGCCGTTGCCGAAAAAGTACGCTTCCGCATCGAGAAGGGCCAGACCGTGGTCGGCGGCCGAATCCCACATCTCACGGTGGCCGCCGTAGATGAGCTGGGCGACGGCGCCCGTTCCGCGGTAGAGGGCCAATGCGATGGCCCAGTAGAACATCTCCACGAGGAAGGGGAACTTTTGCAGGATGCGCGAGTGGACGTTGCGCGCGAAGCGAGAGGAGTTGGGCGTGCGGATGCGCATGAAGCCACATAGCGAGCGAGTCTTGGGGGGGAACGCGTCGGGCTTGGGGAGGAGTTCGAATTCGTTCGAGCTCCGAGGCGATGGTGAACCGGCCTCCACCTCGTCGAGCAGCTTGTAGGTGTGGTCCTTGTCTCTACGGAAGACGGTGTAGTTCCGACGCCTGGTGAGATACATGGACGGGAAGAGGATAAGGATGATGATCTGCCGCACGTTAGGACGAGCTGGCTAGCACAATGCAAACTGCAACTTACGATAGATTCGACCCATTCAGGCATCTTCCAGCTGTGGGTGGCCTGCCAGCCATTTTTGGGCACATCGCCTAACCAGTCCTCTGCTGCCATATTTGCGATTTGGATGTAGGAATGTAGGTTGTATTGTCGATATGGTTGTCGTCAATGCCGCACCATTATGTGGCCCAGGGGGTCAAGACGGCGGACTCAAGTCGAAAAGGAGAGGCACGTGTTGCGATCGCATCCGTCGCCTGTGGCCACAAGAAACACCAATGACCCTGAAAAGGCCTCCCGAAGTCAGAAACGATAACAGGTCGCGGTCGCAAAGGCGATCACCGAAAAGAAAGTCGGTATACACGAGGTTTAGTCGATGCAAGGAGGACAGGAGGAGGCTCGAGATCCTGATTGCTGCGCCGCCCCAAGGCACTCCAGCGAATTTCGATGGACGACAGGCGCCGGGCACTGCACCCCCACCTCGGGCTTCCATTTCGGGTTTAGCGCATGGAGGCACAGAATGTCGACTGGATCTGAATCAAATTGACTTTATGCCAGTGCGCAATATTATAGAGGGGCGCGGAACAGAATCCCCATGGTGCTTGGAGCTACACGTGCGCTAGCCGAGGAGGGAGCCATCGCAACGCGCACTTTTCGGCGCTGCTTGCGCGTCTTCAAAAGCTTGTCTCGTTTTCTAGGCTCGTCGACGAGGTGATGCCCATAGGCCAAAATGCTGCGGGGCGGATGTAGCTGTCGTGGGTCTGCCATTGGTGGACTTGGTCGTGTCTGCCAATTTCCCTTGGTACGGAGTACCTCCGTAGTTGGTACCTAACCCCCCCTGTTTCTTCTTTCACGCGACCAGCACGTACTTGCTGGCGGACAACTACACCCGAAGAAATTGACGACCATAGGGCAGAGCAAACTCATGCTAAACTGTCGTCGATCAACAAGAGCACCTCTCCTATTAACCATATCTGCATCAATTGCCTCTGCAGGAATCATGTGTCCTTTTCTGAAGTCAGGCAACAAGATTGTGACTGGTCGCTCGCTTCCAAATCTGACCCGAGGTTCAGCTTTCACGTGAATCATGTATTATCCTCTGGCCAAGGCGTGCATAGAACATTCTTCAACGGCAAATTCTAGCTAGTAACACTCTCTTTCCCCGATCGCGGGACATAGTGTTCGAAATTTGAATCGTCAATAGGTGTCTTTGGAATGCTGGATCTACCTAGCTACACTGACACCTTCCATTCCCCAACAGCTCCACCCACCGCCTGATGGGTTCTGTCTCCCATCCTTGGATGCACGTCAATGATTCGAGCCGCCTTTTCCACAATCTGCAAGACGGCCTACTTTGGATGGCCAAGGCTGCATTGGCCTCAGCCGCTCAATCTAGTGGTTTTCTACTCTGCGAGATTCCCCTGCCATGGAGCGGTCCGACAGGCCGCACTCCACAAAGACGACGCTCTAGCACAGATAGTGCTGTCCGCCCCGTGGAAGAGGCTCACTGTGGCGGATCTGGTATGTCTCTGGAAGACAACAGTATCGAGGATCAAGGACAATTGTCCATGGCGAGAAATGGGGAGAGTGTCGAATGCTGACCAGCCCTTCTTTCGCCCACTCCACCCCCTGATATACAAATTTGGTACGATGAAGGAGGATCCGCCTATCCCTCATCATCTGTAAAACATTTCAACCGACGCTTTTGAAAGAAGAAACTCCAGGTGCGCCTGGTGTTGACGATGGTTGGCCAACACATATACAGGATGTCATGGCCGACCCGGCCCCTCTGGCCTCTCAATCAGACCCCCAATGTCAACACGGCCACTCCGGCCGGGACCCCATCCTGTCTTATCGTCCCTCGGAGGCTGTGAGCGAATAGGCGGTAGTTGATACGAGCTGTCGCTTTGGCTCGCCCGGAAGCTCGGGGGCCCTGTATACTCGGGACGGCTCGTCGAGAGGGGGTAACCGATCGGGCTGAGGCCCTCGCTCTGACTACCTAGCAACGGTGGTGCTGAGCTGAGGATCGGACGTGGTTGTGTTGAGCCTTCGCTCAAGCGGTGTCTGTGGAGGTCGTGGGCCATGGAACCGGGCGGCGGTTGCGAGGGCATCGACGACCCGTAGAGTCCCGGCTGGCGCTCGTGCGGCGAGGGCGTGTGTGGATTCGACATGACCGCCAGTGCCATGACGACGAAGAAGTACGACCCCTCCTTGCCCAGACCCAGCCTCACCGGATACTGCCGCCATTTCCCATCGCCAATAACGAATCCAAAATATTCTTGCCGGTTGAGGTTGAAGGCCGATACGTCTCTCGCACTGAACCCGTGGCGCCCGAGAACCTGATCGCCTCGATCCAAGATGGGCGGGAGATAATTCGGCTCCATCTGCTTCTGCTCCGCCATGAGGTCGCCCTGCAAAGAGAGCACCCTATCCCGGTCCCCCAACACCACCACGTCGTGCAGAGATCGTCGATCTCCAAGGCCGCCCATGGCCTCTCGAAACGGGTCGGAGACTCGTAGGAACTGCAAGCCGAGTGTGAGGTACGCTACTGGCTCGTCAGTCTGCGTGGCGATGGAGAGCGGCGGTCGGTATCGCGCAGGAATGGAGTCCCTCGGGTCGGGCTTTGCTAGTCGTTGTTGCTGTGCATGATGGAGAGGAATATCGTAGCCTGGTCCTGCCGCACCGCTGCCAGGCGCGTATGCATTCGTGGGTCCGCCCAGGCCAGGGTCATGCTGCGAGGCCGGACCTCTCGATACCTCGTAACGTGTCTCGCGGTCGTCTCGTAGCCGAGGTCGTCCGCGCTTTTTGTGCTGGACGTCGACACAGGCGTCCTCCTTTCCGTTGCTAAGGCATCTCGAGCAAGGTCTCTGCGCTAGCTCAAAGTCAGCTTCCTGGAAGTCAAACAATTCCGTGGATGTAAGTCATAGAAAGTCTCGCAGAAATGCTGTGTTCGGGAGTGTCTTGGCACCCATGATAGTTGGAAGTGGTTGAATCAAACAGAGAGAGGTACATACCGTCGCACCTGTCTCAATGTCAGCTTCCCGTCTACATGGATCAGTGACGACCGGAGGACGCTTGCTTACCGTAAATGTGCACGTTTGCATGGAACACAGGCCGAGGCAACGTGGCCCTTTGCTTTTCTCTGTGATTTCGGAGACGCAGGCGTTGAACTCTCCGTCGCCGGTGGCTGGTTGGTCATTGGAAGCCCTGAAGATGGCAGGGAGGTCGACGCTGGAAGATACGTGTGCTGAGGCAATGCCTGGGACATGCTGGGCAGTGTCTGTGGTGGGAGCGCGCTGGGGCGGGGGAAGCTGCCCGGACTCCGGTACGGCTGTTGGAACATCTCCCTGGTCTCGGGGTGCTCTGATCGCTGGTAGTCGGCCTGGTTGTACGCGTAGCCCCGGGAACGCTGGCTCTCGATGCTCGGGGTCTGGGACGGCGGTCTTCCATAGGCATTCTGGCCAGCCGAGAAGGCTGGTGCTGGTGCTGGTGGCGGCAAATGTGCAAGTTGTGGTGGTCGGCTCTCAGCAGCTGATGTTGCGCTCCGGAGGGGGGGCGATTTTGACATGGGAGACAGACCAGCGTGAGTCCGGCCAGTCGCTTGGGGAAGCTCGGCGCAGTGAGGATGGCAGAGTTGCGGCCAGATGGCATCAGCTTCACTGGCGCTGGAAGACGTGGTTGTCGAGGGCAAGTGGTAGCCGGCTGCTGTATGGTTCGCTCGATCCTAACGTTGACCTGCTCTTTACCATGCCTCAACCTTGATTCTGACGTCTCTGCAACAGCCAAAGATCTGTCAGGTCGTTATGCATGTCCCCTTTCAAGACTCCAAGGGTTCCTGTCCTCCCTTTTGATGGCGAGATCTGCGTCTGACTACTTTGGTCTGATAACGCAGTACTGCAGGCTCGACTGTTGTACTGGGCGGGCACTCTTGTTCCAGTACTCGTACACTATGCGGCACACGCCTGTGGTAAGGGTGGAAGGCGGCAAGTGCTTTCACGACGTCGAAAGCCAGCGAAGAAGGCTGTCTTGAAGATAAAGGTGAATAGGTTTTGTTGTCGGGAAACAGAACAGGTGCTCTTCGCAGCCAATAGGTGACCCAAGTAGGCGGCTCGCCAGTTTTTGTGCAATACCTAGCTCCCTGGGCTGGCGTTGTTTGAGGGGTGGGGGGTGTGGTGATAAAGCTGGGAGCATGCGACTGGAGCCAGGGTATGGTGACTGTTCAGGGGGTCCCTGGCGCCGGGCTGCTAGTGATAACCCACAAATCTGTCCAAGACGGATGGCGGACTTGTCTAACTAATTAACGCTCTCCCTTTGTCACTTGAGTTCGTGCTTGTAGATACAGTATCCTTCATGTAGCTGATGACTCCACAAGGTCGCTTGGCCATCAGTCCATGCCTGAATCCAGCTAGAACGTTTCTCTCCTAGGCTTGGAACTTGCTGAATAATAAGATCCAGTATGCCCTCACCTGAGATCTCCTAGTGACGGGCAGCTATGAAAGCCGAATAGAGATGCAAGTCAAGGGAACGACCATGAAGGTTCCTTTGCAAACAGGCGAGTGAATCGATCAAGGCGCAGTAGTAGTAGTTGTTGTTGTACTTTACAAGTAACACGAACGCTGTGATAGTGTCCTTTCTACGTATTGGCCGCAGGGAGCAAGGCACAGCTTGTATTTAAATGCCCGTTTTCCGGTCAGTAGGGCGCGGATGTGTCAGTCAGGTGGTCGACACGTTGCGCCGTGAAGGTTGGACAAATCTGGCGATCTACAGACTAACTTGGGTCTAGACATGTTGACCTAGCGCCACAACATGTGCGCAAAGAGCGTGAGACCATCAAGATGGCGTAGCGTGGCGCCAAATGCATGGTGTATGATGGATGGTGGAAGTGCGCGAGGATTGGCGGGTTCGACAGGAGACAGAGCTTATGGACAGCCGAGTGTGGCGAATGAGACCTTCTCGCGTTGAGGTGCTGGAAAAACTTCCCAATGTCAGATTCGAGAATTGAAACTTGCTCAAGGTCGCCGATACGTACTCGAGTCTGCCACCACCAGACTTGTTCTTCTCTGTGCATTCTAACACGAGCAGGGCGTGCCAGAAAGGGTGGAGGTGGACTAACCAAGTGAGGACGGCATGGCGAGATTGGGGTGTGGGATGTCGGAGGGTCCATCCATCTTTGCAGAGCAACTGAGCAAGTATCAATTAGCATGTTCCATCATGCTTGGGTTCGTCCTATCAATTATCGAGCCGGCTTAATTGTGGGTTGACTATCATTGCAATTCCATGCTGCCACGGTCGGATACTTTCACCAAGCTCAGGGCCATAGCATAAAGTAATCGAGCGACCGCACTGGCGGCTCTTGTGGGAACGCCGGACGGGGTCACTCCCGAGGCGCATTCATCTTTAGATTGACTTTGTTAGTAATGAGTCGGCCAAGTCAAAGTAAGTACGCTGTGCTCGCAGTCCACGTGGTGCTCATTCGCCCCGAGGTGGTGCATCGGGATGCGGAAGTATTTGCGGCTGTCTTGCCATTCATGAGCGCAAGATTGTATCCTCCGAACAGATGGCACGGAAGATTTCGCTCAGCATTGCCACGCATGGCCAGCGGCAGGCGCCTTGTAAAGTTTCGGAGCGAGAAGTGGTCGGCGACACCGTGAGGAAGGGCACACGAATCGTTCGCACTGGCTCCTGAATCCAACCACCACTAATAAGTGTTAGAGGTGTCTGCATCACGAGTGCAATCAGGTCCTGGCTACAAGACTAGGATAATTAGTACGCTGTACACATAATCATGGGGAATTGTAGGGGAGGCGTCGGAAAGGCCGATCGTCTTCGGGGACCTCTGGACTTTGTCTGTCTCACTGCGCTGCGGACAAGGTAAGCTAAAAAGCACAATGCACATGGGATTGTCAGTCCCAAGTCCCTGAGGCTGGCTGGATGAGCAGTTCCTGCACTCCCTCACACGCATGTCAGAACGTTACATACGTGCGTCCGCCGTCCGCCGTCCGCCGTCCGCCGTCCGCCGTCCGCCCAAGCCGTCGCGTTCGATTGGCAACTGCAGGAGACGGCGCGAGCGCCGCCCGTCTTTTAGGAGCCAGCGTGCCGGGACTGGGGCGCGGGCTGCGGAAGTGACTGGATCCCCGCCACATTGGGACGTTGGCGTAATCTGTCCACGACGTCTGCCGAGCGTGATGAATGTCAGTGACGTACGTCCGTCCACCTGGGGGCCGGCTCCAGTCGGTTAAGTATGGCAAGGTTTTGCTTCAAGCTTGAGCCATGGGGCCATGGGGCCCTTGGGGTTGTCGGCGCGACTCGTGCTGGGTCTGCCAGCCGATGGGGCGTTGAATTGGTGCTGCTGATTGATGGATGGATGGAGATGTCAAGTAACAATTGTCCGTCACCGACTCACCATCCATGCCATTGGCAGCATCGGAATGTGCAGAATTCGACAACTCGGGCGAGCTTGCCCCGTCTCGTGATCTTCAAGTTCCCATATGTTCTCCACTCTTCACAGCCGACATTGGCAAGTGCGACCTGTCTCGTCTCGGTAGTTCACGCTCATCATCATCCGAGCAAGAATCAGCTGACTGCTTCATTATTCCATTCCCGTCAAGCAGGGCAACGTACTTGCTTGCGTAGTACGTTAGGTAGGAACTTACTTGACCTAGTACCCAAGTAGCCTAGCAGCTAGGTCCAGTGGCGTCCAGACCACCCTTGTCGCCCTAGCGCTCTCCATGCGGAACAGGATGGAGCCGTCTGCAAGACTGCGACTCTGCGAGCACCCTAATCAGGATTTGGAACCATTAAAAAAATTCGCCGCGCTGAGAGATCGACAACTATCTTATTGGCCCACAATCATGCCACAGCCTACGTACGGAGTACTGCACGTACTGTAGTACTCCGTACAACATGCCATGGATGCCCTGGCAAGGCGAAATCTTCCGAAGCAAGCTAGACACGTTAAAAAAAAACTTTCTGTACAGCAGCGCCAGCACTACTACCTTGAGTCAGCGACATTCTTTTACTACTTACGTACGGATACAGTTAGTAGAGGCTCAATGAGTAAGTAACTTGGGTACTATTCAAACGTTTATGCCAGCCGCTGCCACGACGTGGGCCTCTCGGAGTGGGAATCGTGCCGAAGTGCGAGGGCTGGAAAGCCACCCTGGGGCTGGCGTGGCGGAATAGACCGGATCCGATGAACCTAAGCACGTTATCCTAGCGGGTATGCAGCACGTTGTCCGTCAAACCGCTAAACGTCAGCGACCAACCCCACGCGGCCCAAGATGGCCCTAACCACCCGCCGGTGTCACAGACAGACATGGCTCGAGCCGCCTCCAAGCGCCGCAAAACCCCTTCTCATCTCAACTGTCCGCCCACGCCATACGTACGCCCTCTTGCTCGGACGAGATGCGTCGAATCTGATGTGCATGCAGCACCTGAGACTGCACAGCAGCTAGGTACTACTGTGCTTGTCGTACAAGTACGTACCACGGCACCAGGGATCTTTGTCCGGGAACTGCAGCTCCAGCCATCGAGCCGTCCAAGACCGTGAAGTCCGTTTCGCTACCAGATCTTTGACGGCGGGCACGTGCATCCGATTGAGAAGCCCCCGGCATCCATGCCACCAACATGCCCGATGATCCCCTGTCAGCATGCGTCTCGGGTGACTAGTTAGTTAATTAATGTACGCAAAGTTCAACAAATCGCAAGGCTAACATACTCCTCGAGCCCGCATGTCCGTCCACACTGGATTCACCAGCGCTTGTCTACCTCATTTCTGAACTCGTTGTGGATCTTGGTAAGATACTTTAGACCACCCTGCGCCCGCAGGCGGTCATACATGCACGTGAAGACCCGAACGTAGCCTTAGCCCTTTCATGTCGGGGCCTCATGTCAGGGCCTCATGTCGGGCTGGGGATCGATCCCCTGTGAGGGTTGCTAGGGATTCCCTGCTCACAAATGTTCGGATTCGTACGCATGCGAAATGAAAGGTGTCGACAGTCACTCGAAACGAGACTACGTTCCCCAGCAATATAATAACCTTGAAAGGTTTCTGGGACCTCTCAGAGTGCGGCAGAGCCTTCAATTATGTCAGGCCTCGGACAGCCCTATACTACTACTACGTACATAGTACGTTGCACTTGTAAAGCTACGCATCCCCTATCATCCCGCAAGAACATGGGCTACATTGGTGTCGATGGACCAGCCAGATTTCGTCGACGCATGTATCTGTAGTCGACGACTCGACGCGGCAGTCACCCCCAATATAGGTGGCATACAGATCTTAACCTGCAGAAACCTGCCCGTATTGTTACAGGTGCTTCACCCTGCGCCGAGCGTCCCTACCCCGGGTCTGTTGGTTGTTATCAGTCGACACGGACGAAGACGATGACGATAACGAGGTAATTAATGTACGGGGCCGTCAATCAAAGTCTGAAGTTCTAAACTGGATGAAAAGGGACGTTCCCAAGGTATCAGCCAAGCAGATATCAAGGTCACAAGACGTAATTAATGCATGGCTACCCTGGCCGCATGTCAGCTCGTGCCACCACCCATGACCCATGGCATGCGATCTACGAGGTCCCTCCCACCTCTCCACACGAACAGATCTCATCTCCCTCAGGATCAGGACAGGTGACTGACTAGGCGAACGGGAGGTGTGGCGAGCACTGCAGCCTACGTGTCACCACACTTGCGCTCTCTTCCTCAATCATGAATCCAAGTTATTGTTCAACATGAACTCAGAAGCTTCTTTCTTGGCAGGGGCCAAAATGCCGAAATGC